TGGCTTGGCTTTCCTTTTCTTCTTTACTCTCTTTTTCGTTTTCGTTTCATTTCGGTCTTTGCCATTACTCAAGTTAACACCCCCTGTGGAATTTGCCACTGGACCCCGACTATTTTCTTTTTCATTATATTGCCATTATCCCCTTTCCCGTCGGCTGGACGAAGGACCTAGTCGACTATTTTCCAGTTTTATTTACTATGATCGGGAGATACGCGTTTGATGTTTTTTTTTACTGATACCAAAGGATACACGAGACGGTATGGGGTTATTACGGAAACTGTCAAGATAGATGACTTAGCAGCATCCAAAAATTATCGGCGTGTATTTAGCATATACACTTGATAAATGTATAATATAGTATTATTGTGATGAATAAGAAGTTTGGCTCCATAAGGTGGTTCCTTTTTGCTCTGGTGTCTCTTTTTCTTGGAAACCACGCTCACCGCTTCTCTCAACGGCCCTTTGGCCACTGTTTAGTAGCCAAATGTATTAATTGATGCATGCAAGTCTACGGATAGCTGCGTCTGGTTGGCTAGCCCTTGAGCAGAGAGAGGAGGATAAATGGAGGGGGCCGGAAGTTGGGCTCCCCAGCCTCCGAGCTCGCGGCTGGAAGGCAAAACGGTAGAGGATTAGGAATAGTATAGGCGACTGAACCACTGAGAGGAAAGAAAGGGGGGGCGAAAAAGACAAAAATAGAGACATTTCAACGCGAAGCTAAACAGGATTGGGGCGAGCACGAGAAATCACGGGGCTCTCGGCGACCGGTGAGAAAGCAGGTAACCGCGTCGAAATGTCTGCGACTTGCAGGAAAAGAAAACTCAATCGAAGAACACTTTGGGCTTTTCTTGGGCTGGGCGGAATGATACCACGCTACTAACGCAACTAAGGCTTCACCGGTTGCTGTGCTGTGTTTTTATGAGATCGGCTTGCTTTGGCGAAGGTACATGTACATATGCATTAGTGGCAGGAAAGGCTGGCAGGGGTTTTTTTTTGAAGCTACGCGCAGATCCTTGAATCAATTTTTGCAAGGGTCTCTCTCTTTTTTTTTTTTTTTTTTTAAACATATTACTTGTTTCTGTACGGTGTAAAAAGAAGAGCGGGGATGTGAGCTCTTGTCTTAGATCTGCTCAGGTAGCCATATGAGGTGGTAATAACAACCATTTCCTTGGCGTCTACTATTATCTTTGCTAGGGATATGACATGTACACACAAGTTTTGATGAGAAGGGGCGCAGTGGCTATAGTCGAAGTGCCCAGTTGCGGTAGGAGTAGTCGCCTCAGAAGAGAGATAGATCAAAGGGGGAGAAAAGAGGTGGAGATGGGGAGTGGGAAGAGTGAAAACGTGTGAATTTGAGCGAATGAGAGGTGTGCAAGTGTGTTGGGCAGCTTGTGCGCACATGTGAATTGTCTTGGAGAAGAATTTAATGCAAGGAGTGGAGGAAGATGGGACCCTGATTATACGGAGAGGACTGGGGAAAAGGGAAGATTCGCTATTATAGTGTTCAACTATTGAGTGACGCGATATTCCCCTTCGATTTGGGCTTGTGAAAAGTTGAGAGTGGATGCGTGTAATTTCACCACGTTTTCTATTATAAGTGTGAACGTGTCAATGTGAGCATATTTGTATAAGCATGGGTATGGAAAAGCGTTGGTGATGTGGTTACGATGACACTTCACGTGTGAGGCCCCCCCCCCCCCCTGGACCGCTCTTCCGTGTACAATAATGTTAGCCTGAACTACAAGTAAAGAGGCTGAAAAAGAGGCTTCAACTTCATCTCTCACGGCCGCTCAAAAGTCCGATGGCTGATGGCTAGCGTGTTCCATCTCAAGGGCTGAGATTGAGAAGCAGTGGTAGTGGCAGAGGGAGAGAAATTAGTAAGTCAATTACACTACTTCAACGCAGATAGTAAGTGAGTTTAGTTTTTTAGACCTGCTTTAGTACAGACGTCAGTCAAAAGTTAAAAAGAAAGGCACACTTCGAAAAGAAGGATGATCGTCCAACGTAATAATACTGCAGAACAACTGTCCCCCCTTTTTTTGGTCTCAGTGTCAGTGTTAGCTTATGAAATAGTATGTACTAGAAAATGTGCAACGGCCAAGCGTTTGTCCGCGGGCAAAACATGAAGCAGATTATTATCCCGCGTTGGGAAAGGCGATTTCTCAATGTGCAGGCGCACGCAATCATGGCCTGTCTGAACACAGTCTCAGACACAACACAGGCTGCAGATAACAGGGTTTCTGCATGGCCGTTTCACGTGTACGTGTTCCTTATGCAAGTGTACACATGCATATGAGTGCCGGTACTACAAGTAAGAGGTATTTAGAGCCGTATCTACTGCGTACGAGCCAACCAGCCAAGAGGCTAGGAATTAGAAGAACCAACGAGCGACAAGTGTCTTGGAATTGTCTAAATAGGTTAGAATATCGTAACTTGAGCGTCAAAGGCCGTGCTGGTCATTGATCTGTGCGATGGCGGGAAAACAAGGTAGCGGCACGCTCCCAAGCCAAGCTGTCGGGTCAATTTTCTTTTCTTTTTCTCACCGTGTTTGGCATTGTCTGTGTTACGTGACACTGTTAGTACCGTTGATGACATGTTGGCCAAGAGCGCCAAGGAGGTGGCTGTCTGGCTGAGAGCTGGATTGCTCAATTTCTCTTGTTAGCGCGCCACTTCAATATGGGCGATCCGTCGTCGTAGTTAGTTGACTTGATGGGCATCGTGGGCCGAGTTCACCTTCACCGGTCGGGCTCAGCAGCGGCTGGGGACGTATGAGTTGTATGACATGGCTGTCTTAGCAGATTTAGCTTCAGGGTATGGAATGCCCGGAACCGTTCCGTGCCGTCGAGCTGATGGGTTGGCATGACGCTTGGCTCGTCCGAGTCCAGTCTAACCAACCCCCGTATGTGTTAGCAGGACGCATGTATGAACACGCAAACGCACATGGAAGGAACATGGACGAGACAGGCTTGCTGCCGGCCTGTTTGATGCATATCGGAGGTGTCAGTACCAAGTTGGAAGCTGAAATATACGTAATTGACTAAATCTGGTCCATATGCCTTGCTCGTGCGTGCATCGGATAGGACCGGACCTCGTCATTGGGTAGATAGAGGCAGGATAGACGTATTGATAGGCTGGGAGCGGCTATGATGGCGCCGTAGCCGAAATCCTGGAGCGGTGAAGGCACATAAACTCTGTCAAGTGAGGCTGATAGCATGTCTCAGCTGCCAATTGGTAGTATATCATTTAAAACATCGGATTGCTACATGGCACTAGGATGGAGAGGGTTTAAAATTCTGCCTTACAGCTCATCGATGCGCTCTGCTGGCTAGTTTAGTCTGGATACATGCATCCTACGTGTGCTAGTTGTCCATACATTGCGAGCTTCAGTAAGAAAAAAAAAAGCAAATGCAGGAAAAAGCAACGCCTCCCTCCGGCCGTCGGTGACGGTTGTGCGGTGAGGTTGAAAGCGCCATCCGTGTTTGATGCTTTGTACAAGCTTTCGCTTTGCCGTTTTAGCACTCGCCAGGCACCGCTGCTGGCGCTGTGGCGCTCCAATATTTGCATGGGTCTCGGGATAATGGGCTGAGGTTACGGCAGCAGCAGCATCACCTGCATCCAGGCGAAATAGATGATGGGTTGATTGGCTGGGATGGAATATTGTACTTGTGGAGGATAGGCATTAGAACAGCTACAGTACTGTTGGGTACCAAGGCACAAGATACCGTGATGGGCATCGCTGCCATGTGTATTCGGCAGCTGAGCCCTATTCAAGCCATGTATGTCGAGTAACACAGCACATGTACAAGTAGGAACAGGGCAGATAGATGGTGCTACCCCATATGGCTGCTTTAGCCCTGCTGGGCTCCGGCTGTTAAGGCATGCCATCTCAGTCCACCTATTTACAGCACATGCATTCATTAATATTTTTTCACGCCGAGAGCCAGCACATTCGACTTGGCGCTGGGCGCTGACTGCAGCTCGCGCTAGCAGCCTTAACTGCTGCAAGTTGCAGCCTGCAAGCTGCATGGATGCCAATTTGGCGTTGCCAGCATTTCTAGCATTCTTCTGTTGCATGTGCGAAGTCGATCAGCTTTTCAGATGCTGACATTTTGCAAGTGCCGACCTGATGTATGGGACTGGTATTAAGAATGGGTATAAATGCTCCGTGTAGGGTATGTAGGGTCTTACCAGATATGGACGAGATGCACGTGTCTGGGTCTGTTGTATGAGATGGAAAGAGCACACGCATCAAGGGCACATGCTACACACGCGGTCCAGAGTAGTATATCTAGCAGATACAAAGAAAATCAAGTATCAACGCTCTAAAATGGCCGTACTCGCAGGTACACTGCTCCATAGCAGCGTTATTAAGGCATGTGCAGCTCCACCGCTCCTGCCTGCTGCGATGAGAATGAGATGCATGTCCCAATTCCAATCCTTGACCGTGGCAGGCACGACCTTACACCCGAGACCGAGTCGCCACTTCCCGATTTTAGACCCCACTTCCCCGACCTGGAAACCGATGACGGCGTCACTGCCTTGGAGCGAAAATAGAGATGTAAAATAAAAACACGCACAAACATACCCAGGTATAACGACACTAGAGTTATAAGAATTGTTACTTTGTATACCCTTAGAATAAACAAAATAATATGCAGGGGGAATCATTTCAAGCACAACTCTGATAGCATAATAAGCCACATGCCAATGGCTACAAGCTCTCCTATGTCTGGGTACCTGTTGGATTCGGGTCCCGTGCCCAGCTCGCAAAGTGGCACATGTAGCTCCCGCGGCTAGCTAGCTCTATCGGTACAAGCCGCTGCCCACAGCCACCACAGAGCCGGCGCCACGTTCCGACTCCATCCTCGTCGCCCGCGGCTCATCTGCTCCGTATACCCCCCAAGCTGAGTTTATTCTCGCAGCAGCAATTCAATATCGCATGCCTAGTCTGGCAGGCTAACTAACGGCCGGATGCATCTTGTTGAGTGCCGCTCGCCTGAAACATGCAAGTGGACGTCCTGCCTTCGTACCAGCAGGCCACCTCCCGAGGCGACTGGCTGCGGCTGGCAGCTCCATACGTTGCTTTCACCGACTATCCATCGCTGTGTCGTGTTAGCCGCCACTTCTGGTCCGTCTTTGCGCCGCGGATATGGAGAGACCCGCGTGCGGCGTCTGGGTGGCTGGGATGGAGAGAAGACAGTGGTGAGTCTATCAGGCGCTGGCATCAGCATCCGCAGTATTAGAAACAAGGGAGATGTTCCAAATGAGAGAGGAAGAGTAAAGAAAGCAACGAAACTTGAGGGTCGTGTACAAAGGAGAGAAAGTGGGGTGAGAAAACTAGAGAAGTAGAGGAGTCAGAGGTAGTAGAGGGAAGGGGAGAAATACTGGGCTAACGGTTGTTTGACAGATGTCATATCCTGGTGGATCGACTTCATAGATCTCAAGTTGCACAAGCTCTCAGCCCATACTCGCGCATTGGTCCGCGTGCTAGATGCAAGAGCGGCGGCGGGAGACTTCAGCTTATATCTCGGCCTCACGGAAAAGGCCGTTATTCGAGCCTTGGAGCTCTTACCAAATCTGCAGAGCGTTTTCCTTGATAACAATCCTAATATGGAATTGCGCTTTCAGCGCAGCGACGCCATCAATGGCCAGTTGAAACTGTCCATGTTGAGCGTCAAAAATTGTCCAAATGGAGTACCTATAGGACTCATCAAGAACTACTCCCTCCGTGGGCTGATCTTCTTGGACGTTTCTGGCATTGCCAGCGTAACTCCGCGGTTACTAGAGCCTGTGTGCTTGCCTGATTTACGAATCCTCAAGCTTTGCCGTCAAGGAATCAGCTCTACAGCATTTGCCGGCTTTTCAGCTGTCCTCGGGCACCGTTTATGGAGCCTAGATCTAAGTAATAATAAGCTAACTGACGACGCTTTTCAGCATGGACTAAACGCCATGTTTCTAAACACTGATTTGCGATCAGATGCCCGTGCTCAGACGGAGGGTGCTCTGCAGAGACTTCCTGTTGTCACAAGAGGCTATGGTCAATTTTTCATGCTTCACGAGACAACTCAAAGCGTCCTGTTTGTTCCCGACGAGAGGTATCTGGCAGATACTCCACCATATACCGCTTCCAACACGGCCAACAACGCAATAACGCGGTCAGACGGCTCTGTCCCTGTGCGCTCAGACACAGCCGATGGTGTCTTACGTCTCCTGTCTCGACACGACGCCACTGACGCGGCACATCACATACGAAGCTCAGGCCTCACGCATCTGCACCTGTCGGGCAATCAGTTCTCTGCATTTGCAATGGAAAGGATGCTGCGAGAGTCCTATGGCCAGCTGGAGCACTTTGACTGCGATTCAGTGCGTTTGTTCCCGCCGAGCCCAGCAAAAAGACATCTGTTGTGTCCATCCAACGCAATCCAGTTGGATGGCTTCTCAGGGTTATCGCACATTTTTCGCCCAGTGTGGTCTTCCAATCTCCGGTCCCTCAGGATACACCATTCGCTCGTGACGAATATTCCTACCCTACGATGTAGTAGGTACTCTTCCAATGAATGCACATACTTGGCAGAAATGCAAATCCATCCCCGTCTTAAACTTGCTTACCCACTGGCTTTTGTCCCGGACATGAATCCTCGGCTGGAGTCTCTCACATTGACTTGCACCCCCCGCCATTCTTTCGGCCCGCTCGTCCAAACACTGATATCCTTTCTTCAACAATTGGGTTTACAGGAGTCCTATGTGACGGAAACAAACAAAGCCGAGGAGTCTCGGCCTGGAAAGCCGCTGCGATTGGTGCACGGCCTTCAGAATTTGACTTTAGTAATGGAGCCAGAATCCTTGGGCATGGATGAGGCCGAGGATCTCATGACCTTTGACGAGACCCAATACAGTTTCTTTGGCAGTCCAGTAGAAGAGGCGCCACTATCACCGAGGCCCCAGTTAGATCTTTGGACTTGCCCCAATAAGAGCCAACTCAAATCCCCATTGCCGACTGTACAGCCATGGGACGCATATAACCCGTTACCAAGGAGTCCAGATAGAGATCATATGAAAGACCAATGGGTGCTTCATCGCCCAGAAGACAGCAGCAGTGATATCGTGGTATGGGCTGGCAATCCTGAATCGACAAACGACGTGGTCAAATCATACAACTATCTGGTAATTAATTGTGGCTTGAAAGAGGGTGTAGGTCCCGTCAACCTCACTCAGCAGAAAGCTGGTGCTCCATCCGAATGCCTCATTTTTCACACTGTTTGGCTCTATGCTTCTTTGCCGCAACGGATACAACCGCCTCAGGCCGCAGCACTCTTAGATGAGATAAAGTCCAAATCCAAGGATGTAGCTGCTACATTGCGTCGGCTACGGGTTTCCACATATGAAGCCTTTGAGCAAGCACGACAAGCTGACCCTAACACTACAAATTGGTATTGGGGAGGAAGCCTGAGAATTATAGAGTCGGAATAGATGCCCGACTCTACTGGATCATTTACTGTTGATCATGACTATGGCCAATAGGGTACATGTATCTAGGATACATAACACTTCTGTATGATTCCCTATCTTTTTGCCTCCCCCGCTTGGCAGAAATGCGTCCAACATACGTCGACAGGATTGAGACATCTGACAAGGATTATCAAATCCAGTGTTTTCAGCGACAACCGAGACATGCGCCGTCAAGCTTTCTTCATCATGCTGCCACTGGCATGCCAATGAACAGAGCTCAGAGCGCTTAGCCAGCCATTGATGCCCACGGCTAGCACGGCTATTTTCCACACTTGTATTACCATTACCACCTGAGCTACGGGACGGCACAATTCCTCTACGCAGTGTTGTAGCTCAGCCATCCGGAGAAAAAGCCGATGTGCACCGCCTTTTCGGATAGAATCCTCCATCAGAAGCTTGGAAAATACCATGTACGGTGCCTTGGAGCTGGCAAACGTACTCGTATTCTGCATCGGAAAGAGCGGATGCCGGATGAAGACACTCTTCTGTGTGTTTTACGATGGCTGTTTCTTGTGCATGACTTTGGAATCGGTGAAAGCAGATTGGCTCGTAGGTGGTGTTGGGACCACTGCTGCCTTGATCTGCAGCTGAAACATGCATGTGTGCCGAAGTAGTGGTAATAGTAGTGAGTGTCACTCTAACGGAATCGAAGCCCGTGTGCTATGCGAATACAGGGTGCCAAGTGCTTCCTCAGTCGATGCAATAAACCACTTGCTTATGACGAATAGCGTTGTTTGTGGCGAGATGACGGATGGAGATGGCGCCGGGGTGGGTGTTGATGTATAAGAACGAGACAAGGCAGTATATTGCCTGGACCATCTATTGCGGCCTACTGGACTGTGGGCCCCCCTGTCTTGTCTCAGAATCGTTAATCTCTTCTCAAATACGCAACAGCATGTGATTCGTAGATGGACACGGACAAAATGCCGGGCGGCTGGGAGTAATAGGAGAATGTGAAAGTGGCGGCTGCTTGGCTACCCAAGCCCGCAAGGACGGCCCCCGTTCTTTCGGAGCCGGTATATTAGCTGTACTGAAGGAACTAGCAAGCATTCAATATGCCAATATTTGCCTACGTGTTCAGCTTGGGGATGAGTGCGTTTGATTCGACAGGAGCAAATGCGGCTGGAGGTTTGGCCCGTTGGGTACGTGTGCCGATGACTTGGTCTGAGATGATTGGAGCTCTGAAGCCGTATTTGATGTGTGTTTCTAAATTAGCCAAGCGCATACTATAGCATTATACTACTGCGACTATACTGTACTGCAGAATTATGCGTTGGAAGAAACAACCCATAATACACGGCCGAAGCCGAAGCAAATAGAGGCACAATCAGTCCACCATCCGACTCTCGTTTTCTCACATGCCTTGCAAGAGCCAATCATTTTGTTTCTTTTTTTCCTCATTAGGCAATCTATTTTGTAAGCCCATTAGCGCTTTCTCGTTTCTTTTTTTTTCTTCTTATTAGCAAATAGTCGCTCATTAGTCTGGGCTATCTATTTTTTTTTCTGACATGGGTGGGTGACATTCCGTGTCTCTATGACGCTTGGGGGGTGCTTGCCCCTGAGCTCTGTGCCGGAGAATAACAGGGGGCAGAAAAAGCGTGAAAATATTGAGAGCCTAAGCATGTGAGTCGCAGGGGAGTTTTTAAATAAGAAATTGCTTGCAAAGTCTTGCTTTTAATAGTTGCTTTCGGAGCCCGGAGAGATGTTCTTTGACCTCCTTGCTGCTGAGAGGGGTGTGTTCGGTGAGGTGGTTTTAATGCAGCTTGTCAGAAGGGGAATAGGATACAAAACTTAAGCGTTGTTTGGAATAGAGTGGTATTAAATTGATGGCTTTGCTTTCATGTGTGTGGATGGACGCGGAAGAGGGTTTTGGGTTGCCTTTTGCTGTCTAGTTCCATATGCAGCCTGATGTGTGGAGGCGGTGAAGGAGAGGAAAGGCCAGTACCGGAACGGGTTGATACGGGATGGATTGTGGCGCGAAATTGGGGCATTTTCCTGTTACCGCTGTTAACGTGTTTTCTCATCAGAAATAAGAGAACAGAATTTGTGTATGGATGCCTGTAAAGGCACAAATGCATACCTACATGAGCACACTATGAAAGTAACTGTGTGAGAGTGGCTTATAGGCAAAAGGCTAATGTAAAGATTGGTTTAATGTACTTGTGATATTACTAGCATTTATGGTTGATATATCAGGTAGGATAATATAGCCACTAGCTGTAATAAAGACATCGTTGGATGAGAGTGAGTATTGCATATTTGATTGCAGCTGATTTAGAGCTGCGGATATCGTGTGAGTCCATATTATCGAGATTCCCTCGTATCTAAAATTTTGTCATCATAAATTTATCCAAACTGGAGAGGAGAAAAGCCAGGTAGAACAAAGGTAGGATATTCGGTATAAAGGTCCTTCTTTTAGTTGCCTCAAATTTCCCTAAAATAGAACTGGCCAACGTAGACGATAATTCTAGAGATTTAGTGGAAACTGTAATTGAGCTTTATTACGGCTGTCATTTTCTCTAATTATGACTTTGTTGGGATGTAGGAAATGTGAAAAGTGCTGCTAACACTATTTATGGGCAGTAGGGTTTTCAAGAGTGCCGTAGATTATTTAGAACTTTTGCATGCTAGACGCTCTAGTAGATACAAGTTGAATAGAAGCAAGTATGATCCCAAACCATTCGCTATGTCAACTGTAGTAAATTGCAATGAGGGTATCATAAATGAAAATCAGGATAAAAAATGCTGTGTGGATGTAGAGTAGTCTACCTATTGTTGTGCTCGCATTTTGTTCTTTAGACGGCCCGCTCAGTATCTTACTTCAAAGTAATAGGCACTTTATATCTTGGGCGGTAATTTATAGTCATAAATCATGTCGGATATATGCTCATATTGAAATAGTTCATGCTTTTTCGCATCCGTTGATGGGTTGGCAATAAAGATACACTTTTGGGCTATAGAAAATCATGAACGAGGAAGCTTATCAACATCATTACTACCTTTCTCTGATAGACCTTCCCTTGACCACATTGCTCAAGTCTCCTACAGGAATCTGAATTGGAAAATCGACAATGGCCAACGAAATGGCTAAAAGGATATACCACCCAGCCAAACACGTCACAAAAGCCGAAGCGCCAGCGCCCTGTATGTAATTACGCACGAATCAGTTTCTCGAAGCGTTGAATAAGTATGATATACAACTTTCATGAGGGTACGTACCACGAGCAATTTGTGAGCATAGTCAGAGTTTCCCGCAAAATCTTCCGCCTGCGCCCAAAAAGCACCTGTCAAAAGTCCAAAAGCAATAGCCAGGCTGAGAAAGATGACGAAGAAGGCAACGTTGGTGCGTAGCGAGCAGATGAGGAATATAATACAGAGTAGTCCCATGAAGAGAAACCAAAACCCTATATTATTGAAAGAACAGACAGTCAGAAATAATGTATGAAGATAAAGAAGCCATGATTAGGGGGCAATGAATAGAGACTTACCAAGACCGGCATTGAAGCCTGTTGTTTTAAGACCTTCTGCACCAGCTTCGTTCTCGCTCGCGAATGAAGAAAACGCCGCAAAAGACGGATTCAACACGCCTCCATACGAGAGCCAGAATGTACCAAATGTGCAAAACACCACTGCGGGAAAGCTATTGCCAAGGATCCATTCGAGTAGGCCACCGAGGGTCATGAGGATTCCGCCCTGAAAGAAGTACACCGGGCTAGCAGCAAAGAATTCATCGTTAGCAATCTCTGTTTCACCTAGGTAGCTGAGAGTATTGTGAAGAAAGTAAAGTGTGTTACGAACATTGTCGCTGCGCCGTCACCGCCTGCGCCGCGCCAACCCATGAGAGCACATGACAATGGCGTCAAAGCCATGAGGAAACCGACAAGAGCACTATTCAAATTACATAGTCAGTTACTGAACAGTCATTATTAAGTGGGATGTTCTGTCTTACATCGGCGTCGGGTTTCCAAACGTATCTCTCAGCTGTCCCTTGACTTTGCTCTGCGGCGCCAGATACAGCTTCTCGAATAGCTCCGGCGTCATGCTGATGCTCGCTGCGGAGCGGAATCGGTTGAGGGCATCTAAACGGTCGGAGTCGGAGTCGGCATGGTTGCGAGTGCCTTTTTCCTCTGCCATGGTGGAAAGAAGCGCGTTTGGAATGAAGGAAGAGTTGAAAGGAAGATGAAGTGTAGAGTGGGAACTCAAACTGGTCCTCGATTTTTCCAATCATACATTGAGTAAGAGCTTTATATTTTATTGTTCAACAACTGACATATGTTTCGTTTCAGCCCATCAGCGCCTTATCAACAACCTTGTTGTCCTCCTTTGTCCCGGACCCAGTAGCAGCCACGCAGAAACCTAACTTGTTTCTGCCAAGCTCTTTAAACTCCAACTATCAACTGCTTGGAGCTCCAATTGTCGGGAGCTGCCATCTCCCGGCCGCCCGATGTTAGCATGGATAGGTCTTACCTGCAGTATGCTTTACCCCAGACTTGTGTCATAGCAGCATCTCAGTTCCTCTTCCCCGTACTAAGACGCCCCATTATCAGGCCACCAAGCCCTCGTCCGTTGACCTTTCAGCTGCAATCCTTCCAACCCCACATTCTGAACATCCTAGCAAAGCAGCCCAAATTATAGTCAACTACTCAACCTCACCGCACATACGGAGAGATGCCCTCCCCCGTCCACCCCTTCCTTCCAATGCCGTCCGTTGAATCTCCTTGTTCAAACTCGCCGTCTTTCCTAATATAGCAATCCATCTCTCTATTGTTTGCTCCACAATTTCTAGTTAGATTCACTAGCCAATCCACTTCCCGCGTTCTTCCCCGCCTTCATCCACTTCACCCACTTTAATTCCGCTCGCCCGAGAAGCAGGGTAGGTACGTGAGGTATGTATTTTGGACATGTTAAAGCCTTTTATTTGACTTTTGTCGGTGTAGTCGTTATGTGTGACTAAAGATGGCTGTATTCTTATGAAAATACCATTGAGGAGACAAGCGGTGTTGTGGTTCTGAGCGAGCCGCGAGCCCATCAACTACCGAATATTAGTTGACATTAGTTAATATGGACTCTAACTGTAAACGATATAATGTCTATTTGAAATAGTCCCTTCAATGTAATCTGCAGTTGATTGTCGGCGAATGGCATGATTTATTGTAATACGAAGAAAAGCTGACACAACACTAACATCACAACCACTTCAAACTTTACAAAGTTGCAAATTAAGTTACAGTAAAAAGACGCCAATCATCCAATCATTCAATCGCCATTTTAGAATCCCTCTCTTCGCAACCATCCCATATCGTCTTACAGCTCTCCCATAATATATGTATGAAAACAAGAATAGTTACAAAGTAGGGAGGTATCCTACCCTCGAACCCCAATCCGACAATTTGTATTAATCTCCAGCCCGGGCGGTTAAGGACGCCCAGCCCAATCTATGCATAAAAAAAAAAAGAAACGAGTTTTCCGCTTGAACACACAGAACAGACGCCCGCGAACAAAATTGTGCATATGGCGAAATGCATGTGTCCCGTGATGGAATAGTGTTTTTGGTTTGTAAATCGCGGGTAACCAGCCGCTCTTCCTGCGCCTATTTTCTTCTTCCTCTTCTTTTCTTTCGCCTCTTGTCTGTCTCTCTTCGTCTTTCGTCTTTTGTTCTAGAATCTACTCTCGGGAGACGTCACGACCGAAAGCCTTGGACTTGAGCCAGTCCAAAAGGACCAGAACACGGTTTCGTGCTGTTGATTGTTAGTCAGCAGTGATCACATTAGGAAACAATTAGAAGGAATACGTACGGCTGAAGCACATGGAGAGGTAGACACTTCTCCAGAAGAGGTAGGTGACGCTACCACCGGTGGCAAGGTTGCCGTTCCACCAGCTGACGTCGGCGACGGCCTTGTCGCTGCCAATGTAGGCCAAGCTTCCCTGGTGACTGTACTTGAAAGGCTTGATGTCGCGAATCTTCTTGAGTTGTCTCTCCAAGAGCTCAATCTCCTGGGAAGCCTCGGCAGAGTTGCCGCCGGCAATGTTCAGCTTGCCGCTCAGCTCCGCGATGCGATCCTCGTGGTTCTCAGTCTTGGCCATGTTGTTGAACAGCTTACCAAGGAAGTAACCTTCCTGTGAGGCAACCTGAGCGGTAGGGGCGTAGCCAGCGACGGCGCAGTCGCCAATGGCCCAGATGTCGCGGGTGCCCTGTACGACAAGGTACTCGTTGACAGCGAGACCACGGCGCGAGTCCTTTTGAGCGGGAATCTTGCTGGCCAGGTCCTTGACGATGGGGCGGACGGCGTTTCCGGTGGCCCAGACAAGCAGACCGTAAGGGATCTCAACACGCTCCTTGGTTCCGTCGGGACGGGAAACCTCGGCCTCGACGGTCTTGTCAGTGACACGCTTGACCATGGTCTTGGTCTTGATGTCAATCTTCTCCTCGCGAAGAGTGTTCTCGGTGTAGTCGATCAGAGTCTTGGAGAACATGGGAAGAACGTTGGGCAGGGCCTCGATGAGGGTAACCTTGAAGCGGGGGCTGATGTCAGGGACCAGCTTCTTGATGTCCTCCTCGAAAAAGTCCTGAAGCTCGCCAGCGAACTCGACACCAGTGGGGCCACCGCCAACAACGACCATGTGCATCAGACGGTCAACCTCCTCGGGGGTCTGATCCTTGAAGGCGGCCGTCTCAACACAGTCCATGATCTTCTTGCGGATCTGCTGGGCGTCGCCAATCTCCTTGAGGAAGCAGCTGTTCTCGCGGACACCGGGGATGCCAAAGGTGGCGTTTTCCGCGCCAACGCCCACAACAAGCATGTCGTAGGGGATCTCAGTCTCCGAAGTAGCGCCCTTGATCTCGGAGTTGTCTGCGATGCGCACGACCTTGCGCTCGGGGTCAACAGAGGTGGCCTCGGCTTCAAAGAACTTGGCGACGGCCTTCTTGCCGCGGAGGATGCGGCGGACCGGCTCCATGATGGAGCGGTGCTCGATGGTGCCGGTGGTGCATGACGGCAGAAGAGGCGTGAAGAGGAAGTAGTTGCGGGGAGAGACTACGACGACGTTGTAGTTTTCGGTATCGAGCTTCTTGAGGAGGGCAACGGATCCCCATCCAGTTCCTGTGTCCGGATGGCGCGGTCAGTACTCAATTACACCACACGTGAGCACTTTGTAGCTCGGAGTTGACTCACCCAGAATGACAAGCGTCTTCTTGTTGGGGTCGGGCTTGAACTGCTCATCGGGGTGGCGGTCCACGTAGATGTCGTAGGCAGTGTAGCCAACGAGGCCCAGCGCAGACAGGTAGGTCAGTCTCCAGGCCCATCTGAAGGTCCGGCGCAGCTTGCCAGGCTTGGGCTTGGGAGCCTCGTCGGCGTAGGCTCTGCGGAAGGCAATGCGGCCCGAGTGGGCGAGCTTCATGGTCGCGGAGGGCCTGGCCGCTGATCGCAGCATCATTGACCTCGTAGCGGTAGAGAAGGCTCGTGATGCGACAACGCCGCTGGGACCCAATGGGCCGGCCCGGGCGAGGGCTCTCATGGATTGTGATGAAGCCATTGCTTCACGCTCCGGCACCGGGGATCAGTGAGGCCGTCGAGTGGTGGGAGTAGCAACACCAGAAAAGGATGCTGCGAGTAGCAATGGTGCTACGATATTGCTGAACGATATTGCTGAAGTGGTGTTTCGAGGTGGTGTTGCAGAGGCAGGAAACAATTCGACGGCGAGCGCTCGGAAGACGGAGCTTGAGCTTCCTTGGTGGGCTCTACCAGGGCACAAAGGGCTAAGAAAAAAAAAGCTGGATGACGCTCGGAGTTCGTTTAGCGGATTTGAATTTTTTCCCTCTTGCCTACTTATTTTTCCTTCTTAATGCGATCCGCCTTCCCGCAAAATTTAATAACGCAGAAATTGATTGGGTCGGGCACCCACTCAAAAGTTGTCCCCCTATCAAGGCGATAAGAAGAGCGATAGCAACAGTTTCCTGTCATCGCCTTGACGGCTGTTGCCGCCAGCATGTGCTACCATCATCTCCTCGCTAACATCTACTCCTCCTGCTTGTGCTTTAGCGTCCGCCCACTGCCGGTCCAGCCTGTGACTTGATCAATGCGTTCCCGCCTCTCTTCCCGGAAGACCGAGCCTGCTGCGGCCTGCTATCAAAATCCATCAAGATTTCCTAACTGGACCTCCGGAATGATGCGTCCAAGGGCCAATTGCTGGCTAGGACAAAAGGGCTTCTCTAGCAGCTGCACCAGGAAATCTGAGCTTTCGTGCTCTCCCTCTCCCTCTTTATTTCCTTCAACCTGTTGCTTCCTCTTACTGTCTTCAACAGCCTCCCACTGCCGGTTTGATCCGGGCGGCAGGCTGGCAGAGCCGGGACCACATTTAACGCTTTACGGGCCAGCCCCATCGAAGCCACCGGATGCCGAAGCTGTTCCGGCCAGCGGCGCTGACTGAGCGGTTTCGCGGAGAGTTTGAGGCGCTTTTCTCGGGATCTTTCGGAGGGTCTACGACAGGAAGAGGAGCAATGCGGTCTCTCGAGAGCTCTACTAGCTGCATGCGATGACGGGGAGAGAGCTTCACTGTGATGAGTAACTGGATGTGCTAGACGCTTTACGACGCATGGCCTGGGGCACGCCATTGGGCCGGTATCGCTGGATGTCTATCTTTACTGCACGAGATGGAGGGGTACTGCAGTCTGGCCGTGGCTAAGAAGCTAGACGCCGGACTTTGTTCACACGACACTGTCCTATTATCAGAAGCAGCCATCTTCAGTGTGGAGGTGTAAGTAGGCGAGCCTGATACGCCTGGTCGTAGGTAGATGTGTGCTCCTCCACCCTCCCCACGTCCTCTGTTCTATATATATGCTGCTGTATGATCTAAGTAGATTGCCGTAGAACCGAGTTGAAACGATGGAGACCCCATGATGGGCCCAGGTGGTCAGTATATTCAGTATGTTCGTAAGTAGTTGCTTGAGGGATGCAATTCAAGCCCGTCTTAGTACTTGAAAGCCGGAAGTTTCCAGTGCTGAGAACATAGAGTCATGACTCTCGGAAGTTGGGCTGTCCGGACGGCCTCAAGCTGCGTCTTCCGGTCACATGCGTATCAAATGCAGATTAGGTATTTTGCGGTATTTCAGTTGCTCCGAAGTAGAAATGAAGAAGCCCATCCAAGGCGCGTGTCGTTGCTCGTGACAGCCGAGGCAGCTCAGGAATCTGCACATGATGCTGATTGTTGGTGTTGCGTCTCGGTGCTCTGTTGCTTGCGACTGTTTGTACTAGCTATTTTGCGCCACACTCGCATGCTTAACCAGCCACATCACCAGTCACATCACCAGCCACAGCCACTGCAATCTCCCATTGAATCTTGATCCATCTTGATATCTGCCATCGCAACATCGTGCATAATGGCTTGTTGTTTTACGGCGTTTGGGTCCGCCCATGTAATTGCGGTTTGCAAGATGAAGGAGCTGAGCTCCAACTCTTCAACTCACTGCCAACTCTGGCAGCTGAGGCCCTCGCCGGCCCTGTCCAGTTTCATGTCGCGGCGCTACTTTTCCACCTGAAACACTCGACGACGCACGCCAAGTTCCCACGAATGAGTGCGAGCGTTGCATTCGAGGCCTCCTTGTCGCACCTTTTGCGCTGCGTCCAGCTTTCTGTCTTCGCGGAGTAATTGTGGCCGCCTTTTCGCGATTGCCTAGAACGGAAGCGATGCCTCGACGTCGCTGCCAGCTCGACTCTTGAGGCGGTCACGGCGACATTGTTGCGCCTTGCCCGACTTTGTCGTGGAGATGCAAACTTCAAGCTCAGGCCTCGAGCAAATCGTCAAACCGCCGCGAGCATGTCCGGCCTTCTCCGTGCGGTGCCAGAAGCTTGCCATGAACCCCTGTCTCGTTAATGAGATTGAGATGAGGTGGGTATTTTCCAGCTCCCACTGCTAGCATTACAGCCCTTCGAGCTCGTCGCTTGCTGCAGATTCCCGCGACATGGGTCCTTTGCTCTGTATGCTTCTCTGCGTTTAGTGAAGCTAGCAGCATTGCAGTCCGTCCGTCCCAAAGGGTCAGAAGGGGGAGGCGCAATATGGATCTTCAAGGCGTAACAGAATAGAGCTCTGCACCAGCTGGAGTCAGGATGTTTTCCCGATATGGTAGTTCTTGAGATGGCTGCTACGCGTGTCCCATGAATCCTTGCTCCATAATATCATTTGAAGATCCGGAACGCCAAGCGGTCATCTTAATAGCTCACCCCCACGATTTTTTTTTCTTTTCCTTCACACTTCCTCTTTGACAGAGGATGGGGAACAGTTCTATGCTTCCTTGACCCTCTTTTCACTTTCTTTTTCTTTTCTTTTCGATGGTATGGGAGATTGTTTGTTGTGCTAATTTTTCTTTTCTTTGTTAAAGCCGGAACTGGATTTCGCACGGGTCGATGATTTTTCACGCCTCTTTCCTTTCGAAACGATTTTTAACTTGGGTCTTGTGATGAATTAAGCGCACGTTGATTGAAGCTGGTCTACACGAACGTTGCGTTACAGTTGGGGGATCGAGAAAGAGCTTGGGCAGTGTACTATGGCGCCAACTTCAAGGATACAGAGACGGCAAACGGATGTTGGACGTTCCGATGGACTGGTAGAGCGGCAGAGGCAGACACGTGACGCATCGTGTGCGAAGAGATGGCTGAGGTTCAGATGCAAGAGGAAGAGTTTGGACGTGAATGTGTCTTCACAGGGACCGACCGACCACGACGCAAGCACATCTCCTAGGTCTTCTGGGAGCGACACCGAGGGAGAATCTGGAGATGGATCTGCGGCAAGCTTAGAACCGGCGGGCGAATCATTCTCTGCTGGGGGGTTATTGAAGAGGGGCTTGGGGGACCTGCTGGACACAGATGATGAGACTGATGACGAAAGTGGGAACGAGAGTGAGGACGAAAGTGAGGACGAGAACGACAGCCGAACCCACGTCGATTTCGGCCTACCTATTCCTCTTTCTCATCCTCTCTCGCAACTTCTCTCTCATGCACCGCTTCCCTTACCATCATTGCCGCCAAACCCAATCGCTGCTCTTCTACCACAACTGCCGCCAGCATCCTCTCCTCCGGAATCATCTCCTCCAAAATCATCTCCTCCGACAGCCGGCGCTCCTGCATCGTCACCACAACAGCCACCACCTCCTGCAGCTTCTCCCGCGCAATCCCCTGCATCACCCGCAGCATCACCCGCAGCGCCCCCCGCGTCTGCTCCCTCTCAATCGCATGTTCCGCCGTTCATCTCTATTCCTCCTGCGGCATCCCCCACAGACGGCATATCCGAAAATCTTGGAGCTCCATCGCCTTCCACTACGAATCCTCCTAGATCGTCATTTAGCGCACCTCTACCCAAGAGCACGTCTACCGGCGATGACAGTGACGACAGCGGCGACGACAGCGATGACGACGGTGCATCAAAATCAACCGGCAGGCCTTCCTCAACACGAACTCGAACCACCCTTACGGCTATTGCGCCACCTTATGAGTCGCAGACGACAGGGAGCTCGGGGGACAGATCCACCATTAGCCGTACGAGAGACGCACCTAGCTCTTTCACAACATCCGTCATTGCGCCAGACCAGAGTGCGAGGACAAAAACGGGGGCACAAATGACAGCAATGACGAGTACTGCAAGCCCAAGTGGAACAGCCGCAGCAGTTCTGGGGCACGAGGCACATAGGCTGAGCCCAGCTAGCGAGAAAGCCGTCATTGCGTCCACGTCCATTGGTGAGTGTGTATCCTGGGGCGGCATGTTTCTTCTCTTCCTAGTGTTCACAAGACTTACTATTTTGGCATTAGGTGGTTGTATCATCCTTTTAGTTCTCGCCTGGTTTCTTTGGCGCTCGGCCAAGCGTAAATCTGCTGGCAGAAAGAGCGCTTGGCCAGCCAGCCGAGACATGCTTGACGGCCCTCGGCGTGTTTCTAACAGAGTTGCGGATCGATTTACGTCCATCAAAGGCAACCTGCTGCCAGCTACCTTTGGCTGGTGTAGCATTGATGATTCCAACGATGAAGACGGTCCCGTAAACGAGAAGCCGGCCCCGACGCGTGCTCCGAAGAAGGCTGGCTTGTTGGAGAGGAGACTGGGAGCCAAGACACCACCCCAGAATGTGACGGTCAATTCCTACGGGATGGTCTTCCGCACACCGATTCTGGGGGACTCAGTGTCGGATATCCTGGAGAGACCTAAAATTACACCGCCGCCGGCTACTGGGGTCGCTCGGGAAAAATCCAAGCAGATGGCGGCGGCCCATTTGGAGAGCGCAAGAGCGAGTGTGAGTGCATACACCTCGAGATCGCAATCTTTGGCACCTTCGCGCAAGAACACCCGCATCAGCGATGTCTCCTCTTTATCGTCGGGGTTTGGTGATGGGGACATCATCATTTTTCAGCCCCCCACTGCTGCTGCCACCTATGCTGCCACTCCAAACCGATCTAATACGTTTGACTCAAATATTAACCTCAGTGCCGTCAGGACTAGCCCTGAGAGGAAGAGCTTCGGCAGCCGATTCTCCCGTAACAACAGCAGAGACCACAGCAGAGACACTTACATGACAAACTCCTCGGAGGACCTGCGTCCCCGATTCCGCACTGTCTCTTCCTGGGTTCATCAGCAGTCCCGTCGAACGAAGCAACGTTCCGCGGCGAATAGGAGTGAAGACCGTGGGATGGCGACACCTTTGCCAGAGCAGGGATTTGATATGATGATGCCTGATGGAGAGGTGCCGCGGAGGGTTGAATCTTCGATGTGGCAGGAGAAGTGAGATGTTGTATAGCGTGTGATTTGGTGTTTTGTTCTGGGAGAAGGAAGAGCGACGGAGTTTGTGCATAAGTAATAGAAAAGGATTACTGCTCAGCCATTTCGACATAATCTCTAGGGAGAATTCGGTTCTCACCGAAGCCTTATATAATTGACTCAGGCTATCTAAAAACATCTATCTCATCATAGTCGCTTCTATGGTTTCTCATATCTGTACAAAATAAAAAACCTACACAGTTCTATCTATCCGTTATTTGTACGGAAACATTTCCCAAAAACCAATTTCCATCTTTCACGTTCGTTTTTGTTAGTAAAACGTCCTTTCATATTGTTGAGGCTGTGATTGTTCTTACCTTTGTGGCGTGTACAAAGATTTTAATCAGTTCTTCTATCCGACTAGGCGACTGCAGCCTGATGTTCTTCTCAATGAGTTCTGCCATTATCATTATTAGCTCATTTCTGTATTTTAAAGTTGGAAAGTAAAAAGCAAAGTAAAATACGCACCGCTTCCTAGTCTTACCGCCTCAACATAGTCATCCGCATTGTAATTCTCAATCCACGCCCAGTACGTGTTCCCGTCGCGGACCGTATCCGCATGGGCGTGGAGCATCTTTGCGACGGCGCCGTAGCCGAGGAGGCATGGCGCGAGGGCCATTTGGAGGGCGAGCCAGTCTTCGCTTTGGCCGACGTCGAGGACGTAGCGGGTGTATGCGGTACAGGCTGCGTTTATGTGTGAGTAATACTGAAAGGGGATTCGACAGAGAGGGGGAGCTTACCTTGGAGTTCTTGCGTTGCTTGGATTTCGGGCTCGGCAATGCCAAATGAGTTGCAGTAGTTGATGTGGAGCTTCATTTCGTGGAGAATGTGGGAGACGATTTCGTTTGACTGGGATGATTGTTAGATATGATTGGTTCTGGGCTTTTGAGTGTTGGACGTACTCTGGAGATGTCGCCGATGCTCTTTGCTTTGTATGCTGCGAGCGCATTTGCTCTGGAAAAGTGAATCTGTTGACTGGATGTCAGCTTTGGCTGTACGAACAAGAGCAAGGGAGAGATCTTACAAGGTAGAGGTAGTCTTGAACAATATAACCTTTGAATGACTCAACCGGCAGTGTTCCGTTGCCCAGGGCCATGACGAATGGATGATAGACGAATTCGTCCCATACGCTGCGTACGGCTGGGTGTTCTAGCAGATACTCAACAAAGTATCCTCTGCGTGTGAAGACCATTAGCCGAGTAAGGAGAGTAGTAGAGGTGGGCTGCTTACGGAGAGAAAGGAAGAGTGTATGTCGAGTGAAAGTGATCGAGTGGTCCGTTTCCACTGCCGAGCTGGGGCGCTGTCTTGATGCCTGCTTCGATGTAGCGACAGGCGCCGCGGACTGCGGTGGGCATGTCGGCGCCTTGAGCGACTCTCGCTGCAATGGCGGCTATGAAACGGTAAGTATGATGCTCCTATGTAGCTTTCCTCGCTCTTATGGAGATATGGGTACTTACAAGCTAGAGAGCAGCCAGTCCCATGAGTGCTTGTGCTCTTTTGGTAAGGACTCTGCACTCGCAACACACTTCCTTCAGGCCCGACTAGGACGTCAACAACGATTTCCTTTTCTTCGTCTGTCTTAGCTACTGTCAGATCCTTGCGGAATGGCATGTGGCCGCCTTTAACGAGCACCCATTTAGGGCCTAGTTGCTGGATTTTGCGTCCCATGGCTTCGACGTCGCTGACGGATTGGATCTCATTGACTTGTTGGCCGTTTTGCGTTAGGAGGAGGGTGGCTTCTGGGATGTTGGGCGTGAGGATGGTGGTATGGGGGAGGAGGTGCTGGGATAGTTGGGCGATGGCTTCGTGGGGGAGGAGTTGAGCGCCTGATGTTGAGACCATGACCTGGGAAGTTGTTAGTTTTTGCATCTTAAGAGAAGGGATGGTGTGGTGGTTATTTACTGGATCGATTACTAGGGTTGGGACGTTGAACTTTGTGACTAGCTTTGCGATGACTTCGATTGTTTCTGCGGATGCCAGCATTCCTTTTTTATATGTCTATGTTAATAGGATCGATTTAATAGTGCAAGAGACGGGACTCACCCGTTTTGATCACGTCGGCTCCTACGTCCTCAAGACACGCCTCGACTTGTCTTCCCACGAAATCAGAGGGTATGACATGTACGCCTGTGACGCCTTTGGTGTTCTGGACTGTGAGCGCCGTGGTGGAAGTCATTGCGTAGCAGCCGTGTGCGGCGAGGACTTTTTGGTCTGCTTCCAGGCCGCTGTGATGAAACGCTCGTATTAGTAAACATTGTTATACAAAACATATCTTCTAAAGAAAGAAGCTTCGATGAGACTGTGAAGGGAATTGAATTGAGAGTCGAATGAGTAACCATCGTGCATAAAACGATTCATGCAACACATAGTAGGAACGGATATAGTGAGGGAAAATGACTACATTGAGAAACAGGAACAGGTACACTCACGCTCCTCCAGAGGGATCTGACCCGGCAATGATCAACACCCTGCCTTTAACCATCTTGGCTTCGCGGAGTTATGAGATGCAAATCTTGATTTGTCGAAAAGAGCTCAGAGAGATGTGAAAATAGGAAGGGCGCGACATGATGTAGCGATTTGATGTCTGCGGGTGGGGCTGAAAATCTATGGGTGTCGGATTTATGTGGGGTATGGACCGAGTACGGATTATGGTCTTTGTATTACAGCTTACACTCTTTCTCGTACTTCATAGACTGGATGTAAAAAAAATTTGTCATTAGTCTGGGAAAAAGAGAGGTAGATAAGAGAAAAAATATCTTTGCAAAATATGTAAACGACTGTTTCTTGTCTTGGGGAAGGATAGTATTAGCTCTATCTCTGGCATCGGATTAATAGTTTCGGTCTTGGCGAGTTGCTTGGAGCAATTGAACATGGTATACGGCTCTACCTCTTGATAAATTGCTTGCAGCAGTGAGAACTGGTGATGGTAAACAATGCCCTTTTCACAAGCTACCAGAGGCTGTAGGAACAACTGATGGAGAGCCGCTAGCTCTTGGTGGGTTGCGTGTAGTGATAGGAGCTGTTGTTAGCATACCATTGTCTCATAGTGAGCTTTTTGTAGTGATAAAGGCCGTTTAACTTCTTTGATACTTACTCCTGATGAATTATTTAAGGCAGTAGCAGCAGCTCTTGGTATCCCGCTAATTCTGGGTGAGTAGCTTGTAGCAGTGGGAGCGGATGTTGTAACGCTACTACTACTGCCGTTGCTGATGATGACGTTGAGCTCGGCATTGTTGATATAACCGGCGGCCTATATACTAATTAGTTCATGTTTCTCTTCTCTCTTGAGGGCTTGAAACTTGCTTGAGTGCATGAACCCGTAGTTGCTCCAGACTGTGGTCTAGTGAAGGGGCACTGTGGCCCGGTGTAAGATGGGTTTGCCATCTGGAAGAAACGCGCATAACTCGCAAGTCTTACAACGGTTTTATTGCTTGGAACGCCTGCCTTGGTAGTTATAGACAGTGCCTGAAATGTCTCTGTAAGGTTGACTAAACGGATACTCAGTTGGAACATGCTGCATGGATGATATTGTTGTTCAGCTACAGCAATTGAAAGAATGAGATCTTGCCATGGCTCCTCAGACAACCCTCAACAGAGCAGCCGGTATCGGCCCATTAGGTTCCATATCCCACTGGCCATGTAAATCATCTTTGAAATAAGGTAATTGTCAGTGACATATAGCTATACAACAAGGGATATCTGCGGGCAAAGGCTCTACTTACACGTCATGTATATGATGTAGTCGACAATAGAGGCAATATCAGCAATGGGTAATCCTTGTAATACTAATATGAGGCGAATGCGGCTATAGAGAGCGAAATCCCGCTAGAAAGTGCTGCTCTTAACGACTGGAGGAAGTTGAAATAGTAAGTCCCTTCGCTCGCGCTCCCTGGAGGAATGCCCTGTATATAGGCTCACCCTAATTCTTTTGTCAGCTCTAGTCAATCTGTATTATAGAAAACAATAGCTGTCTAACAACTTCCGGGGTATTCAGTCGATATCGACGCTGTCAATATTCCAAGTCGCCACAAAATTGACAATGCTTGTAAAACATGGCACCGTATTGCGGTAGGTCGCGGAAGATGTCATAAGTACTTGTACCGGTACTGAAAGCCCAGCCGCCGAAAGATACGATTCGCTTGAAACTCTATAACAAAAGAATTTAGTATAGCCTGAAATTTCTTAAAACTGTCAAAGCAGGCCTTCTGTCGGATACAAGGTCCCCACTGCCCCTTTATGCCACTGATATCAGCCTGGTACGTTTGCGAAACATTTGCGAAAGCGAAATGGACATGTATAGCTAGATAGAGTGTAATTGGTACTCATGTTCAGGCAAGATGCGGAGTATTAAAGGCTTCGAAATAGCCAATTCTGTATACTTCGGACGAGCCAACGGCGTTATTAACAACACCAGAACCACAGTTCGAGATGCGGCCATTTTGCCCAGTTGCGGCAGTGCCAGGAGCATCTGTAGAGGCACTGGATGGTGTACAGAATTCGTCTGTGTTGCCGCACTGGCCCATACGTCGCAGCAGGCATTCAGCGGACACGGGTTCAGCGATTCCTAGCTTATTCCATTTGCTGGCTCTTGTGTATCAGGCACCTTATGGTCCACAGACGGTATCGGATATGGGAGCTGAGAATGGGGGTGTCCCAGCGCTGAGACAAATGGTTTGTTCAGCCTGGAGATGGTCACATTTTAGCCATCTCCAAGTGTTGCTATTGTAAGAGTCAATGTCGTCAACAGTGAGTGGTTCATAAGTGACGGCTAGCCGAGAACAATTATCATCTTCTGTACCAGATAACTTGCGCAAGAGCCGTGTGGGTTTGGCTGGGGTGCATGATTGGGAAGTGACCCAGAGGAACAACAGATGCAATGCCCAGGAGTAAGTGTTGAGCAGCGATTGGCCCGGAGGTTGTACTGATAGAATTCATCTGCGGTAATACCGCACTCTGAAGCCAGAGATGCGCATGAGTCTCCGGACTGCACGCGCACCGTTGAACAGATACCTCCCATTCTGGATTTTATTGCCCAAAGAAATCGTCCTGGATTAGATGACTATGGGAAGACGAGCAATGGTCAACAAGATTAAGAAAAACTGATGGCTTCTATACAAAAAAGAATTCCTCGGCTTCCCCATTATTACGATATATTGTAGAGGTACATTGACATTTATGTGGCGTGCATTCCCAGTGAAAGAGCCGCAACATTCTCCTCGCTATATTAACAAGCATTTTTCGGCTAGCCGCTAGGCTTAATAACAAACTGTCAATCATCTAAGATCTATTTTGTGTTGTATTATCAGCTCCTCGTCGTGATCCGTCATGCCACTCTTAAATTTGGGATGCATAAAAACAACTTTAATTTGCCTCCAAACGGCAAGGCATCTAAGGGAGCCACACATAGACTAGCTTGATGGTGTTAAACTGTTGTATCGTTTGTTATGCGAGGGTTGCATGCAACCCGAATCAGATAAGGAAAGCAGGCTGAAATTTACCCCGCATTTGATTAAATAATGCTTGAGCTGAACTTGGAACTTTTGAATTTCCAGGCATGAAATAACCTTGCAACCAACAGATAAACAGAGGTTTCGGGGAGCCATCAGTTTGCTAACATTAACCTATATAAACAAGGCTCCAGCATGCTGTATCCGGAATGAATAATTTTCCATAAGCTTTCAACGACAGGCTTGAAAGTTTATGGGTATCTAAAATTTCCAGAGCCAACGACAGACCCGCGTTCTCAAGACGCGCATCCACGCCTAGTTATGCTTCCAAAGTGGGCAACTCACCCCGCTGGGGGGACGATGGCGATCATGCTGCTATTCGGCGCTGCATTTGCCATCGGTCATCACTTCTTTTACCAGAGTCTTTCGGGAAACCCGCCACCAAATGTCGTCTATTTCAGAAGCTTTGCTGGCGGCTTAACGGGACAGCAATTCAACCTGGCCGTCGGATCGGTGTTCGCTTTCCTTGTCAACTCTGCTCTCGGTGTCGCGATACACACTGCGGCAAATCAAGCGCTGTGGGTAGCGATTAGAACGAAGCCTTCAAAGCTAGGGGTAATTGATAATTTAGCAACTGCAACAACTAACATCTGGAATGTATTTGACTTCCGACTATGGAAAAGCAGCCCCATCAGGATGACTTTGATCACAATTTTCTGGTATGCATGCCTCAGATACCATATGTGGTAATCAGTCCACTTATAGTTACCAGGATTTTATCTGTGGCATTCTTTATAACACCAGCAACCCTCAATATCAAGTGGTCAATGACAACATCCGTCTCCATGACCAGGGTCCCTCAAGTTGACTTTACCAGTCTCAACTTTGCCGAAATACAACTTGAGCAGTCAACTTCACCTGACTATCGCTACTACAACCCTCAGTATCCTGTTCTGCAGGTTGTAGCGGAAAGCACAGCAGGAGGCCGTATCTTGCCAATATCGTCGCCCCATCAAAATGCTACATGGGTCTTGAACTTTCCCGGGCCAGCACTATCGTGCAAAAGCCTTGACAATAGTTCGGCCTTGTACGACAATATTACGAATAATATTCTCGTAACAATGTCAGTAGGACCTAGGGAAGACCAAGTACGTGCGTGTGCATATTCTTTCGGCTACATTTCTTGGGTGCCAGAGGCAGAATATGGAGGCTCCGATATCAATTCTTTGCCATTCCCTGGCATGTCATTGAGTACCAACAACACTCCATATGGGCCACCTTCGCGGGGTGTTGGGCCGATATATGCCTCGCCAGCCAGAGAACCACTGACACTCTTCATCGCGGCCCTACCAAGCATGCATTTTAGCAATGTGGACCAACACGCGTGTACAGATTACAATTCAACTTCTTTTAGTCAGAGCGCTCTTGATCAAGTTGCCAATATGACTATAACAAAGTGTATGATGTACAACACCTCCTATGTGGCTAATTTCACATACATCGATAACATCCAGAGCATTGAACTTACGACACAAGGTTCGTTCAACAATATTATAGGCCAGCCCGGAGTTGCAGGCGCAAACCTGGTGAGCTACCCAGAAGCAGGAAGTGACAAGATTAGCTACAACGTCTCCTTGGTTGAAACATTCGCCTATCAGGCCATTATGGATGCTTTCGGGCGCATGTTCGTGGGAACCATCGCCTATGACGTCTCGCAACAGAAGCAAATAATTGACACTCAAATGGCGATGACACCGCTTCTGAATACGAAAGAATTCAACTTTATACGACCTCTTTCTGAAAAGTTTTCACTACAGGAATTATTAAATGGTGCAAATGGTCTTTGGAATGGAGTTTCTGTCGAGCAAGCGCCTAATTCAACCATTCCCATGGCCGGTGTGATAGAGGAGCTGTTCCGTAATGCTACCATATCTCTAATTAGCAATCCCTTGTTCCAGTTAGTCAAGTCATTCTACGAATTTTGCCGCCAAATTCCTTGTATACTTCCGCTAATATACCCACAGGCCCAATTACTCTTCCCCCTACGCACCTCCAGATATAGACGTGGCAGTGACGACTTACGGGTTGGTCTACTTATACGCAGCTCGAACGCTCTTGCTTGCGTATGCCATTGCTCTAGGTATGACTCTTCTGAGCATATTACTCGGTGCTATTTCAATCTATCATAACGGTGGCTCTTCATATACGACCAAAATCTCTACGATACTACGTGCGGCCTATTGTATCGACTTTTCGGAGCCAATACGACCTGAGGATACTGACGGTAAGGATCCGACGCCAAGATATATTAAGAAACTTACAATTTCTTTTCCGCCGGTCGGAACTGCTGTGCGTTACAACAAGGCAGCGCAAAGTTCTGAAGGGGAGCAGCTGCAGCAGATATAGGGTCACTGGCCGTAGATGAAGAGCTGGGGCGGTAATCACAAGAGTACAGCTTGGCCTTTGTCATTGTATCTTGCAGATAACAGAAACGTATAGCAATGCCGATCTATTATCAATTTGGCCATAAGCAAATCTCTTAGCATACATTTACAGTTAAACGTAGTTTTCTAAACCCTACTTTATGCAGCTCTAGAAGTATATGTTTGGCCTTGTATTTCATGAGCTTGTTAAATCTATAGAAAAACTGAAAGAAAGAAAGATGAAGAAAATGTAGCTATTAATCTTGACGTAAGCTCTATATAAAAACTTACATGAATTGTGATGGAGCAAGGATAGTCGCTGAGCAGCCTGGAACGCTACTACTGTAGGAGTACCTCTTTCAGGTCTCTTGTTTAGGGTATCCACTTGAACTCAGGCCGTCTCAATAGCACTCGTCCGGAGAGGGCTGCCAACAATATGAAGCGTGGCGGTTCAATCAATGCACTCCATTTTCGTTGTTAACAACGCCACAAATGCACATATATAGCGGTCACTCGCTGACCAATTACCAGTGCGATGTAAGAATGCTAATTATATGGCCTGCTTACTATGCGAGGTAGAATGCATCTACATATCCACTCGCAGACCGATGGGATCCTCAGCTAGCCCGCTCGGTTTCAATAGCGATGAGGATCAAATCCAGCCGTTGTAGAGCTATAATATGGCCTCAGTATAGCGCCAAATATCTGCTAGATCTGTGCATGGTGCAATGATACTCCGGTTTCACGATGAAATCCTTCGGAGGAGCACAGCTCAAGGATAGTTTCATGACCGGGGAGCATTGCAGCTACTAGCGATAATTCCATTTGCCTCAGCTCTCCTAACTCCATGCATATGTAAGTAATCAGCCTATGACTGGCCCACTTGTTTGCCTTGTTAATTGAGCCGTACACGAGCTACATACATGCATTGGAGGCTTTTATCTTCCTCCTATAGGTAATCAAGAGAATCGCCACCATGCACAGTAAGTGTGGTTCTAGGAAAGGGAGAAATATTGTCAGCAATATGGCTTTGAAGCTTTTGTTCGAAATTGTCACTCCTATTATTAATAATGCGATTTCAGCGTCTACAGTATCGACTTGCCACCTGACTGTTCGGAAAAACTCCGAACAGAAATATAGATGATCTTGCAAGGATTGGAATGACCCCACAAATAGGTTTAGAGTAGTACGTAGGCTGATCGTACAACACAACGCTCGCTTAGCTCGCTTGTTTCCCGTTCGTACTATGACCTTGGGTAAGAGACTGCAAATTCCGACCTTGCGTTTCATAGATTGAAGCTCGAAATCTTTATGCTGCAGCAATATTACACATAATATCTCTACGAATAATAAACTCACATAGATTTGAAAGTTAATCTATGTTGCGAAAGATGTATTTCCAACTTGAGGACTAGTGTCCATGACCCCTGGCGGCGCGCTTATAAACCATCCCACATATCTCCCTTACACGCGCGGTACGTTATAATCGCAACTAATTTCTTCGGTGAATAGTGTGGGCTCTACTACTTGTGAGAAGAACAGTTCGGAGAGGGCGTGGGTTGCGATACAATTGAGCAATTGAATGATCAATCATGGAACAGCGGTGTACTTCATTCTATAGCCAACCCAGATTGGGGTCTACTTGTAACTGAGTATAAAAGCCTTGGCTGGGAACCGCATCTATATTGTTGAACTTGGATCATTTCCACATCATTCAGCACTCTTTCACAATCTTCTTCAAGTCCATCATGTCTAGACTTTTGACCGCAGCCCTCCTTCTTGGGCAAACCTTTGCCTATGACACTGTTCTCGGGTTCAACTCGGGCCCGACAGTGGAAACTCGGACAATTGATGAAATCTATAAGGCTGCCCTCAAAGAGGGTGGCACTGTTACAGTGTGGCATGGAGGCGATGAAAAGGATCAGCAGGACTCTCTGAAAAGCGCGTTCGAGAAGCGTTTTCCCGGGATGACTCTCAATATCACCGTGGATCTCTCCAAATATCTCGACGGCGAACTTGACCAGCAGCTCTATCATAACAATGTCTTTGTCGATAGCATCGTTCTTCAAACGCTACAGGACTACCCACGTTGGCAACAGGAAGGCGCTTTGCTCAACTACGCCCCCGTCGGATTTGACAAAGTGTATCCAGCATTCAAAGACTCCATATCGGCTTCTTGGTATGGATATAGCGCCTTTTTCTGGAGTCTCTCCTGGAATCCTGCCAAGCTGCCACATGTCAGCAATATTTCCTCTTACAGCGACTTCCTGAAACCAGAGTTCAAAAACCAGCTTGTCCTTACATACCCCAATGACGATGACGCTGTTCTTTTTGCTTTCTATCAGATGTAAGTTGACCATTTCAAGAAAAGAAGAAGAAAACGTAGCTTACAGGATACATGTAGTATGCAGCAGCTTGGAACCAAATGGTTTGACAATCTTCTGAAGCAAAACCCTCGATGGGTTCGTGGGACTGCTACTCCCCTCACCATCTTGAGCGGAGCCAACTACTCTCAATCGGCCACATTTACAAGCTTTGGTGGATTCAATCCAGGAAAAAACGTCAAAATCTCTTTTCCGACCGACGCAGAATTTGTCAGCTGGCCCCAGACTGCCGCAATTTTGAAGAATGCGCCGCATCCTGAAAGCGCAAAGCTCTTCCACAACTTTCTCCTCAGCTCCGAGTTTCAGAAAACTCTCCCTTTGAGTGCTCGACAAGATATCAACTCTACTGGCTCACCCTACCACGATATCATGCACACACCTCACACAAACCCGACCACGTTTGCTAGATTTATGAGTGATCGCGTGACGGTTGAGCGGGTGAGATTTTTCTTCGAGAATCGCCTAGGTACTGCGCAAGGATTAAGCCCCTTGATCGATGATATTTAGGGGTCATGTCGATACCTATATGTCGCCCTGGAATAAGCGTGCTATCCGTGGCCAGGAGTAGTCAAAATTGTTGGAATGATAAAGCTAATTCGATGAGTTCGTATTGATAGTAGCCAAGCATAGTTAACTAATAAATTGAAGAGAAAAGTTATTCAGCATCTAGTTCTATTATCTCACTATAGCTAAAACATAAGCTACAGCTACTACTGCTACTACTAATACTAGTAGTAGTAGTTTTAAGTGTATATACATGTAATTCTATGTACATGTTGATCAATTGCATTACTAAGCCATAGTTGAGGCGCTGAATAGTAAAAGATCCTCTTCTCGCTTGGATTCTCTCGTTACGCAAGGGTCCTTTTGAATCATCGCAGGAGGCGGCATGAGAAAGAGTAAATTAGACCAGGGCTGGTAGGTACAATAGACTAGTCAATATTAGTCGCATATAACTTGCTTGTGACAATCAAGTACGGATCTATATAGCACTTAAGCCTGGCATCCTTGATGAATTAGAGGCATGCTGGTAGGACTGGCACTAAAGAAAGCGGAAAGACGCCACTGTACCCACGACAAGAACAAAGTAGTCCTAATCGTTGGGTATTCGTAGACTTCTGTACAACATTAATATGCCACTATGCTACGTTTATATATGCCAACATTCAGTAATAGATAGAGCGAGGTCCCCTAAGAGAGATAAATAAAAAGCCTTGGAACCGATCAAGGTGTATTGAAATCAGTCTGCGGATTTATCATGACTTCCCTCAGACATCACAATGAATACACACGATATCAAGAATGATTTTTTTTATCTCGCTGACAGCATTACTTATATTGAGGCCTACCGCATTAAAAGTAGATAGATGTCCCATGTAATCCATGTCGCCTTCTAACCTAGCTCGCTTTACAAAAACTCCACAGTATAGTACAAAACGCTTGAATGTTTGACCTGAATGGCTCAAGTAAATTGGTTGGGCTTTCCGCCTCCCGTCTCCAAATTCACAAAACTCCCTAGATCCTATGTCCTCTAAATTCCAACTCTTATAGTGAAGCAACGGGTATGCGCCATCAAAAAGAAAAATAGCACTATATTAATAAGTATGTTCAAGAATAATCTCCCTGCTGACCTGTTCAAACTTTTCGGTGTTTCTCCATAACTCATCATCATGCTGTACTACCATTGATGATGCTGGAGAAAGGCGGTAACTTCGTTATCAAAAGCCGCAAGCTCAGCTGGCAGTAACGATAGATCGCTATTCGCAGAATTCGGAGTGAGATTCGAATTGGGGGTATCACCCTGCTGCGATGCATCGCTCTCCTCATCCAACCTCCAATCATAAGGCTCGTTCTCCAGGATTTTCTGCGTGATTGGGTCGAACACTAAATCTTTGAGCAGCAGATGTCGATAGATGCAAGTCCCGCGCGACTTGAAAATCTTTTCGGCTGTTTCTTCGAAGGGGACAACGTCGTACGCGAGAGTTGAATGCGATTGTTTCTCAGCCACTTCACCCCACTGAGCGATAATCCGCCTCTGAGCTCCCATAGCCTCTGCAGAGCTTCTCCAGGTAATCCTGGGCCGACCATCTTCATAACAGTACCGGAAGACGTATGCGCGGCTTTCCTTTTTGGCGCGGCAGATACCCCAAAGCTCAAAGATTTCCAGTTTGGGAAGTGACAAGGCTGCTTCGGCCGCGAGGATTATCAGGGATTCGAATTCTCGTCTGCTTCTTTCTGGTGTTGAGAGGGAACAGCGCAGACTAAGACGTTCTAGAGAGCTTTCAACCACCGTAGGCGAATCAACCAGTCCAATAATAGACCGAAGGAAAGGCAGTTGTGTCCATCTGCCATGGCGGACAAAAATATTCCAATCTCTGAGAAAGCTTTGCCATCTCCTGAGGCAAGTAACCTTGAGCATGTGGAGAAATGTCGGTTCCTAGGCCCCTGTCGAGGTATCTGCGCTCCTTTCTGGGGATCTCCCACTGTGTGAAAGAGAGTTGGCGTAGTGTTTTTGGCAAGGAGGGCAGTAAGTGCTGTCGGACGCCTGAGAAGAGGGTATGTTAGCTTTCAGATACTCACCGTAGCGATTGGCCCGCGTTATATACCTCGATCAAAATAAAGCTGCGAATGAGGCTCTAGCGAAATAGTTCGCTCGAAGCGGAACCATTCCAAGGCCACAAAGCTTCGGCCAATTAGCCAGGACAACGTCCTTATATGAATTTCCCTGAAGAATTGTCTGCGTATAACCAGACCTTTGACCATGGGAACGGCAGCAAGACTCTTAGCTTGATTGGTGAAACGGCCTTTCTCTCCATTTTGTGGTTGCAAATAGAGAGGAGTTCCCTGAACCCGGTTGATGTGGTCGCCGCTCAATGGCGGAAGCCCGCTGAGATGAAGAAGGCCGCTAACCGGGTCACTCATATTCGTCCGGTGATAGTCAATAATACTACCCGCAAGGTCGAGGTCTTCGGCGTAGTGAAATGGATAGTCGTCTTTCATTTCGCATCGAGTAAAACGATGTTTGGTATCGCTGGGCGAGGAAGCGGACAACATCAGTTCTACTCCCTGAGCTCCGTGTCTCGCGGGATCCCAACGTTTGAGAGTTCCTAATAGGGTCTGAATACACGTTGAGAAGATCATGTTGTTGCTGCGAGAATGTGTTAGCACGGAATACGCAAGTATCAGAGTAAGAAATGTATAAATGCCTCAACATACTCTCGCTGTGTTGCCACATCCTCTGGTTCATCACATTTGGGGCACTCGTACTCTGAAAGCTCAACTCGAAGCCAGAGCTTTTGGATATACGCCAAACGAACGTCATCTCGTCTGACGACTGCGTCAAACTCTTCGACAGATTCGGGATTCAGAACAAGACGACGGAATGTACGGGCCTCGAAGAAGATCTGCCATTCAAGGCACACCGAAGCATATTGGGCCACCGTTGGGTAGCTCATGCCGTTGCATTGCCCCCCTGAATCAGGCAAGCACACAAACTTCAGTATCATTTGGCGTACTTCAGCTGGCAGCGAAGCCCACAGCCTGGTCTTCGTGGCTGTCGATGGCGACTCGACCTCGAAGGCGTCGGATTCTACATCCATAACGACGAGAGATATAGTAAAAAGTAATTGATGATGTTCTGTTGGGAGATGATAGAATGGAAGAGCTTCTCTCAAGATACGATTTGCGGGCTCAAATGGATGATGTTTTTTTGTGATATAGTAGAATAGAAAGATGTTGTTTGGGATACGATCTGTGGGTTTCCTCACGGGGCCGTATCTACTATTTAAACAAGCACAACCAAGAATACACAAGTTTGGTGGGCAGGGGAAAAATCAAGGGCACAAAAAGCCACATTGCCTTGATGGCCAGCAATAAAGTTCAAGATATAGTTTCGCACCACAATAAAACTCCACATTTAGCTCAGCCTATCAATACAATAATAGTACAGAAAAGGCGGATAATTCGTTCATGATTCCTTAGTAAATGCACAAAAGTCAACTCTGATCACACAGATCAGTGTAAACGATGAAACAAAGGAAGCATACAGATACCCAATATATTTCTCCTCAATGTATAGGTTTGAGAATGTTTAAATACTCATGCGTAGCATACTAGCTAAAATTTTCCATACACATTGAACACTGAATAACCCCAACTGATAAGCTTTCCATGCTGGCTTATTTCAAGGTATCAGCCAAGCCACGCTGTATCCTTTTCAACTCTAACTCTCAAGCAGCAACACGTTTAACAGTGTCAGTGACAGTTGCAGGCTTTAGTCCTAGAAGATTGTTGGCTAAAACTTCATCCTTGGTATAGTTAGACTTGAGGCCAGGTATGTCACCAAAGCTTGTTGCTCGGACCAGCGCAAGAGCGCCGTTGAAATCGCCAGCGCCTAATTTCTGGTTGGCAGCATCAACCTGCTCCTTGGTAGTGGTATTATTGACTGTCCATTTAGCGCCAGTGATCTCCTCCAGCGCGGCGAGAATCTCATTCTGAGTAGTCTCAACAGAGGATATGAAGAGATACTTGTTGGCAGTTTCCTCAGGCTTCTTCAACACAGCCGCAGTAGCTGCACCAAGATCCTGTTCATTAGTCAGAGTAAACTTTTTGTTGCCGCCATCCCAGATGGTGGCGGTTTTGTTCGCAAGATCAAACTCAAGGAAGCCATTTGCAAGGCCCTATTACGCGTCAATTTAGCCTTTCGCGTCAGTCATGATCAAGTCTTTGAGAAGTACTTACCCAGTCGAATAAAAGAGAGGTAGCAATACCTGTCCAGGAAAAGTTGGCTGATTGTTTGGCCTTTAGATACTCAATGAATTCTGCTTTCGGGGCAAAAAGAGGAAGCAGCTGGAGTACACCAGCATCCTGGCTACTGGCGGAAAACTCAGAGGGTAGGAAGCGTTTAACACCAGCGCTGATGGCAGCGTCAACGACCTTCTTCTGCTCGCCGAAACCGGCGTTACCAAGGGCTGAGATGACAGCGTCCTGGCCTTTGAAAGCTGCCTCAAGGTCTCTGTCAGAAAAGTCTGACTTGTAAACAGTGACTCGAGCAGGGAAAGTGGCAGAGCTATCTTTGCGAGAAATAACGGTAATGTTGAAACTACCGTCAGCGACCAATTCCTCGAGGATGATCTTGCCAATATTTCCACTAGCCTAGAAATATGCGAGTCAGTGATGGGAATTGGTCTCATCAATGTATTGGAACATACACCAACGAGAGCTACGTTCCTGTAGGCCATTTTGGATTTTGGGGAAAGTATGTTTGCTAGTTGGAGTAGGAGTCAGGAAAGAGAGATGAAAAGACTTGATATATCAAGTCTCAATAAGTGATGTTTTACAGAGAAGTGATGGTGATTGATCAAATGCTTTGATCTTCTTGGGGAGAAGACGGTGAAAGATGGAGGGCATACTCGCCCTTTTATATTTGAAAGTGATTCTTAAAGGAAGACTTAGCTGCCTATATACAAAAAGAAACTGGTGAGAAGCTGGAGATACAAAGACGCTCGCAGGGAGTATCTCTAACAAAATGGTAACTTTGTGCATTGACAATGACTACATGTTTCCACTCTCTCGTAGCTAGATTACCTCCATCCAGCAGGGAAAGCAATTACACCATTCTATGCCAATGTCTCTTTTGGGTGGGACTATTCGATCAAATCTGATCATCAAACGAGGTCCTGGCGCGAGACGCTGGAGTTGTGGGACTTGGGCTGTACAATCGCCGCGTCGCCATTGGTTCGCCTCTATTACATCCCCGGCGACAAAATGACGCCGCTGCTTAGAAATGCGGAGGCAGCTCCGTCACCTCCGCTCTCGCCAATAGGAGCGACCTCCGCACCTCCGTTACAGCTTAGACGTAGAGACTCTCACAAGTCGAGGCGGTGACTTTCTCTCCATCTTTACTTTCGACATCAGAACCAGGAGTACAATTTGGCCGAGACCCTTTAATCTTGTGGCTCGAATCTCTCACATTATTAATCCATTACATTCATCGATTACCGCTTCATCGCCGAGTAGCGATCGCAACACTAACGCCTAACCTAGTCGACCCTAGTCTTCAACTCATGGCTCGAAGAGTGGTTGCTCCAGGACACTCTTGTTTCGAATGCCGTCGTCGCAAAATTAAATGCGATAGGTCACTGCCCTGCTCCTATTGTGCCCGTATCAAACTAAAATGTTCATACCCGTCATGGCGATCAAATAGAGGCAACCCTGGGGAGAGCGACTTGGCAGCCAAAGTACAGGCTCTCGAGAGCACTTTGCAATCTCTGGAACAACGAATAACTCGTATTGGAGACTTATCACATGTGAATGCAGAGTTGCCCAGCAGGCAGGATCATACTGAGCGAGAGCACCAGTCCCCTATCGTAAGCATCTGATAGAAGCAGTGGCGTATACCATAGCTGATAGTCTGGTTCTAGGAGGATGCACATGGATTGCCAAGTTCATGCCAGGCTACGTCACGAACTGCGCAGTCAAACTCCAATCAAGATAAAGCCGTTACTCTATCGAGGCATTCTCTTGTGTTGCAAACTTTACCATTTAACAGCTTACGTGGGGTAACACAGCCTCTCGAAACGCTTCACCCTCCTCCTTCAAGCATTGCGTTCATCTGGCAGACATATCTCGATGCAGTCGATCCGCTTGTTAAGGTCTTTCACGTGCCTTCTATCCAAAGACATGTGATGAGTATAAGTCAAGGCCGAGAGATACCCGACGCAGCTACGGAATGCTTGATGTTTGCTGTATACTATTCTACCATAATTTCTATGTCAATTGTGGAGTGTCGTGAGGAGTTTGGTGAAGAGAAACCACGTTTATTGCAAAGGTTCGTGGGTTCGCTTGTTTTTTTTGTGTCCTTTTTCTCTTTTACTGCAGCTCAATGTCATTGACCGTTTTCAGGTACCGGGAGGGAGTCGAACGAACTCTTGTTCGAGCAAACTTCTTGAGCTCAAGAGACATAACAGTATTACAAGCATTTGTCATATATCTGGTAAGTATGCTTTCTGTGGAGCAGAGTGGAGGATCTGAAGTGGCATATCTGATAGATTTAACAACAGATCTGTGGACGGCTAGATGAAAATGGCCCCGATGTCCATGCCCTTATCGGAATCGCGATTGGCAACGCTATGAAGCTGAGCCTCCATATTGATATTCCTGGAATGTCTACATTTGAGACTGAAATGAGGCGTCGGCTTTGGTGGCAGATCTGTACCTTGGACGTTCGTGTTGCCGAAGTTTCTGGCAGTGAACCATTCATTATTGAGCCAAGTCTCCATACAGAACTGCCACTTAATATCAACGATATAAGCCTGGACCCTCATATAGGCGAGTTAAGCCCGCAGCCAGGACGAAGCGAAATGCTGTTCAGCTTGGTGCGCATAGAAATAAGCAATTTTGCGCGACGAATAGTGTTTTCGGATCAATTCTGCCGAATTAATCACTACGGCATCATGAATGAAGCAGAAAAGTGTCAAGTAATAGATGAGTTCAAGGGGCGCATTGAGAAACAGTTTCTGTCGCATTGCCATGAGGCGATTCCGCTAGATTGCCTGATAGTTATGAGCAGCAGGCTGATTCTTGCAAAGCTGAAGCTGGCTGTTTATAGGCCGCGCCCAAATCAACATCCCGAGATGCCCGTGCGAGCTAACTATAGAAACGCTTGCGAGAAGTTTTTGGAACAGGCACATGAATTGCGACAATATATTAGGGGCCGCCGGTGGCTGTGGTTATTTCAGTATATTGAATGGGATGCGCTTGCATATCTACTGCTAGACCTATGCATCACGTTGTCATTGCCAAGTCTATCGCCAAATGAGCTCATTACAGCGCCGTGGAAAGTGGTTGATGGCATTTATAATTACTGGAAAGAACAACCTGACGTCCATCGAGACGGTGGCTGGATGAAGATTGAGAAGCTTTACTCAACCGCTCTATCTGTAAAGGAGAAGGCTCAAAATGCGACGCAAGCAACCCAGATGATTCCATCTTATTGTTCTCTGGAGGCACATGATCAGCCTGAAGATCCGTCCAATGACATTGAAATGCAACAACAGTACGGATCAAGTCCAGATTCTGCTTCGGCTGAAGAAGCCCAAAGCGCTGCAACCACCACTGACCTGCCTGGAGCGGGGACTGCTTGTGAGTGGAGCGCTTCCTTAATAGAGACATATTGGGAGGTCGCCGGGCATGGGAGCGAAGGATTCTAGTGTAAGGCACTCAAAGTAGTGTTATAGTTCTTATAGACGGAAATCATTTCCTTGGATATGAACCCTGACGGGTGCAAAGGTGTAGGTAGTCATGCGTAATGCGATGAGTGCAGCGATTTATAGCAGTAAAATCAGCCCATTGTCGCACCAATTGTTGATTGGACTATCCAGCTCAGTTCAAAGAGTTGTTGCCATCGTGAAACAGAGCCACAACCTATGCTGCGGTCACTCATAAGCATGGATAAGCCACTCACCGCTGATAGCAATATCCTTTGCATTGAGGCTCGAGCTCCAACACTATGGAACATCTCTGGGTCCCCGAAACATCCCCCCGTGTAATCAGTAAGTCAGATAAGCAAAACTCTTGGCGTTAAAACTTGTGACGGTAGATTATCACCACTGGTAATTCTAACGACGTTTGAGAGACAGTGTAGCGTGTACAGGTAGCAGGAAGAGTGAATAATCTGCAATGGATTGAACTGGACTGTTTAAGACGATAAAATATTACTGAACATCCGCAACGCAATAAGCACTAACATTGCATTAAGCTAACTACGAGCCGCATGCGAAGTTTCTAGTATTAAGCTTACTTCTTAGATCCACAGTGTGCCAGTCATTAGTCGCTCAGTTATAACTAGGTGCCGCCCGCCGCTGCATTTCGTTTAGCTGTGCGGCGCATGAGCGTTCATCATGAAGCCGTCGATAGCCCCACAGAGCCTGAGGTCCATCAGCCGACATAGGTTGGCAACATATTTACGAGATACCTCACGCAACACATCCCTTTTAGGGAAACAAACAGCACATAGCGCTCTTACGAGGCATTTTAATCACTCAGCTCGTCTTCAACGCATACCAGGCAGAGGAAACGTTGATTCGGGATCTGGTTCCTCTTCACGGGAGCCAATATGGAGACGAGGACCAATCTTTTGGAGTCTTATTATACTCGTTTACGCAGTATCCGAGTTTGGTCAGGGTTATTACATCGGTTATTGGAAAGAAAGAGGCTGGCAGGCGCAAAACAATTACTCTCGAATGCCATGGAGTGATGAGGCAGCTGATGAATCTTCAAAGGGAGACAGTGGCCCTATATCTTCTGATAAAGATGGATACAAGCCACTAACTCGGCCCTTGGAGATTCGGGTGTTGGTACTGCACCCTGGCGAGAAAGGTTCTCCAATCAAATGCAGTCTTCAGCACAGTGGTCTCAGAAGTAAAAAGTCCGGCTTCGAAGCCCTTTCCTACGTCTGGGGAAACCCAGCTGTCACGAATGAGATTACTTGCGACAACAGAGGAAGAAAGGTGGGCAGAAATCTTTACGACGCACTTGAGCGGCTCCGACTTCCCGACGTAGATAGGGTACTATGGGTTGATGCACTTTGTATCAACCAGAGCGACAACAAAGAGAAGACGCAACAAGTTCGCATCATGGGCGAAATATATAAAAGAGCACGAAGGGTACTCATTTGGCTAGGGAAAGGTGATGACGTCCAACAAGGAATAGGGAAACTGGCATCAAGACCAGCCAATGAGAAACGTGTCGATTGGTCACCACTCAAGCCTGTTTTCACAAATCCACTGTTTATTCAAGCCCAATCTTTGCTCATCTGGCTCGGATTCGAAGGGGTAGTGAATATGGGAGTGGCAAAGCTTGAAAGACCACAATCGTCTGACAAATTTGACTGGTCTTCGCTTATACCTGTCATCCAAAGCCCATGGTTCACTAGGGTTTGGTGTATACAAGAGCTCATCTTGGCATCAAATCCCATAATAGTCACACGCGACTCTGTGATATCCTGGGACGAATTTGCCAAAGCGGTTTTGGCGCTTAGAAGGCAGTTCAACGCTTATCGGATGAAGACACAGCACCAGGGCAATGAGTCAATTGAGAACTTCTACTTCCTACACGACATGCGCGAAAGGCATAAGATGAGAAGGAAGAAAAGGCATAGTCTTTTAGAGCTGATGTTCTTGACTCGAGGCTTCCAAGCTACTGACCCTCGAGACAAGCTCTTCGCGCTTATCGGTCTAGCTGGAGACGTGCTATCGTCTGATTGGGAGGTGACGCCGAATTACGATTTATCTGTGGCCGAGGTTTATCGCCGCTTTGCTCTCTGGCACCTCACTCGTAAACGGCACTTTGAAGCCTTCTCCTTTGGCCGTAACCAGGACCTTCCATTGTCTCCGCAACTGGAATCTTTGCCGTCTTGGGTACCTGATCTGACGAGGCCAGATTTTACCGCGCCGTTACCTAAGCTGGAATATCTATCTACTAATTACATCGACTTGCGCTACGAAGTGCTGAAAGAATTCGAGCTGCGTAAGAAATATTTCCATGAAGGTATCAAGATCTACCATGCGGATCTCAAATATCCTTGGTGGGCACTCGGTCGACATTCCGATTTTCGGCCTGCACAAATTGCATTTTCCGATGGTACGGCCGTGATACACGTCGTGGGGACCAAAATTGGGTCCCTCAAAGCACTGGGAACACCTTTTGATCAAGAAGCTGCTGTAGATGTATCAAGATTTTCACCAAAAACGCTTGAGGACACCGACGCTGAAGACTTGAGATTTTCTTCCAATGTTTTGAATACATATGAGTGGCTTAGCGAGACGTGGGCTTTGGTTGGAGAAGTCACTTTAGGAGACAAATATGCTCAAATCTCCAGGAACACGATTGGTAGAGTCTGGAGGACGGTGACTTGCTGTATGACAGCAAAAGGAGAAAACGCTCAATCTACCATCTATTCTCGTGCTGCGCAGTCATTGTATGAGAAGTTTCTCGACAGAGCGCAACGAATTGAAGCTAAAATCGCGAAAAATGGCACCACGCCGACAAAAGGCACCTCGGCCAACGTTGATGCGGAAAACACTGGCTTCAGCACTATATCTTTCACGGAAGACGAGCTCGAGAAATTACTGCTTATACACATGAGCGTGATTAAATGGCACCAAGGACGGCGGTTCGCCATTACAGACTCGGGCGATTTTGCTGCTGTACCTAGAGCAGCGCGGAAGGGAGACGTTGTCTGCATCTTCAATGGAGGGAGGGTACCTTATGTACTTAGACCGGGTAAAAATGGCCACTACACTCTTGTTGGAGAGTGCTATGTCGATGAGATGATGAGGGGAGAGGTTAGAGACCGGTTTCCAAGAAAGGCACACGAGACGAGTTTTTCGATAGAGTAGCATAGAAGTAAAGCAAAATACAAATTGTTCCAGCGGACCTGAATCATAGCCCGTAGAGACTGGGTATGTCTTTGTGTTAGATTGCGCATGTGGGCAGAGTATGGCGAATCATATCAGGGACCAGTACACCCAGTAGCAATGAGCAGTTTGAAGATACTGGGCTACACAAAAAGCATCGAAAAGGCTACATGATTACGTGTACAAGATGGAATTCCTCCCTACTGGTATTGTACCAACAAGTTGCGAGAGCCGGTACCTGAATTGTGGGTATCTGTAGTGTCCCCCCCACAGTGATCGGATCACGATCAAGCTTTCTGGATCGGAGCAGCCTCTCTTATGGCTTCACGGTGCACACGCGTCGCTTTTGTGATAATCTAATTTTAAGAGATCTTATCTCATGATAATGAGCTCATACATGTAACTTGAGGTAGACAAGAGCAAGCAACTTGTACTCGAGAGATAGAGACTCATTTTTTATCCTTTGTATCGCCAACAGGCGTCGATGTCGATATGTGCAATACTGTACGTATATACTTTCAGTCTGTATTCATCCGCCAGCCCCGCCCTGGCATAGTGTCTGAGATGGTGTTCATGAGGCCAAGAAGGTTTATCGCCCATTGTCATCTTCCCGTATTTTCCGTCAGTTAGCCATATCCCACGTTCAGTATGCCACTCTTCGTCGTTGGCAAGACTGCCCCTTCGCCTTGCCCCTCTGACTGCTTTTCTTCCGTATATAATGACATTGCAGAGCAACTCCTAGACACGCATATTATGCAACAAGCGTATTGCAGAGTGATAATGCGCTTTATCGTATGAACCGCATCGACCCGCTAGAGTAACTGCTCGTGCCGCGCTCTAGTGAAGTAGGAAGAGGTCTCCTTAGATTGGTACCTGAATGTGAGGTGTGCCACCCTCTTTATAGCGCCAATATGAAGCCTTGGGCCAGGAACAAGAAGAAACACCAGCTATGTCGAGAATACTAGCAGAACATTGAGCGTAAGAGGCCGACATGTCTGCGTGTACCTACACATTGTTGCAAGAGAGTCGCTTGCCATTTTGACGCTATGTGGACGCCATATAGCCCGCTCACTTAAGAGCAATTGGAGATGAGATTTTTTGTGGTGCAGTATGATGCGCCATCCCTCTCTTGTCTCCAGTCGTCAGTCGAGAGCACCAGAGGTTTGGATATGGAGCGAGATCCGAGAGCACCCCTGGCTACAGCTTTAGGCTCCCCGGCGACCCAGCTATCATCATAAGTTCTCCTTTCACTTCCAACCTCATTCCACATTACTTTCCGTTCCTCCCAGTATCGAAGCACAAGCAAACTACGTTGTCAGTCTGATATAGACGATCGCGGATGTCGCGATACCACCAACTTTGATATCCGTACTGCTGCCGCATCTGATAACGTGAACCCCGGCCACCCCCACAGCCCATCGCGGCCGCCAGGGGTGCCTTGTCGCCAGGGATATCATTCCCCGCCCTGCAGGCGGTCGAGTCCCTCTATGAAGAGCCATTCTTTTCCTCCGACGAATACGCAGACTTTTCCAGCACCAGCATCAGCTCTCAGTCTTCACTAGAGACCTCTTTTGAGCACCCAGGCTGAGAATACACAGACTGGGCACGTATTATACCCACGCGTTATGTGCCCTATGAAGAACCAGAGAAACCAGATCGAAAAGGGTGTTGGCAATGGGCCTTGGTCGTCTTTTTTATTGCTACTCCTGGGAGCATTGGAGGGGTGATTGTTGCTGTGCATCACTGATGGTCTCTAACTAAGGTATCAATGCGAGGCGTTTACTGTTGCGTCTGCTTCGGCTTCTCGTTCTCGTTCTTGTTTATCTTCTTTTTGGGGGGGTTCATTTCTACTATTTAGTTGCATCATATTTGTATCAAATGGACAACACTTCCAATTATCAATTGCGTGCTTATGCTATTCGGCATTGCGCATTCACTTCGCAGCATCCGAGTCAGTGCCGTTAACCAGCAGATTCTAATTGCAGCCTAACTGTATGGTTAGATAAGTGCCGCTGTACCGAGTCCAGGAGGCTTGAAGCGAAGCGCAGCATCAATTTGCGCTTCTATTCTTGAAGATGATCCCATGTCCACAGTTGGCAACTGAAAATGTTATACCCGTCATCTCATGACAGTTACAATGAGCATCGCATGGACGGCTAAACCCGATATAGCTCTCTTCTGGTGGCTGAACTGGCGCTTCTGCCAAGGTACCCGAAGTGAGCTCAGGTACGGAGTACAGATACACGTATTCCTGCAGGACCACACCGATAGTGTCTACATGTATCCGCACTACTGTGTACACCGAATGTTGAGTTCCTTACATGCAAGGTCTTCCACCTCACAGTTGCTTCACGTCATACATGAGAATTTATAAGAGATGTTGGCAATGAAATGTCGAAACACCACCAACGATCTAGAACATGCCGCTTCTGATCATTGTACAGACGGTTCAAAGCTAAATGACAGGCACCTAGCCCTGTCTTTTCAACCATTAGCAGAGCAGACTTCAGCCAAGCGCGGCTTAGTGCACTCTATTAACTACTAGTATTAAGCTCAGACCCAGTCATGCAGAGGTGGGCGAGCGATTTCGGCCGCGGGAGGAAAAGAAAAATCGCCGAAGTTTTCCCCCCACCTCATAAATTCCACCTCAACAAGAGTCACCGGCCTCACCACGAAACCACACCCTCAATTGGCCTGAGAAGCATCATCCACCATGCTCTCAGGCGTCTCCATGGCCTCGCGCGCCGGCGCTCGCCACGTTGTTCGACGATCCGCCTCGATTCTCCCTTCGCTGGGCCCGATCCGATGCCTCGCCGGCCGACAGAACAGCCTCCCCACTGCTGGTTTGGCTATGAGCCAGCGACGACTTTATGCCATCGCGACGAATCCCAATCCCAACCCTCCCCTCGGCAAGAAGAATGCGGCAAACGAAACACCGTCTCGAATTGGCTTGATTGGAGCCCGAGGCTACACCGGCCAAGCTCTGATTGAGCTCTTGAACGAGCACCCTAACATGGATCTTCAACATGTGTCGTCTCGAGAGCTTGCAGGCCAGGAACTCAAGGAATATACCAAACGCAAGATCGTCTACGAAACCTTGTCGCCCGAGGATGTTGCTCAGCTGGACAAGGACGGCAAGGTGGATTGCTGGATTATGGCTCTTCCCAATGGCGTTTGCAAGCCTTACGTTGAGGCCCTGGATCAAGGCAATAGCAAAAGCCTCATTGTTGATCTCTCGGCCGACTTTCGTTTCGATGACAAGTGTAAGTCTTCGATTGATAAAGTCACATTTCGGCGAGATTGGCTGCAATACTGACCTGACAACAGGGACGTATGGCCTCCCGGAACTTGTAAAACGTTCCGACATTGCACAGTCCAGACGCATCGCGAATCCCGGGTGCTACGCGACTGGTGCTCAGATAGGTCTCAGCGGCGCCCTAGACTTAATCGAGGGTACGCCCGTCATCTTTGGCCTCTCAGGCTACTCTGGAGCAGGATCCAAGCCAAATGCGAGGAACAATGTGGAAGTGCTTAAAAACGCGATTATACCTTACTCATTAACATCGCATATCCACGAACGCGAGATATCTCACCGACTAAACCATCAGGTTTCCTTTATGCCCCACGTGGCTGGGTAAGTCAACGCTTTGAGTGGACCAAAAAGCATGGATGGCAACTAACGAATTAAAAAGATGGTTCAGGGGCATCACGTTGACTATCAACATTCCTCTCCGTAAGGAAGTGACTTCTCGAGAAATCACCCAGATGTACCAAGACCGCTACGCCGGGGAGAAACTCATCAAGGTTGTGGGGGAAGCACCATTGGTGAGCGCGATTATGGGACGCCATGGAGTAGAGATCGGAGGCTTCTCCGTCGACCCCTCTGGAAAGCGTCTAGTTTGTGTAAGTCAATGATTCGCCTCGAAAGGATCTTATTATACTAACCTGGAGCCAGGTGGCAACGATCGATAACCTCGCGAAGGGTGCCGCCACCCAGTGTTTGCGTGAGTAGCCCCCTTTGGTTGACAAGCGCATTGCATCGCTAATGGATCTGCACAGAAAACATGAACCTCGCCCTTGGCTATGCAGAGTATGAGGGAATTCCTGTCATGTGAGGGCGTTAGCCAGAGCCATATTGATGATCTGTCCTGGGTACGAGTTGTTTGGATGTTAGTTTGAACTCGTTGGTATCAACCCTCATACCAGATACACCCCGAATGTATCTGGCTTACGGCTTTCAGTGTCATCAGACGCAATGCTTTTTATATCTAGGCCGGGAATACATTAATAGATTCACTGAACGGGTAGGAAAAGGGGCACATGGACTTTAGTGTGTCACCTTGGCCTCATATCCCATGTTGAACAGCTTCCAAGCTGCATACGAAGCGGAGGATATATCAACAGAGATTCAATCATGACAGACACAAGCACAGTAGAAATGAGTTTAGATGATACAAGGAATGAGTTTAGATGATACAAGGTTATTTGAAGGCACATACACCAACAGCAACCGTGGGCGTCCAGTTATATTCATCCTGATCATTCACATCACAAAAGCGGCGGCACCTAGAACGCGCTAGTACCGGGCGTAAACGCTCATGTATATCATCCATATCCTAATCGACAGTGGCAGTTATACAATTAACATGCAATCACCAAATGAGTCAAACTCATATCCACCCTTGTCTGTGATCTCAGAATAGCCTCGTAAAGCCAAATCTTTACCCCCAAAGGCTGCTACTAGCACAAGATGGCTAGACCGTGGGTGGTGTAGGCTTGTCAACAGTATATCCGCAATTTTGAAGTGGAATCCAGGATATATATATAGATCAGTCCACGCGGACTTTGCCCGAAAAGCAGCCCCTGGCTCTTTGCTGTCTACAAGAGACTCAAGTGTTCGTAAGACGGTTGTACCGATGGCGATGACACGACGACCCTCAGCTTTTGCTTGGCTTACTTGTGCAGCTGCTATTTCACTGATTTCATAATACTCTGACCCCACTTTGTGATCCTCAATATTCTCTTCGTCAATTTTTCTGTCCATTAGACTGCCAGCTGTAGCAACATGCAACGTGATATACGCAATCTCAACTCCCTTGGCGGTGGCCTCTGCTAGGCTTTCTCTTGAAAAATGAAGCCCAGCTGACGGGATCTGTAGGGAGCCAGGCTTTCTAGCGAACACGGAACGATACGCCTGAGGAGCGGTTTTCCAGTATGTCGTATGGAGAAGACTGAACTTGTCCAAGCGCTGTCCATGTTGCTCGAGCGTTGACACCAAAAGATCAAAGGGCTCAAACTTTGCCCTCCAAAGCTGTCCAGTGTGGTCAGGATGCGGCTCTTGAATATGGAGAGTGAGCTTGTTGTTATCCATTGACGTGAGAACGAGCCCCGCCTGGACCAAGAGTTCTTCAGCTTCAATTCCGACAACGCATATGTTGCCAGGCTCATAGCCATACACGGACACTTGCGCAGTACCATCGCCGTGCTTAAACTCCAACATGTTTAAGAGCATGTAGCTGTCATTCAGCACCAGAAGATCGCCTGGCCTGAAATAGTCACAAATGGAGGAAACTGAAGTGTGTTCGATCTTCCCTCCAGAGCGATCAAGCACAATCATCTTTCCGCCATCGCGAGTCTTGCCGCGAAGCTCAACAGGGTCGTGCGGTACGATCGCAGGGTCAAGCTTGAAGTCAAAGTCTTCCGTCTTCATGGTCAACTGATTGCCTCAATCTCTATAGTCTGCAGAATAGAGCTGGGAGGCTGAGCTTAGATAGTGATGAGAATGGCAATTGCAATCCTAGATAGAGTTGTATCGGATTATCGGTTAGAGACACAGCGTCACAGAGAGATGTCCAATCTCAATGAGCATCTCAAGTAGTATCTACTCCGCTACCTAAGTATCTTCTAGTGTTAGCCTGTGGAATATATTAAAATATATTAAAATACCCCTCATCAATGTCACATTTATGACGACCACTTTGATGCAGGTAAATATGCAGCCAGTATAATCGTCCATGCCTATTACATCTCTAGGTTTTTGTGCCGAAGCTGACTAAAATATGCGAGCATGAACATGATAGACCGATAACCTATGTGACCGTCATTTGGATATTGGATTTCACTGAGGGATGTATTCCAGAGCTGTATGACAAAAGAGACTCTACCTCGTTTTCATGTTAGCCTGTCTGGAAAAATGGGCCTTCCTATCATTGGTGTAAGTTAACATAGACTCGCCGCATCAGGGGCAGATATCTATAAAGCCTGGCACCATTTCACTACCCGAATAGATGGTTATTAAATACAGATTAATTACAGATTAGTTTGTCGTCTCCCAACAGCACTAATAGTCAGCCATAGTGCTTTCACTATTATGTTTCCCCTTCAGTGGCTGAGATAGCAAACAAAGAAGCGACAGTGTAGACTTTGTAGCGACGGAAAAGACAACCTGTAGTATACTTGTATTCTTGTACCCCTAGAGAGTTAACAATGAAATATATCCAATACGGGGACATACATACTAAAATTAGGGAGCAAAGAGTAACTGAGGATTCTGCTACTGCTGCAACGCTGATGATCATGTCTTCTAGTAGTTCATGACCCAGTCTATAAACGCATCATTCTCAAGATCGTAGATTTGGCTCGCAGCTTGTCTATCCCTACGAGACAAATTTAAATAGCATTGGCGGCTGTTCACCTTGGGAGCCATGAAGCTTCCTGATATGAATGCCGTTTCGTTTATTCTCAAATATAAGGCTCTTTTTCAGCCGGCAGCTATGCTATTCTTCTGGCGCAAAGAGGAAAAGACGTTGTATTTTGTTAGCAAAGGATGTAGATGGGGATCTGAGGGACGTTGTCATTGTCGTCAGAGTCAGCAGGGTATGGGGGGCTGTCGTGCGCAATCATACGATCTCAACACCATGCCCAATATAAACGACCATGGAGTGTAAAAAATTGAAAAGTCCTTGCTCTACATTTTTTATAAACCAGAACATTTGCTTTTATAGTAAAGAAGCCATTCTTGGAAGCCAGCGAACCTCATCTGCTCTATCTAGCCCTATCAAGCGAGCCCAACATCTTATCGGCACCAAGGTCAGCAGCTGAAATAGCCTTGGAATCCGCGTGAATTTTATGACATGCATTTCCCCTCATGAATGACTCGTTGAGCCTGAAAATGAGATGTCTAATAATAATTACTATTCAGCTATAGAATAGCTAATCTTACTCAGCGCTAACACCTGAATGAGGGATAATTCATTTGTCCTAGCTTCATGGCATGCGTATTCTTTTAGGCACATTGGAATTTTTTGAGCAGTAAATGCTATATAATAACCCAAACGTTCTACTCGAGAAAACTACAGCATAGCTACTTTATCTCAAACTACAGCTAATTGGCCATGTCAATCTTGCCCCCACCAACCACTGATCTGGTTTACCAGGTGGACTTACTGGAGAGCATTCGCCAGGGCCATCCAGTACGAACATCAGAGCTCACCACCTCGCATGAACAGAGGAAAGCAGATTACGAATATGTCCAGACTGGACCGCCGATGCTCACCTTTCTAGGCATTTCCAGACCCAAAACAACATACCACGTATACATACATCCCACCTTAATCGCGCGCTTTGATCAAATACAATCAGCCATAGGTAAGGCTACAACCAACATCATTGAGAGATGGTTCTCGGACAAAAAGGCGGATTTTCCGTCAAGGATGCCCATTGAAAAACATGAAGAAGACGTACTCAGAGTATGAGAACCAGAATATCTGTTACTCTTGTGCCTAGGGTTAACAGATGTCTCAGTGGATCGCCTCGTCGGGCATTGTGCCAAGATATGCCGGAAGAGAAGGTTGTTCGCGCCCAGATTTTCTGTTCTCCGCCACTTCTCAAAACCCATATCAACCCACTATTTGTGAGATCAATGCTCGGTTCCCTTATAACTCGTGGTTCTTTGTCGAGGCTGCGACAGATCCATTTGAGAGGGCTGGTCTCCGAAATAGCGGGCTGAAAACAGGCCATGATTCCGTGGTAAGCATCGATAGTTCCAAAATTAGTGTTTCGACATCGTATTAATGAGAAATCGAAACATAGGCCTTTAGCGATGCCGTCGTAAGTCTCTTTGACTCATCGCATCCCGGCCACATTCTGCTAGGTAAACAGTGGATAGGATTTGACGTTCATTTGCTTCCAGACAAGTTCAAACAGAGGACAGAGCATGAGATGCGGATAATCTCACCATCTGATCTAAGACTTACAGAAGATTCGGAATCTCCAACAGGCTATCACCTTTCGTGCACCATCACAGCTAGCGAAGAGCTGGAGCGGGTGTGGCAGATTAGCTTAGATATGGTCCAGGCCGAGATTCAAGAATTTTCGCCGGAGATGTTGCGTGAGATCGCTCGCATCTGCATCAATGATCTACGATCCGTCTTCTTGCTTCATGACAAGCGCTTTCTAGGGATTGTGCTCGAAGACGTCGGCAATTTATTAGAGCAAGGAGTAGTGGATTCCATGGAAGCTCAATTGCTAAAGGAAAGCATTGCGCCTACTTTTGTTCCAGGCTCAGCGGGTTGGCATGAAGCGATTTCTTCACCAAATGCCAAGGAGGAACTGGTGCTGAAAGATGCTCGTGGGGGGATTGGAAGGGCCCACGTCTTTGGACACAATGTCACCCAAGAAGAATGGGACGAATGTATTCGGGCGGCTGGCGATGGCAAGCTTGTTGACGGTAAGGGATTCGTCCTTCAAAGAAAGGTTGATCAAGTTTCCTTTGACATTTTAATCCCGACCGGAGATTCCTTCCAGAGCCGTTATCTCATTGGCGCATGGGCAGCCGTCAACGGTCGATATCTTGGCTTGACCTCCATGAGGTTGGGACATGATTTGGGGTGTGTGCCGCCACCAGACGGCGGCATGGCTATTCTCTCGGTTACGTCTGCTTCATAAACCATGATTTCACGCCATATTGAACCACACGTAAATAGATCTTATAGCAAAAGTCATTGGCCATCAGGCTGCAATGCCATCTGTTGTTCTTCTGGAGCGTAGTGAAAGATAATCTCTTATAGAGAATTCTACTATGTAGATTCACCAGAATACAAGTGTATCATAATACGTATGACTAGATAAGCAAAAGAATAAATTCTTGATAAATAGCATGGCCAAATATGACCTATGGCACTTTAAAGTAGGTATCGGAATCTACTATTTCGTACGGGACCCTCTAGATTTGTACCATCTTCCCTATCCAATTTCTTGTTTTCTCTCCCAAGCGCAATACGTAAAACTGTAGCAAAACAAAGCGACATAGCAAGCATGGCTATATTAATGCAAAAGGCTTTGGTATACCGCGGCGCGTCGGAGTCTTAATTAATTATAACAGGTCAGCCCTGTGATAGCTCACCAAATAAGAGGATACCTACCAGGATAGAAGTAAGATGTATAGATCGAGCATGCATTACTTATACAGTTGATCATTGCAAGTGCGGCTGCACGTTTGTCTGCGGGCCTCGGGATCACTGCCTTCCAATGAGCTAATACTTTATCAAGAACACAAGAGAGCGGTCTTACCGTTTGAAATATATCCCAAACATACCACGTAGCCAGAATAGACTGATCCAACTACGAAACTCATCGCGCTTGGGAGTTGTTAATCTCTTTGCAGGTGGCGGGTGTCTTCGAAAGAGCAGCCAAACTTACACATATCGAGGTGCGAAAGATGTCGTCGATACACCTAAAATGAACGATGCGATAGCAAGTACCGAAGGCAAAGTTATGTGCAGATATCGTTCCCCGGTTTTGTCGGCATGCCAAGCATTGATGAGCAACATCACGGCCCCAATCAAATAAGGCGGCGTTGTTAAAAGTAGTGTCTCCACGGTGCCTTTACCTAGACCTTTCATAACGCTGAAAATTCCTTCTTAGTAAAAAGGCGCGCAAGAATATCCGTCACTTCAGCCATCTGGAGTTAGATGCACTCACGCTGGGAAAAAGGTGGTTATGGATCCGGCGGATACCGAGCCATACACTGACCCAAGAAGCAGCCAGACCTTATAATCGCTACGTGATGGAAATATTAGCATTGGTGATTCCCAAACCTAGGGATCAACCTACAAGAATGCTGCTTTTGCCCCCGCTATGAAGGACTGATGATTGCTATCCACCCAATCATCTTCTCCTATATCCGCTTCCAACCTCCATACAGCCAGTTTCTTCTCCTGGTTATTGAGCCAAGACGTAGTGCGAGGCAGATCCGGGATGATAAAACAGGCGATAATGGCCACCGTGATCTGAAGCGAGTACAATAAGCATCACTCTAACCATCGAATTCGAGTATGTACCCTATGCACCTTCATACCGATATCTGGCAGATGGCGCGGCGCTACATCATTGGGCAAATATTGCCGATATGGTGAATGTTCAAGAGTTACTTACCGTCATGCATCCCTCAATGATGAAAAGCCACCTCCATGCCGAGAGGCCACGAGCTCCGTCGAGGTTTTGAGTAATTCCCGCCGCAAAAAGTCCTGAAAAAGCGCCGGATATGATAGAGCCAGAGTAGAGCACCGCCGTTCGCTTGACCAACTCCTTTCGAGTGTACCAGCATGACAACAGATACAAACAGCCAGGCTAGATATTGTTAGTATATCCTAACGTGGTGCGTGCCTCAGTTGGAGGCCTTACAAAATAAGCCGCTTCTATAATACCAAGCAAAAGTCGACAAACCAACAAGCCGCCAAAAGTCGTCGTCGCTGCTGTTGCGGTTGACACAATACCCCAAGCTACCATGCAGCTTGGAAGGTATAGAGAAGGCTTTCCAAGTTTGTTTAAGAGAAGATTAGAAGGAACTTAGAGGAAGTTAGCTCAATGATGCTGATATAGAAAAGAAGGCGTGTTACGAAACCTTGCATCAGAATATAGCCAACGAAAAGAATGCTGACTGATGTCTTAAGGTGGAATCAGCACAACAAGCAGTTAAATAATGGTGGCACATGTGTGCGTGTTTTGAAGGTGTTACCTCGTATTGGTTTCCGTGGAGATTCAAGTCTGTCTGCATACCAGCCAGCTTGGCTGAAGCGATGTTGTTGCGATCAAGATAGTTGAGAATGTACATTAAAATAGTCATCGTCAACAGTCTAAAGTCCACTTTTCTGATCATTTTGCGTTCCACCCGATTCCTCTCATCGTCGGTCATATTTTCGAAGGGTACTGACTCCGCGGGCCCAGATAATTCTATCTGTGTAGCCTCGCTCTTTGGATCCTCCATAGCTTAGTATTTTGAGACGTGTAAATCCCTAAATTAGCGGAAGTTGAGTGGAAGAAAAGGTGGAAGAATAAAAACTGGGCGAATGTACATGGACGGCATTATAGACAAACAATGTGAGGCCTTCTCCTCTCTGTATATATTTAAACCCGGGACAACACACATGTGGCTAAAAGTCTGGGGAGACGCATCAGATGTGGGGAACTAAAGAGAAATACTACGTATCTAGTAGGTCATGGCAATGAATGTCTCTTTTCTTAAGCTTAATCATATGACGCCTCTGCTAGCGAGATACTAACGGCTATATTGCCAGCCCAGTTAATCGTGTTAGGAGGCAAGGGAGGTTGGCGCATCTCCTGGTCCTCGGTCCATTTGAGATCGCCAAGTGTCTTCCCGCTTTTTGACTTCCTATTTTACTTTCTGAGGCATTTTCTTTGCGCTGGTTTGGTCCGATTTGGGGTCGCTTAAGCACCCCGCATGGAGTACGGCTTGGCGATCGACTTCTTTCTCGAATGCTTGTTACTTTCGGGTGGCACTAACCCGACAGCCTTCAGTAATTGCAGTTGCTGTGCTAGCCATGCTTCTTGACACACCACTCAAAAGTGAGTGCATCTTTCAGATTTCCATGGGTTTCTCTTAAGTGACTCTATAGTTGAGTACTCTATGCCATGTTACAATGAAGCATTAGACCAGGCTATTATTTTATGTTGTTCGTAGCCCTCTTGCAATATAGCACCTACATACCTAGGCTATTGGAACGATACGTATCTACAGGCCCTTGCCAGATGGATAGGACGTAAATTAACATATAAAGATGTGTTTCCACGACACATCTTAGAGGGCAGATAATCGCGGCGTATCTATGATGCCAACGTTCTAAACACATGTCGAGAAGAGTCCCAGCTTAGAAAGTTGGTTCTTCAGTTGTGGCTAGGTTTGGAAACAAGTGGCGGGGTTGGTGATTTCTCAAACAGGTACTTAGGATGTATATACCCTGGAAGTTACCACATGCGTATAAGAAGAAAGAAACAGCGTAAAGATTGCCAGATAGGTAAGTTATCTATGTCGCTGTCAGAAATATTACAGCAAAAAGTATTCTGTCCTGGGAGACATGCAGAAGGTGGATGAGACGCAATCCCGCCGTTCATGGCAGACTGTGCTGTTTATGCCGCCTGGAGGGGATTCCATAACTCAAAGGGCAGCGCTAATCTTGGATTTGCCGGTTCAGCCGTTTGAGTGGCTTGACTTGTGGCAAAGGCGGCCCGATAATTGCCATTTTCTGCTCTTTGGTGGTTCTCAAGTGGTGGCGCGGACCGCCCTAAATGCTTGGTCGGAGCTACACTTACACGCCGAAGCATGATGGAACAGTTTAGCGCGCTTGAATCGTATACGTTCAATTCTAGTTTCCGTCAATATAGTTTCGTAAACATCGAGAAAGATCAACGCAGCCAGTCAGGATTTGCTTCTTGCTAGTCACATCTTGTGAATAGAGTTCGCGGCATCGAATGAAACTCTCTTCAGCGTACATGTACTTGCCTCCACGTCACACTGGCCGTTTCTTGTGTATTCGGACCACTTTCGGTGTTGGCCGCAATAGCCGGAGAGACTGCAAAGCAGATATTGATACAGAACCATCTCTTCTCAGGTCTTCGAACGGTATTCTGTAGCGTTAAAGCTTACATTACATGTGCCGGGATTGTGGTATCCTCTCTTTCCGCGTCATTCAACGTCATAAAATTACAGTCCAGTTCCTATACTTTGAGCACAAAGAATTGCGATTCGAAATCAGTATTTAAAGATGCCAGCCTCTCTGTCTAGCAGCTACTTCTCCCACATCCATATCTTCCAATTGTACAGGATTGACAATAATTACTATTCAAAACATTTACTACATCAATCTCGTCGTTGTGGCTTCGAACTCGCCCCATGTATACCACCTGAAGGACTCCATCCCCTTCCACGAGTCGTCACTTGGGTATATTCAGCGATGCACCGCCGATCAACTTCCTGTTCTCAACGGCATGTCACTTAAACGCCTTGTTCTTGGACCGCGTGGCATTCGAGAACCCCATTGGCATGCAAATACGCCTGAATTGGCTTACGGTTTGAGCGGAAAAGCTCTTGTGTCTGTTCTCGATTCAGGCTCCGTCTTTTCATCCTTCACTATCAAGGCTGGAGAGATGTTTCAGATTCCTTCTGGAAGCTTGCACCACATTGAAAATCTCTCTGATAGCCAATCCTGCGAATTTCTAGTTTGCTTTAGACACGAGCGCCCAAAGGACTTTTCCCTATCTGCGGCGTTCGGCGCCATGACGCCGGCGGTGCTGGGCAACACCTACAATGTTCCTGCTTCGTCGTTTGAGCATGTGAATTTCTCAACCGATGCGAAGGAGATCATTGCTCGAGAGGGAAAGCCAACCGTACCAGACACCGCGCACCTACCAAACCCACACAAATTCAATGTGGAAGGCATGGAACCGCCTCTGCGGGGAGAGAGCATTGGGTCAGTGAAACCCGCACGATCACAGTTCTGGCCAGCCCTTAGTGACGGAAACCTGGCCATGTATTCTCTTACCATTGAAGACACCGGAATGCGTGAACCACATTGGCACCCAATCACCGCAGAGATGGGCTATGTCCACCGAGGAGCGGCTCGCATGAGCATCCTGGATCCTGATGGAAAGGTGAACACTTATACATTGAAGGAGGGAGATATATATTTTATCCCTCCAGCCTATCCGCACCAAATTGAGGCTCTCCCACAGGGCGGGAAGGATATCCACTTTTGCATCTTCTTTGACCAAGCCATGCCTCAGGATATTGGATACAAAACAAGCGCTGCCGCAATTACTCATGAGGTCATGGCAGCTACGCTGGGCTTAACCCGGAGCGAGATGCCCCCTTTGGAGACTGCGGCGGTCGATCCCTTGATGGTGAAGAGGGTGAATGATGTGGATAAAATTGAGTCATGGACACGATAAAAAGGCGCCATGTACTGTTTACTGAGCGACAAGGTTCGTATGTATTGCATAAGAACGAATATGATGACGGCGCCGGGCTGCTTGAGAGTAGTTTAGATGTAATTCAGAAGCTTCATCCATAGGAATGACGCTACATGGTCATTGTATCCTTAGAAATATTGAAAACCCTTATATTAGATCATTATTTCAACTCAAAGTGAGCTACATCTAGTCTCTCCGCCATGTCCATGCATGGTTGAGACCAGCTTAATATCCTGTGTACCTAGTGGCACCCGCGACAACGCTATAGTCGATAGGGGCCGAAGTCTTTATATCCCACGCCCTTGACGAATGTTTGCAACCAAGGACCTTGCGTCTTTGCGTCAGCGAGCTCTGAGAAGAGCTTTGCATGTGCCTCTCCATCGATCTTAAAAGCGGCCGAGCCATCTGCTTTTCGTTCGTCAACATAGTAAAACCTACTTAGCTATCAGTCACATTCATTTAGACTATTAATAACGGCGGAGATGGTATACTTGAACCCTTTCTCTTTGTATTCAGCGGCGGCAGCCATCATCATGTGCGCGGATGCCGACTTGCCAGCACCGGATTCCAGGAACTGCGGGAGCGGCCTGACGTTGAGGATGTTGCCCGTAAACGCAAACACCCTTGGCGCATCACCAGGGAGCTCCGCAAAGCCGAGGACGGCTTGCTGGGCAGCGACAAAAACACTAGTGTTGTTGACGGTCATGCCTCTCTTGAAATCATCCAAGGAGATCGCAAATGGGTCATTTGGGGGAGAAAATGTCGCGGCGCCGGCTGCGAACACTTAGCACGCATTCAGCTAGAGGACCTTGGTGCTAGGACATACCGTTGTAAATGACTACATTTGGAATTCCCAGCTCCCTCTTCACCTTTACGAAGGCATTGACCACATCGTCGGGGTTGGCGAAGTCGCTTTTGATGTTAAGCTGACTGTCTGTGCTATCTGCCTCGTTTAGTGACCGGGCTGCGACTGCAACCTTGTAGCCCTTTGAAGCAAAAGCCTTCGCAGTTGGCAGACCGACTTTAGGCCCTGCGCCAAGGATGAGAATGACAGGAGATATTCCGGGCATGGTTTGGAATGTAGGGAACGAGTCAGACCGTGTGCCATTGAGCAAGGAAGGACGGGAACCTTTATCTGCTTTATACATGCTTCCATGTGTTGTCATTGAAGCAAAGAAAGTCACAGGCATTAGCAACACCCAGTTGGTCAAGTGATCTGGGGCAGCGAGATTGCTGCTAGTATGGTTGTGTTAGAAGCCATCGCGGAGCTGAACCAAGCCTACATGCCTTTTAGGTAATAAGTGGAGTTATCGCCGGTGGTCCGGACCCGGACCCTTCGGAGGGTCCGAACTCGAATATTACATTACATCCAACTCCGCATTACCAAGCGGGGATATCTGTTTACTGCTTCGAACTCCTCTTATTATATTACCATTGATAGTCACAAACTTATAGGTGAAACTTTTCATTGTCTGTTAAGCAACACATAGTTTCTTATTTTGTAATCAGAAAGCTAAATGCGGCGCGTGTAATCGTGCATTACATATCAAGTAGGAAGAAAATGTTGAGATCAAAATTGCTTTGTCTATGAGACCTCCGCTCCGGTCGACTTTCTCGTCTTGTAATTGCGTAAGCTTGTAAATTCGCTATGTTTTCGCTCCTTTGGTGCATTAATTAGAGTTGCAGTGCTGTGTAGTCTTCGCGACATTTGTCAGCTTGCTATATCTTTCATAATTCGAGTAGCGTAGAACTTTCAAGGCAGGGAGAAGAAGCGATGTATTTAAAGGGAGACAAGAAGGGAGTGATACCAGATCTATTTTGCTCTTTATCATCAACTGAACTCTTCATCACCAGCCAAGATTAAAGTCATCTCGCAAGCTCTCCAGCAGCCTACAATCAACTTCCGCATAATTCGAAATATTTTCATCTCTATGGGAGAAATGGAAGCAATCAAAGTGTTGGGGATTCATGGACCTAACGCTGGCAAAGTGATTCTTCTCTGTGAAGAGCTAGGGCTGCCATATGAGACCGAATTGATCCCACTTACCGACGTCAAGAATCCCAAGTACGTCGCCATCAACCCGAACGGGCGGCTGCCGTCTATTCAGGACCCAAACACAAACCTCACGCTATGGGAATCGGGCGCTATTATCGAGTACTTGACAGAGAAATACGACAAAGACCACAAGCTAAGCTTCGTGCCGGGCACAGCTGAGGCGTACCACGCTCGTCAATGGCTCTTCTACCAGACCACTGGCCAGGGACCCTACTACGGACAGGCGATGTGGTTTATTATATATCAGCCGCTTCCGGAGGCTCGCGAGCGCTATGTTAAAGAGGTTAACCGCGTAACTGGAGTACTGGAGGGCCACCTAGCGAAGCAGAAGCCTGACGCGGACGGCAACTCCTGGTTCGTGGGTGGCCGCCTGTCCTACGTGGACATCGCCTTCTTTACATGGCAGCACACAGCCGAGCCGCGAATTCCGAATGAGGAATTCAACCAAGATGACTACCCGCATGTCAAGAAGTGGCTGGACAACATGCTCGAGCGCCCGAGTGTGAAAAAGCTCCTGAAGCTCCAAGAAGCCAAATAAGCCATGGCAAGGGGGAGGGCATCTTTGCCTTATAGTCAATGCTGTGAGGGTGGATGGAAGATGAAGACAATCATGAGGCAGGATGTTGAACAACTACCCTTGTAGGGAAATTTTCCGTTTTAATTACATCCAGATACTCTTATTCGTTGAAGACTGGCCTAGTTAAATAATAAACTTATCAGAATTAACTCCTGTTCGCTATAATCTCGTGACAAATTCACAGTGACGTCTTTTATAGCTGTAGTAGCTATTACTGTTATAGGGCCTAGAAGCCTTAAGCATTGTTACAAGCTGAGGCTTGCTTATCGCTTGTGTGTCTCATGGGGAGGTTAGCTACCCTGTTCGGATTCAAACCGACTGCATTATGCGATGAGCGCACATAAAGCCTTCCAGACGCTTAGCCACTACGTCACAGATACCATTATTGTCAAGGCTCAAATAAAACCTAATTATGCCCATGTAATCATGTCAACGATGCCACAGGCCTCAAACTGAAAAGTTGAACAGCCTCTTTTGCTTCGAGGTTTAGGCTGTTGCAAGTGCGACGCATTCGCACCAGCTCCTCATACTGCGAGGCTATGCTTGGATCCCTGGCAAGTGTCTCCAAAAGACGTAGAAATGGCTCGACGAGATCAAGATCAGAAATTGCGTTTGGCGACATAGGCTGTTGTGTTAGATTATAGAGAATACTGCTGGCTGCAGCGAAGAAAGCCTGAAGAAGCATCCTGAAGCGAGTTAGGCAAAGAATTCAAGAATGATTTGCTTAGCAAGAGATTATTTACCAGACACAGGCACAGTCTCCTTGAGGGACGGCTCCAACGAGACGGATCGCTTTACGTGACTCAGCGACGCATAGACTGCTTGGGGACAATAAAGGCTTAGACTGATTGAGCTCTTGGATGGTGGAAGATTGCGCCGTTGGGGGCAAGTGGCGATCAATCATTGCGAGGCAATGCATATATGTGAGCCGTAGAACCACCTTGTGTATCATCTCGCCTGAAAGCTGAAGCCCTGAAATTGTCGCGGAGTCTTCTGGAAGTTCTAGCTGCGCGCTAGACTTCCAGTACGATAATAGAGAACTCAACTCTTGTGCCGCAATCGCTCTCTGTGTCGCCGTTTGTCGCTCGGCCCGTACCGAGTACAACTGTTTGTATACCTGCCCCTGAACAAGCGCAAGCCCTATGCGACAGTTGAAGAGGTCCAGGTTACCTGCCTCAAGGCTTGTGTTTGATGGTAAACCTACATCCATGTCATCGTCATCTTGACCAAAGGGTCGACCCGTCCGTAGACTAATATCCTTGTCGAGAATGTACACCTTCCAAAACACCCGCCTCCGCTTCTCAGCTTGTGATTCCGTGAGTCCTAGGCTGGAACATTCTCTGTGCAAATTCATAGCCTGTGCCAAACGTAGAGCGGCGGCAACGAGCATTGCAGCCGGCTCCGGATTTGGTGTGTCCTGGAGAATGCAAGCCATACCCGCTAGAGCCTGAACAGCAGAAAGGCTGCGGTCAGAGACGCTCAGCTCGGAGACTACGCTTAGGGCGTTTTGCACATAACCATAAGCTCGAATGTGCTCCTGTGTCGGGTCTAATGCGCGTATGGCGCGGAGACGATGAGCTATCGACAGCACAACATTGAGGCATGCCCACCAACCAGCATCTCTGGGACAGGAAATCGAGTACTTGAGTTGAAACTCTTTCAAGAAGTCTTCTTCATCAAAAAGTGGAAGGAATCTATTATAGTTAACGAAAGCTTCCTCAATCAACTCTAGAGCAAATGCCTTTGTGGGGAGCTGCTGGCGCGCTGGCAGAGGAATTGAATGTGGTTCTAGAGCGGGATAAAGCCACAAATGGTCAGTTATCTCATCTCTAAACGGAGACAAATCGGAGTCAACGTTTAATGCCACTGTATGAGATGTTGCTGTGAGTGTCGTCTGCTCTTTACGCAAATCGGTGTCAGGCATATTTGGCTTTTCTAATGACCTGTCTCCCAGCAAAGCCTCTACTCCTAGGAGTCTTTTCTCAAGCTGTGCGATGTATCTGAAGCTATGCAACATTTAATAGAGGCAAGCTGTATGGGGTGGAGCAGCATACTGACCCAGCTGGTCTGCGAGGTTTCTTCTTCGTTGCTATTGGCGTAAAATGACACCTTGTGCCGTATTTGGTGCATGGCCTGCATCCTTGCGACGTCGGCTCGCAACGGATCTTTTTCTTCCGGCACATGTCGCAGGCCTTGAACTATATCGTTAGCAGAGGCGGAATAGTATTCACTCTTGATTTAACTTACCCCAATAACGGCTGGCCGCTCCTCTGGATGGGCCCTGAAACCAGTGTGTGACTCCATGACTGCTGTTCGAGCGCCGCCCTGGATTGAAACGGTTCAAGGCGAGAACCTGAAGATGTCTGACCAATTGCTTAAAGGACTTCCAAGAACCTCAAGAAACTAAATCTTGCAAAGAGCCATTTGACAACTTCCAGCATATTCAGCAGCTCTATCGTCATGATCAGGCAAGAGATGGCTTATAAATCAGACTCCTTCAGTAAACCACAAGCCCCACTCTTTCTCTTGCGCTGATTTGTTCCAAGTCCTTAAAGGTAGTTGCCCAACTTTTTCAGTTCGAGGGTGCCTCTTTAGAAACGTTGGAAATGATTCTGTTACTGTATTTCTAACTTACTCTAGTAAGGCGCGCGGCTTTATCTCCCTAGAATGGAAGTTATGCTGATTTACATAGGAATTGTATGTATAGTAATGTACTTTAAATGCTGTGAAGTTTTAATATTCTACAAAGGCTATTGTGCAAACAAGAGCGCACAGGTAAATAAGAGCTTTGCGCATAGGTAAATAAGAGCTTTGTGTGCTTAAGAATATTGTGTATATATAAAGGCATTACGCAGAGGTAAAGGTATTGCGCATAGTAAAAGCGTGGCGGACACTTAGCAGTACCTAGAGACCTAAGCGAGCAGTAAAAGGCGTGGAAACAGATACCTCTTGCTATATATAATCTACTATGGGCATTGAAGTACATAGTAGAAGAATCATTTCCGGCAATGTTTTTAAAGAGGCACCCTAGTTCGAGGCTGTTGATTGTTAGAGTTTCTCATAACATTCAAGTTCACAAGCCCCAATATCGCTGGTCTTAGACAAGTCTTCCCGTTGCAATTGCAAAATTTTATAAAGTCACTTATAAGTAATAATACCTTCTGTTACCCTTTCTTTATCAAGCAATTAAAAGTAACAGCGCTTTTTATTGCTTTTTATATAATTGGCCCGTCGGTCCATACCTAATCCATGGTACATACCGTTACAGGTGTTGAGTTGTAACATTAGATATACTAGCGCAGGGGGCCCTGGTGGCATTCAATTAGGTAGATCTAGTGGCAAGCTCCGATGGCATCCAATCAGATCCAGTGGCATCGGGAGAAGTTCCGATTCGAATCAATAACAATATCATATATGCCCCACTATCCCGTCGCCCGGCAGACAGCGATTCCAAGTGCCACCAGTCGGACATTACCTACAAGCGCAAGGGGCTCTGTTCATAGTTTTTGCCTCATAATGAGTATATCAAACAAGCATCAATTACTATAGCACTTACCAAAAACCCCCCTGTGATAGGTAGTCTCCCGGCTTGATCGTATCACATCCGGCTTGCCATGACGGGGCGCCGACTCAGCATGCCTGCCTATAAAAAGCCAGGTCATCTCTGCAAGCTATATACCTCTTTCAACTTCATCATCCCATCATTTCTTCATAACATTTATCGAGAAAAATGTCCGCGAAGAATCCCGTCATTATTATAGGAGCCGGTATTGCTGGCCTGTCTTTAGCCCGAGTCCTCCAAGAGAACGGCATTCAAGTCAGCGTCTACGAGTCTACGTCGAGAAGCGCCGCACAGGGTTACGGCATCACGCTACGATCCTGGGCATATGGTCCTTTGGTTGACAAATTGCACATCAGTCTTGACGAATTCCGTAGCGCAGTTGCCACGGATGGCTCCGTTGGCGGGACTGGAGAGATCAATCCCACAATGCATGATGCTCTCACAGGGAAGCCATTGATTGAAGCCTCTCCTTCGCAAACCGGTAGTCCTGAGGGCGAATTCTTTCGGGCGAACAGAAATCGCCTAAGGGAGTTCCTACTTCGTGGGGTTGATTGCCATTTCGATTATAAGCTCGTGTCTCTCGACATTGATGAAGGCGGAGAGTTGCTGAATGCTCGCTTCGCGAACGGGGCTGTTGTTACTGGAAGTCTGGTAATTGGGGCTGACGGCGTATTTTCTAAAGGTTTCTCTTTCTCTTTCCCTGACTTTCTTTCGGTCTTCCCCACGTGATATGCCTTCTCTTTTTGATGATGCTGACGCTCTTCACTCATTAGTACGCACGACTTTTCTCCCTGCAGTTGAACCGTCGATTGCCTCCACCGTAGTGTACAATGGTGAGCGGCAGGTTCCACGGTCAGAATTCGACTCCACCATTGCTCCCTATATGCCGCATACAAATGTGCATGCGGCTGTCGCTGAGAATACAATGATTTCTATCACGGTTACAGAGAAAACCGAAACGGAAGTAACACTGACTTGGACATACACCCACCAGCCTACGGAAACGCAAAGCCCGGCCACCCTACTTGGCGAATCTTCTGCTGGGCTGCAAGTGGCTATACTTGATGCTTTTGCAGTGCTTGGCCAATTGGCACCTCCTTTTTCCACAGCCCTGGCCCCAGAGAAGATTCGACAAGACCGACTCTATCACTGGCTCATGAGAACCATGCGTCCGCCGCAGGACGGTCTTAAACTTATGGCTTCGAAAGGTGTTGCAGTCATTGGAGATGCTGCCCACGCTATGCCTATTTTCGCCGGCGAAGGAGGCAACCATGCCTTGATTGATGCCGTCAAACTGGGACAACATCTGGCAGACTCATATTCGCCGGCCTCCATAGAGGCTTTTATCGACGAGGAGCTTCCTCGCTGGGAAATGGCAAGTGTTGGGTCTGAGAAACGCTCTCTATCGCTTCACAGACCTCTCAACATTTGGAGGACACTAGCAGAACAAGCTAAGAAGCACTAAGTACTGGACCATGAATAATAGAGCATTTTCACATTGCTATTTGCGTGCCAAGCTTAGGTGAAAGATATCGCCGAGCAGTATTTCTCTGCCCTCGGCATTTGGCACGCCAACGCAGACGCCGGTTAACAACACAAGTTTAATACAAGGATAGCTTGACCTAAGACTGGCTGCGGTACTTGCAGCTATTGCCTTGCCTGGATTGCGTAATAGCATAACAACGATGTTGAATCCTCTCATGTAACCCGTTGTATAAATTTTATCATCTGCCATAGCTCGGCCGAACGGATCTCCGTCTTCGTCCCAAAAATCGTCCACTAGACAGCAGACAGCATTATATTCAGTGTCTTTAGCGCAAATAATTGCAATTTCGAAATCTTCACGATTGCAGTGGCGGGACGGCTTTCGGGCTGCCATTTTATCCACTGCGGTTCTTATGTGTCGCTGGTTAAACAATGGTGATGTCGAGCAGTGTTTAATGAAAACAGTAACAAAAAATTAAAATGGATATTTTGACACGACTAATATTTGAAGAAGTTGCCCTTGGGCATCGGTGCAGGTTTCAGGACGCGATGACCAGTGTGGCTGAAAGCCATAATGATCCTGTGACCCAACCACTGGCTCACCATTAGCTGAGGGAGAGCTTTTAATAAAAGAGCGTTGTTATGTAACTTAAATTTCTGGGAGCTTTGGATTTCGATCTTAAGAATCGGTATGGCTATTGATCTACATAAAGCGTTGAAGATATTAGGCCTAGTTGATATAAAATGTGGCCAATTGGTAGACAAGACTTGTACTGTAGCACTCACCTGCTACGTACAATATAATTTCAGCGCTCACTGCTCACTACAGCCGCCAGTTTTATCCGTCAATCGGCCGACAAATCCGTAGAGTCGCAGACGCCACAAGTACGTGTGGTGCAGATCTGCGCGCCAGCCAGCCTCCGAAAGGTTGTGACCAGTGATGAGAATCATCATGAAGAACGACTCGATGATGCTTGGAGGAATGTTGCAGATCAATTGTCCGGTAAGAGTCCATCTCATTGCGCTAGCTCCAATAACAAGGCCTATGGCAAGCAGGATGCCCAGGACGACGGTGATTTCGTGAGCGCAGATGATGCCCATTTTATTAGAAAGGCAATAGTTGATCGAGCTGTAGTTGACCTTAGCTCTCTCTGGAGCAGGCACTCCAATCTCATCTGATAGACCGGTATCCTCAAGCTTGGCCTCTTCTAGAGCAAGTCGCTCATACTGATGCAGCCGCTGTTGAACATTTCGGAGGACAAAGCCGTCAATCAACCCGATCAAACCTGCGTAGGTGCCAATGAAAAGCCACCAATTGTTGCTCCACTGCATAACAGGGCCAATGCCGGCCCAAATGATCAAGACTAGGAATAGCAACGCGACACCGGCAAGAGTCCCAACAACATCTGCATAATAAAAGATGATTCGTTGGAAAGTACCCAAAGGAGGCGCTGGCACAACAACGGTGGGATTTGGTTCGGTATCGCCACTGAGCATGCGGAGCTTGAGTTCAACGTCCGAGTCGACTTCGAATATGGAATTCATGCACTTCTCAACATATTCATCATGGCGTTCGCGGATGTTAGCCAAAAATGTAAAGATTAGGATCATGAGTGCCGAAGTTCCAGAATTGATATAGAGCTGCCAGCGATCGCTCCAGTTGCAGTATTGCCCGAAGCCGAGCCAGATGAAGATACAAATCCAGTACACGCAAATAGTACCAAAGTGACCCAGAACTACCGCGGTATGATTGGAAGCTCGGTTAATCCAGCTCTCTTGAGGCAGGTCAAGGTCAAATTTGTCTGAGTGAGAACTCTCAATCTCCTCAAAAGATGGCTTATTGTAACGATCGCTGGCGAGAATCTGTCGCAGCATGCGCTTCTGACTTTGGGCGCGGGATCTCAGACATGCAGAGATCCGGACCTGCCTCTCGTATCCGTTGAGTTGTTGACGCATAAGAAGCGAGTCAAAGAAGTAGCTAATAATGGCTTGCACATCTGAGATGACTGCAGCCCAGTTGTCAGATTGACCATAGGGAATGCCGAGAAAAGCCCAAACGAGGAGACCTGCAATCATGATGAAGAAGATTGGCTGAGAGCCAGATGCCTTAACAACTTTATCAAGCCACCGGTCGAGCCTGCTTTTCCTCACCCGATCAACATAGCCAGTGATATTTTGTACAGGTATTCTTTGTTCTGTATCACCAATAACTGCTGACTTCTTTTCTTCGGAGGCAACAGGGTCAGTGAAGATGTACTGAGTTGGTGCAGCATCTTCAATGGCTCCTTTGGCTCCAGGAGAAGCAAAGAAATCGATTATTTGCTTGAACATTTTTGGAGGGTATTGAACGAGGGCCGGATACGGGTTTACTAAGTGATTGCAATATGTGCGTTAGATACATTCAGTTACCACTTGATACCTTAAACTCACTCTTTGTAATTGGTTGTAGAGTCTATGATGACTCTTCGAGCGACTTCACCTCCAACGGCCTGGGTCAAGCCTGACTTGTTCACGCCGTAACTTCCATCAAATTGACACCCATAGACCTAAGGCGGCCAAAGCTCATCGGCAGCTTCGAAAAGAGCCGAGGTGGGAAGATTAAGTCTTGTTATAATAATAAAGTTTGCCAGCGTTGTGATTTCGTGGCACGGATTGGACCACGAAGCGTTGATGATTTTGTATTGGAGAAAGTAAAGGATCCGGAAAGCCAGAGCTGGTTTTAGTGACGAACCAAACGCCTGCAAGTATGAGCAAATTCTGGAATAGCAATTTTTACAAATAATTGTTTGCTGTGATAGTATTTTAAAGTGAAGAAAAGAAACGCCAAGGAAAATGTTTCTCATATAAACCTTTGTGCCCTTCAAGTTTATGCCGCTAACAACGCCAGGCAGTAGACAGGCAGCCCCATCGCATTCGGCCCTCGGGTCTCTAGCTTCCCAGAAAAATTTCTCTTCTATTTGATCTCAGCAATATTACATGAGGCATTTTGTAGAAAATTTTCGGTAGGGAGCCGATGGGGGTGGCTATGCCCGTGCTAACTGCTCAGCCTGCAAGCGTCGTTCCTAATACATCGCGCGCTTCCCCGATGGACTTGCAATATGGAGGTATCTTTTAACTCTTCTTAACATCTCTTCTATACGAAAACCATGACACAGGATTTGCTAGCCGGTGAGTAACATTGCTAAAATTTTCTTCACAGGCATCAACCACCTACGTAAAGGTAGAGACGCAAGCTAGATGAATGTGACGCCCCATTGTAATTAATGCAGCATTTCACAACATTTGTCTTGTAATTCAATCAGTGGTGTTTAATAAACATGTAAGAAGGTGTTATCGGATGTCCATTTATAAGATACGAGGGACATGTCATCGGAAAATTTGCATCCTCCAACCCATGTGGAGCTAAACTCCCTAACTTCAGACGGCCTGAACCAGGAAAAGTGATGACGTCTAATATGAGAGAAAGTGACTTTTTGTCACTTGAGTATATGAAAAGAACTTATAAATCGGATAAGCCAACAATAATGGCCAATCTATTGTATGCGATCTGTTATGTTCTGTTACATTCGGGCGGGGGCTGGAATTACCTTGTCCATCCAAGCCCTATCCAGCTCAGCACTTAACCGGTTTACTAGATTCAATGCTGTAGCTAGACAGTTTTTCTCTTGAAAAGAATTTCTTACTCTATTCAAGAGAGCACCTTTGCCTTAAATACTGTTGGCTACGAGGACTGTCATTTCTGAGATCTATAGGAGCCTCGGATTTAGATCTTACAGCCGAGATAGCGATCTGCACTGGGCCTGTAAACTTAGCTTCAAAGCTAGTAATTAATCTCGGGAGCCAAGAATTATTCTTAAACTTCTCGGCGCATCTTGATCGCCATGTACCCAAGCGAAAAGCGGAACGAAGCTTGATGGCACATGGTCCTAGCGAGCGCAATGTTACGAATGACTCGATGCCATCACATTCTCCTCTTAAAAAGCGAACAGATTAGTCACGGGACAGCCTTGAAGTAAGAATCTGTAGCATATACCATACATATGGTGATTCAAAGTAGACTGGTATGAGATACTCGTGGCCATCAGTGAGTCTAGAACACCGGGCGCATGCTCGGTACAGCAAAGCGTATAGCTATCAGGGATTTTGGGACCGAGATCGTATTAGCATCAGCATTTCATCCTTGTATCAGGCGTTGGAATCATGCATGAACTTCAACAACCCTCGAAGCTTCACCTGTCAAAGATCACGTGCATGGACTTTGTTTCAAAATGGATAATAAACCGGAACTTTTCAAGGGACTTTTCACATGTTTACTATGGGGCAACTAAGACTTTAGACAGCTGCCTTGCTGATCCGAGCCCAATTCATCATGGCTTTATTTACAATGCGACTTACCGCGGCCACTCACCACTCAATTGAGAAGGTCAGCATTACTGCGCGTCGCAAAAGTCCACATGCCCCTGAACAAGTGCCGATGACGATTGTCGTCAGTGAAGTGCGATGGAAGCGCCGGAGTTTTCATATATCTAGATGGATCTCGGGTGATTTTCTGCTTGTCAATCTCCAAATCTCTTGGCAGTTTAGGTCGTCGTGAGAATTCTAGCCCCCCATGTCTCTGAAAACGGTTCTATCGCTGTTGGCGGCCTTCCAAGCTGTCAAGGCCGACTTCTCGCACCCGCTGCACTTCAAGAAGGTTGATGCCGTAGCGGCGAAGAGCATAGCTGCAGCAAAGGGGAGGGTGACTGCTGCATCAGGCAATCTGGTTGCCGACCAGGTAATAGACGCTGTTTATCACCTTCAGCTCTTTGAACAAGATGCTAATCTAAATAGGGCTTTTGGTTCTCCAACTTCACCATCGGCGGTAGCTCCAACCTCGAGATATTGATCGATACCGGCTCCTCTGATGCTATGCTGAACCCCGGCGTCTACAAGCCGGGCCCCAAGTCGGTCAACACCAACAAGCCCTTTCGCATCTCCTACGCCACGACGAATCCCGATGGCTCTGGATCACTTACTGTAGGCAGAAGCACAGTCACAGAGTGGTTATCATTACTGACTAGTCGCAGGCCGCTGGCAAGATCTACCGGGATGTCATCACCCAGCACGACGCCAACCTGACCGTCTCACAGCAGTATCTCGGATCTGTCGACAGCCCCTCCTCGCCGCCCACATTCCCCCACGATGGCCTCATTGGCTACGCAGGCATCGACAGCAGTGCTCTCAATGAAACGCCCTTTTTCCAGAGCTTGTGCGACCAAGGCTCGCTGTCGTCCTGCCGCTTCGGACTGGCTCTCAGCGCCGACGAGACCGGCACGCTCTACTATGGCACTGTCGCGACAGACCAGTTCAGCGGCGACTTGGTCTCAGTGTCTGCCAGCGACGAGTGGATTGTCACCGGCGACGTCACGCTGAACGGCAAGACGGTCCGCAGCAGCATCTCCATCATCACGGATTCCGGCACGACTGTCATCTTCGGGCCCTCGTCGCAGGTCAAGACATTGTTCCAGCAGGCCGGCATCCAGGCGGTGCAGAACAGCAATGGCATCACCGGCTACTACGCCTGCGATGCGCCGCCCACCATTGGGCTGGCATTCAACGGTCAAAACTTCAACATCTTGCCAGAGGCCCTTGCCTTTACCAAGAACGGCAACAACTGCACGGCGAGCATCCACGGGACGACTGATTTTGGCAGCCAGTGGCTGGTTGGACAGGCGTTCTTCCAGGGCAAGTACATTGACCACAATGTGGATGATGGCACAATGGGCTTTGCCACATTGGTGTAAAGTGGTCAATTATGAGAATACGAATAAGCTAGGTGCCTTATTGTACTATTCACGTGCGAATGAGCAGCTGAATCGTGGTAGTATATACTCGATGAGAGATAGCTATGTATATAAATGCATATAGATGTAAATGCAAACCACAGAACGCCGATAAAAGAGAAATCTATTAGGTATAGCGAGGATACGTCATACGTGCCCGCTCTTCCTAAGTATTACTTGCGAGTGATGACTATGCCTATGCGCGAAGGATCTTAGCGGTTTATAGTAGTCGATCATCAATATTTTTCTCTAGAGAGCTTGCATTTCATCTCGGATCCCACCAGGTGATGATTGGCGTCCCCCCTCATAGCGTTCCGTGTTGTAACTGTTACATGTACCATTTGCTCTATTACACAATAGAAAGAAATAATCTAGAAGAATGTAGATAGATATCGAAATTAGATAGAAGTTCAGTACCAAAGGTTTAATTGCATGGGTCCATTTGTCCATCATTCTAGAGACGAGTACCTTCAGTTAAGTCTATACATGGGAATTACTTACTATACAGCCAAGCTTTGATACTTACTCGGAGAAACGGATATACGTCACTTTTAGAACATATTTCGGAAGCTAAACACTGTTGGGAAAGTGAAAGTAGCAATCTCTACAGTAGCCTCACTTTTGGCACGGATATAAATGCCGGCGGATTCACCATTGAACTAGCCCAGAGTCACCGATCACCGACTATAAAAGCACCATTCCGGTGACTCGATAGAACTTCACTTTCCAAGATGATCAAGCAAAACTTTCTGCATATCATTTTAAATCGCCAATAGTTAAGTAACCAATTGGGCGACAATGGAAATAGTTCACGGCAAAGATTTGTCCTTTGCGGACCTTTCCCTGAAGCACCGTAATAGCGGTCTAGCGTTCAAAAACTTATTCATTGGTCAGGAGAACACACCTGAGAATCACCTTTTCGCTTTAGTCCGGTCTGTTGGCTTTTATTCTCCGCGCCACAAACACAACTTTGACCAGTTTCGTTACGCATATAAGGGCGACATTTCCATCAGCCCTGACAAAAATGCCACTGAAGGGGAGCTTGTCTACCATCCCGAAGGTGTCTGCTACGGGCCACAGAAAGATTCTGAAGGGGAGCGGGTGGTTCTTATTTTACAATTCGGTGGAACAAGTGGCCAAGGTTTCCTTTCATACCGCCAATTAGAAGAAGGCCAGAAAGAGCTTGCCCAGCTCGGCCGTTTTGAAGGTGGTAAATATTATCGACATGAGAGCCAGGAAGGTGATGAGCCGCAGGATGGATATGAAGCGCTGTGGGAAAAGTTCAATGGTCGACGCCTCGTCTACCCACCGGGTCGCTACAAAGATCCCATCTTCATGAGTCCGGTCAATTATGAATGGCGCCCGGCAGACAATCTGGCAAATACTAAGGAGGTGGCTTTTAAGAAGTCACTTGGGGTGTTTACCGAGCGCGAAACTGGAGCAGAGATGATCAAGATCAAGAAGCTAGGCCAGTTCTCCATCGCTTCAGCGAATGCAATACGACTGCTTTTTGTTGTGCGCGGCGGGGGAGAAGTGGAAGGACAGCCGTGGGAAGAGGAATCGGCGATACGGGTCTCGCCTGGGAAAGGACTTGTCCTTTCTGCACATCAAGACGCTGAAATCTTAATGTTTACCCTGCCGCTGTTAACTTAAGGCCAACTAGTAGCGTACAAACTATGGTATAAGCTCTTTTCAGTTCCGTGAACATCAATTGCTAGTAACTGTACTGAGAAGTTCCTACGTCGGGCTGAGAGATGTAGAGGGTCGGGAAGGCATATGTAGTTAGTCAATTAGCGATATTAATGAATAAAATAACTCACAAGTTTCTATACTATATATCTCAACATATAGGTGGTTCAGTAAGTTTGATCACGATCTCCGTGAACGAAATGGACTACCAAAAGCCACCCGCCCGAAAAAAGATAAAGGATTCCAGTAGAGCTTTCAGATCTCATGTAACGCATAGCGGCTGAACATCAAATAGCTGATAATATCTTTGGCTACCAATTCTTTAGCTACAACACACGCGGCCATCGATAGTGGAGAATTCAGGGTATGCTTAAGCTCTTGGTGGGATCTACGCCTTCTATCTTTAATATTGTATAGTCCCGCTTTAGAAACAGAAGAATATTGTTTTCCTTCTTCGTTTTTTGTCTTCAGAAGATAAGAGTTAGTGCTTCTGGGAATCCATAATAAAGAAGCCAAATGCTCTACAATTAATAACATTGAACTTGAGGAATAGAGTCAAATCGACCCCTGGTTCGCGACATCGATGCTAGTACATTTTGGTCGTGCAATATCATGGGAGAGTTCACTCCGTCAGGACGAATTACCACAATCAAATGAGTTTTTTATATGATTAGAGACAAAAGCATTTCTTTTATATCACATCATCAATGTTTCACGAAATTGATCACAAAATCGAATTTGCGGCTTAATGTCATTATTTCTGTAAAGGCATATCTAGAACCCATGCTCTTTGTTTCCGTCTCCCCGACCAGCTTGCAATAATTCCTCCGCAAATAGTTGTCAAGTCTACATTGAACCTGCCATTTACACGTAGTTGACGGTAACTGAGCTGCCGGAAATGGTTGTTGATGTAAGGATACTTCCCCTTGAGTTTTCCAGATCAATAATGGTTGAAGATCCGCTGCCGGGTGTAACGGTTGCTCCGTTAACAAGAGCGCTTGCTCCGGTGAAGGTGACAGATCCAAAGTCTGCAAATGGAACCAATGAGCTGCCCGAGGTGAAGTCCTCGACAATCCACTCAGCGCTGGTACCGGGCAGGGGCGAGTTTTGGTTGGAGAAGGTGTGAGAAACAGTCTTTCCACCGGCCGTCAACGTCGTGGTTCCGCTGTTGTTGCCGGTCTTGGTGGCAGTAACGGTAACAACCGATCCGGCAGTCACAGTAATGCCCGAGTATGCGACCAACGAGGCGGGGAGGTACTCGTACCAAGCCTCGTACAGGTACTGGCCGCCTTGAACACACCAGAGGACGCCAGTCTGGATGAGATCGGCATCAGAGTAACCATCAATTCCGACCCAAGCAGCACCGCAATACTCAGTGCTAGAGCTGCCACCAGATGGCACGGTGGGCTTGGGGACCGTGAAGGTACCGGAGACCTTAGTAATGCCGGATGTTGTGAGGGCGGCGCCGGCCCAGTTCGTAGATTCCACATCGGCAGTGCTGTTGACGTTGTGGGAGGAGCTGGCTTGGAACTTGTTGGAGCGACGAACAGCACTTCTGGCGCGGAGAGCATCCATAGCAGCCTGCTTGCGGGCGGCAAGAGGAGTTGCCATGGCGGCACTGGCCACCAAAAGGAGGTTTGCGGCAAAAGTGAGGGACTTCATCTTGAAAAGCTGTTGGACTGCGATGAAAAGGTATTCGAAAGACCTTGAACCGGACTGATGGTAGACTCTGGTGTATTGTTTGAAAGGCTCCTGCTCGTGCAAGACTCTTGAGTTGAAGAGGCTGCAAATAGGACTTTATATAGATGTAATCTCCTCGGAGTACATTGCGCCGATTCAACCGTCGATATCCCTCAGTTCAGAATGGCCCCAAGATGCAATGATCGAAAAAGGAATGTATGATCTGCCATTCAAAGCGAGTTGTCTAAAGTTGAAGACGCCTTTTCCCGTGGCTACACACCATTAGCTGTTAGATCGAACCGGAGTATAACGCATACAATGGTTTTGCAAAAAGAATCACTATCGCGAGATTTGGGCGCCTTGTTCTACAACCTGCCTATTACAGAGAGCATCTCCGATAAGAGCGTGGCTAATGGTGTGCTCAGTACATGAAGCATCGCATGAAATAGAGAGACTGGGCTCGAGATTGGATTAGTCTTGTTGGAGGTGCATATATGAGTAGGCTCTCTAGTAATCAACTTCACTTCCAACTTCCGGCTTGGCGTGGCAATTCCACTTTGAGATGTAAAATGTAGGGGGATGGGTGTTGCATTTTACAACTAACATATATAATTGAGATAAGAATTAGTTATCAATAGTCAATAAAAGCATAACATTTCTTCTGTACAGGTACTCTTTTTGCAGACTGGTTCTGGTTTGCGTATGGCTGAAGGCCGATCCTTGCACCGTACCTGTAGTATTAGCTCCTATATGCATGGCCAGCTCAGCGGTTGGATCAAGACATGCTCTTCTGCCATTATAACGCAATCGGTCGAAAGCTCAACCACCGCTGGAATTGTGCAGGGATCAAATAGTAAGTACTCTTTACGCTTCATCATGCAAAGCTACTATGCAAACGTGGGTGGAGTATAGTTTTCTATCTTATTTCCATAACAAGAGAAAGCCAGCGCTAACTCTAGTTCAATGTCTTTGACATGCGTGGCTGCCGCGCCCCCACGAAACTACTTTGCTTGCTCTTCTAAGTGGCTTATATACTGTGGTAACGATGGTCAGTTTATCATTAATAATAGAAGAAATTCCAACTCCTTTGTTTTCTCCTCTTCTAGCCTTCCATGTTCTCTTTCTTTTCCTTCGCGAAAGTGTTTATCAATGCAAAACTAGTCTCTGTGCATTTCAATGCTGCTGGCTCCGTTTCGTTGAGCTAACGCCATTATACAGCCAGGCAACGCCATTAGAAGGCGGGGTAAGTAACGCATGAAACTGCGTGGCGGATAGTGCAGTCACAATGGTCCGGAGATAACATAGTACTACAATGCTACCCCATAATCAACTTTATCTCTTTCGTCTAGCATGTTTCCAAGCATAAAAGCCGTTTTGTATATAATGAGCAGAGGCTGTCTCCTTCCCATTACAATCAAGACCGATCCTTTTGAGATGGTTGCCCGCACTGGGGCTTGAATGGGCCAAATCTCGTACGCGCGTCGTTCACATTTGGCGACATGTGGGACATTGATGTGAATAGGTATCGCGCTGGTATCGGCTTTTTATGGGAATCGATATTCGATCTTTACTGGATCTTTCTATTAAACAAAGTACAATTTTCCACTTGTCTATCATACTGCATCATATTTGAACTTTACGTCCCCCCATTGAAGAAGTCAGTTTTTAGTAATCAGCTCATAAATTGTCCTGTTGCCACCATAGTTCTGGGGTTTCTCCTCCTCTTTACTAAAAGCTAACTGTTGCTCTTGTTTTGATATAATTCCTGAGGGTTGTCTAATAGTCCTAATCTCCTTCCTTATCTAGATCATCGACCCCTGCACTCGACTGCCGCCGTCTGAAGGTCTTGCATGCGTCGGGCGGCCCACGGGCCGGTAGTCAGTCCACAATGGACGACTCCAACGGATCAATCGGCACGCAAAGAGGGTGTCATGAATCTCAATCATATCCCTTCCCCCGCGATGAGATCATTGAGGGAATGGGAATGAGTTGGCGCCTGCTTCAGGAGAGCTTTCAGAATACACTGGTAGCTTTCTTTGTCTTTGAGAGAAACCGCCTTGGGTTGCCGTTCGCCTCCCTGGTATCGCCAACGGCAGAACTAATTACACCGCATGTGTCTGCAGCGCAAATCTAAGCGCTCCAATAAGCGTATGGAAATGAACTACCGGTCGATGTCGATGACAAGTGCTGTATCATTTAACACCATACTCGTCTGTTAACAGTGTGTAGCTACATACACACAATCTTGTCTGGCTCTCACGTCTTTATCCAATCGTTTATACAGCGATAAAAAGACTGCCACACATTTAATTGATCGGGGTCAGTATCAATACCATCGTATATTAACTTGGACAAGTGTAACGGGTCAATACCGTCCGCATCTAGCCACTGAAATAGATGACAAGAGTCGATCATATTCAGGCACATATACCAGGAGCTTCCTTTTTCTAAAAGCTCATCATGCCCAATAATCGAAATGAGACTTAAATCCACACAACTGCTAGAGGCAAAGCAATTCGTCCTGGATGACCATTGCTCCAAAGCAATTGTGGCCGGATTGACTTGCGATGATAATGGCGCAGGCAGCTACGGCGGCGCCGTCATTGTGTATAATGACGACTATGGCTGCATATCATCAGCGATACATGAGTGATAGTTAGCTGAACGGCACACGAGATTCCGTTGATGGAGAAAAGAATAACTTCAGAGCACATGAAGAACGCATGTGGGTTGGCCGACACACTGTATGAGGCGATCACATACATGCATCGCTTGTTTACCGCTGATCCGGCATCTCACGCGCCCTACTAAGAACGATGTACCATTAGAATCACAGGGATGAGGGTGATCTACGTACAAGTACTCAGTACAAGCGAAAAGACATGCACAAATACAATTAAGAGTTACCTATGTGCGCAATGCAGATCAGCTAAGCTTCAATTCATGCTTAATAGCCGATCACGTTTTGCGCCATAAGGATCTATGAGGTATCATTGCGGCTAGGTTCGAGATCCTTTCTATCAATCTCCTCAATAAGATTCTGCAACACCTTTACCTCTATGCTGTTCTATGCCGTGAGATAGCTATCACTTTAAACCAACCCTTGCGTACGCGTAGTTCTAAACCATAGTTACATTAATTATCATGCGACTATATGATCTCATATTCCGTATGAGATGTCTTTCGAGGTGCAACTATTATATAAAGCTTATTATTAAATACTTATGCTACGATACGTAGATTCGCGATTATCCAATCGCGTACTTGTCCACACAAATCGAAATTGGCGATGATGGGGTCAGCTCCATATAGCAACAGTTTGTGCGTGCGTTAACATCGCTGCCCATGAAACGTATCTGTAAACCCTATATTTCTGATACGAAGTTTTGTAAGTGGAAGATCCTATCAAAGGCCGTTCCATCTCTCAACATCTTTGAAAGCCCTGTGGAGCATTTCTTGAAGTAGGGACAAATATCCTATCGCCTTTTCCAACACAACCGAGATGTGCAGCAGTGTTTGGATCTGAATGTAGTTGAAAACTTCGCACGCTTCTATACCATCCAAGATATAGCTTACATAGCGGGAATGATGGGAAGAGTGTTCGTAGTTTTGGCGACTGATCTCTTTCTAGGTACTAGCAATAGGATTGGGGATTGCTTGCCAACAAACTTACTTGCGTTCATCAACCACAAGGATTTGATACACTGATTAATCAACATACATAAACTCTTGTGATCATTAATTAAACATTAGCTAGATCTAGATTGCCTAGCGGAACAGAGCGTGAGCCATCAGCACTACGGATGTCTTCCGAATTGTGTTTCTTTATTGGGAAAGGCCGGTGCGGACACCAGTAAACTAGCGCGACGCCTCAAATTGAGAGCTCAAATACTAATTAAGATCTTACTGCCTAAGTAACAAGCCACGGACATGTACGCGTGGAGAAAAGAAGCAAATTTGGCAGGTTGACTAAAGCAGGAAACACTAATTAAGAAGCCAACTATCTCCTCCTGTATACACTAATCCAAGTTAAACTCTTGATTGCAAAGATGTAGTATTTAATGTGTGCATTTTGCAAATTTTCCATTTCCATCATGTCTGTTTTACTGCTACCTGGATCTCACGTTTCCTGCGTAATGCTCAGCAATGAGACGCTATTCATCTCTTTGCTTCATTTTCTATCTTTGTTTTCTATTATGAAGGATGCCACCTAATGCTAAGATCCATTGAGTTCCTCGCTTCAATCTCATGATCAAACGGACGTTTCTGTCAACCTGAAGCCCCGGGGCTACCCGCCTTTCGTTGCCAGCTGATTGACTGGGTTCTCAACAAGCGAACTGGTAGCTGTGATGTTTTCTAGCGAGTGCGTCTAATTATCGTTATCAATTGCTCTAAACAAGAGAAAAGAGACGCACAAATATGATTCACGGCCAAGTTTCGTCGGCTATTGGCATTTACTGAGAAGCATAGATTCTCCATATGCCTACAGTGCCTCGAAATCAATTCCGACGAATCCAGGGTAGATTTCCATACTAGAAACGGCCAATTTTGTTAGCTGCACAGCTAATTCTACGGATAGTAAGATGACAATAAAAGGAACAGAACATGGATAGTAGATTAATTAAATCTGATATAAATGATAAGTTTAATATTACCATTTGGCAATGATAGTTTCATTCTTAATGTAAGTAGAAATATATATGTCTACTAGAAGCTCGTCGAAATTAATATCTCTCCTCCACCGTATATAATGTAGGTCAATTCGTCATGGAGGTCACTTGTAGCTGTTTAAGTAACGTCGGAATTGATCCATTTCTATCAAATCAACTAAAACTTACAATATCTAGGAATTGCCCGAAGCAGTGCTAGTGACGGTTCCAATTCTCGTAGCTTTCAAACTAGATAAAGTCCAGCTGACTCGGATTTGTAGGATGTGTTGAACCGGCGGCGGCGACTGAACGGCCTTGGAAAATATCGGACTCTCTCGCTGTCTCAGATAACACCGAGCATCAATTGCCGGAGCGCATGCCGGATTTTAATCTAGAAATAGAAACGAGAACCGCCGTCAAGGGGGCTCGCAGAGGTCATTGCTTCTGTGTACAAATGAGATGTGGGGGCGAAATCGAGCCCGTCGCAGGTAACTAACCCTGAAAAACGGACTATGTACTACTAATACCTACTATTCAGTTTAGTATACCACAGTTTACGATCGTACCATACGCAGCGAAGAACAGAGCTAAGTTGCAGATCGAGAACTGTGTTAAACGCATACGGTTAGTCCAAAGTAAACCTCCGGCGAGCTGCCTCGTCTCCAGCGACATCTTAATTCCGAGCCTCAAAGATGTTCTTGCTTGGATAAGCATCCATTTAAAACGCCGCTGGCCGCACAGTGTGGGCATGTACGGACTTATGCGGACTTATACACGCGAACGACATGACGAAATCTACTTACCAACAGCGGATGAGCCCAAAAGTGGACAGACCTCGAGGGGCTGTTCTCTCAGGGCATTTGTCAGCTGCAAGGGTTCTCAGTTACATCCTCAGCAAAAATAGGTATACTATCGTGTTTAACAGCGCAAAAAAGTATATATATTCTGTGATAATGGAGGCTTCCAAAATCCACTGGCAAGCTCACTTTTACTTCCTCTTTATAACTACCTACCTATAGACAGTAGCAGCAACCCAAAGATATCCAACTAAAAATTCACATCAGACAACATGGCGCCCGCTGAGTATGCTATTCCTGTGGGAAGTTTGATCCTAGTCACCGGTGCCAATGGATATATTGGATCACACGTTGTCGATCAACTGCTTGCGCTGGGTTATAAAGTTCGAGGCACTGTTAGAGACAAGAAGCCATGGCTAGATGAGTTTTTCGAAAAGAAATATGGCAAGGGCAAGTTTGAGAGTGTTTCTGTTCAAGCGATAGAAGCTGCTGGGGCCTTTTCCAACGTTGCAGAGGGGGCCAGTGGAGTCGTTCACGTGGTAAGACATAGCGAATACCAAATCTCTGCTCTTTCTTTACTCATTTTTTCACGCATAGGCTTCGGATGTCTCTTTTGGACTCGATCCCAATGTCGTCATCCCGATTGCAGTACAGGGCACGATCAACATTCTTGAGGCAGCTGCTAAACAACCTTCCATAACACGTTTTGTCATTACGTCGTCTTCTGCTGCCGTAATTAATCCTGAGCCAAACAAAAAGGGTGTCAAGATTGATGAGAGTAAGTTGAGAAGAAGTTATCATCCCTGTCTGACCTGATCTAATTTACTTTTCCAGACACATGGAACGAGGCTGCAATCAAACTGGCATGGAGCGGTAACCTGACCGGCAATGTTCCTGAGGGCCTTGAAGGCGCTATTGTGTACTCGGCCTCAAAGACCGAAGCAGAAAAGGCCGCATGGAAGTGGGTTCAAGAGAATAAGCCTAACTTTGTTCTTAATACTGTCCAGCCCAACTTTAATGTGAGTAAACCTTTGGACTTTTCTTGCTATGGAAATCGCTGATTAGACGTTTAGTTCGGCCAAGTCTTAATACCAGAGCATCAGACTGGTTCTACAATGGGCTTTGTTCGTAAATGGTTCAAAGGCGACTTTAGCATTCTTGGCTTCCCACCTCGTAAGTTCGCCAAAGCCAAAAAGGCAAATGGTCACTCGAAGTGGTGTGTCATGAAGTCTGACAGTGTATAGAACATTTCATCGACGTGCAGGACTGCGCTCGTCTGCATGTGGCCGGCTTGCTTGACCCAAGTGTCAAAGATCAACGCATCTTTGGCCTTGTCCAAGAATTTAACTGGACGGACATTCTAGGAATCTTCCGTAAACTTCGTCCGGAACTCAAGCTGCCCGAGGATCCTGTGAATGAGGGTCGTGACTTGACAGAAGTTGTACCAAAGGATAAGGCCGAGAAGCTTCTGAAGGACTTTTTTGGCCAGCCAGGCTGGACATCGCTGGAGGACAGTCTGAAGGCCGGTATCGCGGATCTTTAAACGCAGCGCGCGTTAAGGCAATAGTATCTAGAAAGGCACAAACTCCTTTATTGTGTGTATGTGCGTTCTTTGATCCTTGCGAGTAATGGAAAGATAGTTTGGGTAATAAGTGACGGGATGCACTTTACATCAACTGTCTTTCGACCATTGCTAGACTATAAAAAAAAATAGAGTTATTATGCTCAGAAATGAAAGACAAGATGCCGAGATGTCTCAAGACCACATTATATACAAGTCTTCTCTAGACAAAAATGTATGCGCTGAAAAATGAGGTGAGCCGAGGTCCACTTGATGCTGCGGGCTAGTGCGGAACGATGCGGACTGGAGCGCACGAGTGCGGACGCGGTTCCCGAATCAACATCTACTAATCAGAAACGCCGGCTCCAGGCAAGCTCTCCCTTGACTGCTATAGTTTGCTTGAAGAGCACTTACATGGATTACTTTCTCAGCAAATTGACTTTCAATTTTCCCATCTCCCTGCTCAATGGCTAACAGAGGGATTCTTGCTCAGTACTTGATCCTTTGCCCACAAATAAATAAGATGTCTTCTCGTCGACCTTTAGTCTGTGGGACAGCGAAGTCAAGGCAGTTTGCCAGAGTCGTTTCTTTTTGCAATATTGAGAAAAGGTTTAGAGAAAATGTCTGAAACATCTGATACCAAAGATTCTCCAAACACTCGAGATGATAATGGGATATTGGCTCCTGCGGCGGATATTTCTCACGTCGAACAAGGCAAGGCAAAGCAATCACAACCCAGTGTTCGAGATAATGTTCTTGCCTTTTGTATTGTGTTCTGCCAATTGGTTCAAGTAAGTCATTGATCTCTTATTCCACGCCTAATTAAGAGTTTTCGAGTTCAGAGCATGGCTAATCCAAGAGGCAGGCCATACCCTACGGCGCGGGACTCATAGCAGCCATCGACATACCTAAAGCGATCGGAGCTCCTGAAGACAAGGCCATATGGATTGCAGCATCATATCCGTACGAAATTCTCCGATTGTTCTCAACAAGTGCATAGTGCTGACCAAATAGACTGACTCAAGGAGCATTTGTGTTGATAGGAGGACGAATCGGTGCTGTTCATGGGCACAAGAACACCATGCTTTTCGGTGCCTGCATATATGTTCTGTTTCATCTCATCACTGGGTTTATGAGAACGGCCGACACTGTTATTGTTATGCGGGCTCTTAGCGGCGTTGGTGGAGGAATCATGGTTCCCAACCTCGTTGCTATGCTCACCATCGCCTTTCCTCCAGGCCTCATGCGTAATATATGGGTTGGCATGTTTGGTGCCATGGGCCCGGTAGGTGCAGCTGGCGGAACCGTGTTCCCTGGCTTTTTCGGTCAATTGACGGAGTGGTGGTGGCTATTCTTCTTCTTGTCAGTGTCTCATAAATGTTATTTCAGTATAATAGAAGCTAACATGCGAACAACAGGGCCATATTTGGTGCCGTCGTGTTTGGCGCAACCTCGTTCATTCTGCCTCCCGACGGTGTGCCCATGGATGCAACCGGTACAGTTGATTATGTTGGGGCCTACTTTGGAGTTGCAGGCTTGGTCTTGTTCAACTTTGTCTGGACGTGAGTACGATTGTTTGCTTTCCGTCAAGTTACTGGCTGCTGACATGGCATATAGACAAGCTGCTGTCGTTGGCTGGCAAGAGCCCTATGTGTATGCTCTTCTCATTGTATCCATCTTACACTTCGCGCTCTTTGTACTATGGGAGGGGAGATTCGCCAAAGAGCCCATCCTTCCTCTTGGTATTTGGGGCTCTCCGTCGTTCGGACCGATGGTATTGTCTGCGTTCATGTCATTTATGGGGGTCGGTATCTTCCTCTACTATGTCCAGATCTGGAACATAGAGATCCGACACTATTCCAACCTGCTTACTGCCGCGGCCAACTCAGCTTTTGCCATCGTTGGCACGTGTGGCTGTTTCGTCAGTGCGATTGCCGTACGCTATCTGCCTGCCCAGATAGTCATGGCTACTGGCGCCATAGCTGCTGTAGTTGCTGGGGTCATTTTTGCTACGATGCCGGCACAGCAGACATACTGGGCTCAATGTTTTCCTGCATTCATCATCATGGGATTTAGCCCCGACTTTATCTTTACAGCAACGCAGATTATCACCAGTAATAGCGTCCAGCGGAAGCACCAAGGAATTGCTGGGTCTTTAATGGGCACTATTCAGATGTACGGCCTCAGCACCGGACTGGGATTTGCTGGAACAGTCGAGAGATATACAAACGATGGTGGTCGCGACCAAGTGGGCGGCATTCGCCATGCTCTGTATCTTACAATCGGCATGGCGGGTGCCTCTGCTCTAATATCTTTACTGCTAATTCGAATTCCGAAGGACCAACGTGAGGGCTGGGACAAGGAAGACGAAGCAGCAGCGGAGGCGTAACTAATGCACCCGCATTAGTTTCGCCTTCATGAACACGGATGATTCGTGGCATGGTACTTGGCGATACCGCTCCTACATACACTTTTATTGGAGACAAGATGCTAAAGATGCTCTGGCATAGAGGATAAAGCGGTGGGCAGGTACCTAGATGCCTAGATGTCAATTCAACGCGAATAAGTGTTTTTAACTTAACTTCATTTTGTAGGAGATCTAGTATATATAGATCGGCTATAGACCGATTCATACGCTGTGAACATTGGTTTTGCGAAAGAACATTTAGTATAGTTACTTATACTTACAATCAATAAGAACATAGTGTCTTGTGAAAAAGAGATGTTGCGCCTGAGAAATTAACACTGCCATAAAAGAGCCTGAATCCATGTACCTTCCATTTTTCGGTTATCGGCAACAGCTTACTACTATTGCGCGTGCAATTGCTTCACAGCTCGGGATCTTCCGCAACAAGTACAAGTATAACTTACTCCCAAATACTGTAATTTAGTACTGCCCTGCAAATATAGATCTCAGCGCAATGGGATTTTCTAGGCATTAGTAATTCTCGAAGTTCCGCGGCACGCCTCGAATTCGGCGTATAGGCGGTGCTGACAAACCCCAGCGGGGTTTGAAGAAGCCATCGCTCTTGTGCGGACTTCCGAGGCCGACTCTGATGCTGGTATGGCAAGCTAAAGAGATTTAGCTATTTTTTGTTTAATGATTGATCGCGGTGATAGGCATGGAATTACGGGACATTTGATCCTTTTCGCGTCATTCAGGCGATAGCTCTCTGGATGTGGACAGGCGTAGGATCATGTCCGCATGTCGCTATATCGATCTCGCGTCCAAGCCAGTGTTTGCCATACTGTGAAAGAATGAGACGAATGAGCATATTAGAGGTAGAGAATTACTATTCGTGGATACTTTAGGCAAGGTAGCTTCCTCGCCAAGTAATTGGTGGCTCGGATAGCTATTCCGAGACAACCACCACCTTGATGTAGAAAGAAGCTCAAGCGTATGCCAATGTTGCTCAATAGCCAACCTATTCATGTTTGTATCATTAGAATGTTCCTTTCTTTACTCCACAGACCAGCCAATCAGTTATTTTTTCTTGGTATATTTCAGCATAGCGCGGGTGAAAGAGTGATTAGTACGTGACAAGTTCTTTTTCATGATACAGCGGTACCGTGTGTCTTAAGTTATCGAAGTCGTGAAAAGCCTCCTTGGCGTTCAAAATTTCCAGATAGACTCCTGCTATAGTTAGCACGGGTATCTTAAATACAATTGAGTAGGTAAGACTTGCTGGCCACATTCCACCGTGTACAAAAGTACTGCAGCAGCCATCTGAAGGCGTTGATCTTCTCTTGTATGTCTTCATCTGCTTTGTCTTGCCTCATTTCCATGACTACCGCTGTGGCTTGGTATAGAGTTTGCATGAAGAATATGGGCAAGCCTTCTTCTGGAGCAGTCCCACCTTCAAAGTCTTTTCTGAGGGCTGATGCCAAGCGACCCATGACTTCTAACGCTCGTTTAGTTTCCGGAAACATGCCAAGGCATGCGTCCCTCGTATTGAGACGGGCTTGCTGCCACTGCTGATTCTGGAGTAGAAATATTCCACTATCAAGATTATTGATGAGTTATTAAAATATCAAGGCTTCACTCACCAATAAGAAAACATAGTTTGGCAGCAAAATGATAACCTACGAGTTGCATGCTCTTGTTCGGCAGCATTGACTTGAGCTTCGAGTGTACGGCGCAATTGCTTCGTGTCTTCCACGAGACAGACATAATTCTCCGAACCAGATGTCTCAATAGCTGCTGCAAGCCGAAGAGCTTGGCTTGTCAAGTATGTTGCTTGAGCCAGTCGAGCAAAGCTGCCAGTCTTGAGGTGAAATGCGGCAGAGATGGGTATAGCATTAGGCGGCAATACGTCCTGCGAGGTAACAAACATTAGTCATATTCTAGTGTATATTTGATATGGATAAGGTGCATAAGAGGCTTCATACACCTTCTAAGAAAGATTGATCGTCTACGGGAAGATAATAATTGATCTCTGGGTCGCCCGTAGCTAGACGCCTGGAAGGGTCACCGAAGTTCAAAAAGCTGCATCACCGGTTCAGTACAAAGTTCTCCTAGGATTATATGAGAAGTAACAGTGTACTATTACATAGCCTACTCACCGATCTAGTGCCAGTACTGCCCACCAGCTTCTTCTTTTCTCCTCTATCTCCATCCAGGATCTGTTGAAGTCGCTGTTGTCCGTCATCAGCTTATCCAAGCCCAGAGCAATGCCATATCTGGCACAGGCACCAACGGTCAGATAAGCAGCCGGGTAAATAGCATTTCCGATCTCATATAGGGCAATGAAAATTGCCGCTTGGAGGACTTGCAGTGACATGAGGCCACCTGCCTCTATCTCAGAAAGATACCGCTTTGACGTCCTGTAAAGCGCTGTCTTTTGACTACCACCATCATGGACCCCAGTCGCACAATACAGCTTCATGCACAAGGCCAACAGCGTGCTTTCCGATCGTCGAGGAGATAATGGGTTGAGTGAAGCATGGAAAAAGTGATTCCGGCACACTATTGGTAGCCACGAAGCATCGTGCGAGAACAACACTGCCGCTATGTCGCGAATCTGCTGAGTGTCTCCGACATGGGCCGCAACGTCATTGGGGAGCGAGACACAAGTTGGAGGAATATCCAGCTTGATGTCGCGAAATAGCTTGGGCGCCAGAAACTGAACAGCCCTTGCCGTTTCAAAGGTAGACTCCAAATCCGGCATTTGATCCCATTGCAGCGGGTGAGGGTCGTCCGCTGCCGACAACGAGTCGTCCCAAACTATTTCTGGTGTATATGAGCGCTTGGCTGGTAGCTTTGGGTAGCTACAGCGGATTTCTTTCCGCAAACATAGTTCGCATGTCGGAAGGACTCGATCGCATCGCCTTTTACCATGGCGACACGCATGACAAGAAATCCGCGAACGAGCCACCCCGATTTGCGACGATTCCATGGCTACCTGGCGATGGGAACTCAAATAAATGCTGAGGCCGCCTTGTTATTTGATGTGGTGTTTAACTGTCAAGCAGCGCAGCAGCTTTGGCGGCGAAATCTGCTGGTATTGCTGACAGTGATATATACCAGAAGTTAGGTTATAGATTTCTTCCTTGTAATAGGCTGATGATTATTGAATATTGTGTATGAAGACTAATCATTAATTTGCAGATTATTAAACAATGGAAATACAGACCAGTAGTGGAGGCTAAAGCTGCCACGTACTCAAAGTGGCTGGCAGATGTGCGGCGTAACCAAGTTGCTAAGTAAACCGCGATAGCCACAAAAAGTCTGAACTGATTAAAGTTTACAGCAGCGATTGAGGAATAACTTATCTGTATTGAAACTTGTTCTATTATTGGTATAATGAAATTATGAGATATATGGAGGAATCTTGTTCGTTAGCGAGCAGCCCTCCGCACCTGGAACAGGCTAAGAAAAGTAAGAGAATGAGAACAAGTCGAAGAGAGCTATATGGATACCCATGATGGACAGCAGGTCTCGTCAATGGGTCAATTTCTACCCACTGTTTTGCAAGCATATCCATCTTTTTCTTCAGTCTTTAAGACACAAAACCTTCCCCAGTCCAGTAAAGCTCCCAGGATTAGTGTCTTCAGCTGAAATGATGTGGTGCGTAACATGAGCGATGAATCCTTGACCGTTGATCAGATGTTATGTCTCGACTCCTTCTAACACTTGCTCTGAGATTTTCCAAAGTGACTGAGCCAGCTCTTTGTTGCGCGACCTTTCTGAACCCTGGGTAATCTTCCCGGGCCCATTCAAGAACTGCCCTTTGTATCGATCGGCTTCTTTTGCAACGTCGGGCGCAGTCGCACAAAAGAGTTGCGTCAATGCACCTTTGGCAGGGCTTTTCATCACCAGTTTCAAAATTGGCTTTAACAGACCGGGGAACACTCCCATACCGCCATCGGTTGCGACGGGTCCAGGGTCAAGCGTTAGAGCTATAATGGGGGAATTTTGTTGCGTTAGTCGGTTTTGAAGTTCTTTTGTAAAGAGGATATTGGCCAATTTGCTGGTGCCATAACGTCTAAAGACTGCTTTGCGAGACGTATAGTCGTTAGGATTAGTAGCGCCAGGGTCACTAAGATCTTTCACAGATGCAAAGTTGTTGCTATTGGGCGAAAACTTCTCCGCCAAAGAGCTCACCTAGTAAATGCATTTAGTAAACTCATTTTGAAGGCGTCTAGTATAAGAAGACGTACTGTGACTACTCGGACATCAGAGCCTGGTTGGTCTGCCGTGGCCTGAAGCAATGGCAAAAGTTTAACGGTGAGAGTAAAATGGCCGAGATGACTAAATAAGAGCATTAATTTTTGGTAAGAAAAGAGAAACGAATCTATAGGATGAAATGGAAGTAACGCGCTTAATACTCACTTTACTCCAAGTGCCTGTTCCAGTCCTTCTTTTGTGGTGACATAATCATCTGACGAGATGCCTGCATTGTTGACTATATCAAAACAATTAGCATGCTGTCAGGGATGGCTGATAGACAAAAGTTTACTCAAAACATCAAGTCTTTTTTCGGTAGTTGAGAGTAGGTTTGCAGCTTTGATGACATCAGATAGCGATGACAGATCCAGCGGCAACCACTCCAGAAGCTCCTTTGGGACAGATGGGTTCTCAGAAAGAATATCGCTTATCGCTTGTTTCGCTCGAGATTCAGATCGTGCGCCGATGTATACTTTGGCACCATGCAGCACAAGTTGCTTGACTGTTTCGAAGCCAATTCCAGAGCTATTCCACCATCAATAGCCGATTAGAAGAAATTCAGGATGGCTTCAACAACTCACTTTCCTCCAGTCACTAGTACCACTTTGCCGGTGAGGTCAGGTATAGAGGTTTCATTCCACGCCATTGCTAAGAGTTTATTTTTTGCGCGTCCAATTTAATTAAAACAAGTCTCAATGCCGGATCGCCTTTATATCAAAATTTATTAGGTATTCGAACCAACACTATATATATCAAATCCAGCTAATATGTGCTATGAACCCTTATTTATATAAGAGGAAAAACATTTTTAAAGCTGTATACTATCGCCGTCGATCATAGACCTACAATAAATGATTTATGATTGCTTGAAGAGATATGTAAGAGTAAAATTAACTGATAGAGAACCGAATAATTACAAATACCCAAAGAGGACAAATTGGTCAGCGATTTGGCGGTACTAGCTTGACATGTATGACCAATACACGCTATTTATAACCACTAAAAGCTCCACAGTTCGGAAATAGTTACCACTATTTTGTCAGTCGGGATACATGCAAGTAGTTGCTTCCTTATAACTTTCTTTGGCTCATTGAAGATACATGGCTAACAAAATAGGGCTGCTAATTCAGTTTGACTTCTCAACTAGGGAATTGTACATCCGCTGGAATAGGGAATAGGTTCCTAGCTACAAGCAGTACACTAGCCGACTTTAGTAAAGAGATGGGCTATGGCTGTAAGCGAGCGTGCTAGTCTTCCTATACCTAGGAATTGAATTCTCATCTATCGTTACTATATAATGGAACTCCGTCGCCTGTATCTGCTTCGAATAAATCCTGCCAAATGTTCTTGATCTCTTTGAAAACCTTCTGGCCGTACACATTATCTCTATAAAGATTGTCGTCTGCTTTTGTCAGGCATTGCGCACAAAGCACTCGTGCCTCTGCACTTCTTTGCCGCAATACAAGCTGTTGGACAAATTTCTTGCCGTGGTCAAAGTTCCACTGTGGTTGGGCCCAAGGGCCTCCGTTGAATTTCTCAAGCTTACTCTCCAGAGGGAAAATGCTTCTTCCATGGTTTCATCACTCTCGCTTAGCATTAAAGCTAGATTTGCTTCAGTAATAAGTGTGTCCGGGTGAAGATTGCCAAGTAGCTTCTTTTTGGCATTATAGACATCCCCTCGTAGTTTGATTGCTTCCTCAGTCTTATTTGGTACCTAAGAACACAGGAAAGATGCTCCATGCAGTTTAGCGTTTCATTGTGCTCATTCCCGAGAACGCGCTCAGAGCGAGCTAGAGCTTCACGTTGCATGGCCTCAGATTCTGTGTAATCGCCAGTCAAAGCAATGACGGCGGCAACAACACTCAAGCTGTCAATCGTCATAGGATCATTGTCACCTAAGAATCGACGCCTGTGGTCGAGAACGCGCTTCAAAATTGGCAGAGCTTTTACGTCATGGTAGATAACGCCCATAAGCCAGCCTAGCAGGTCCATACTATCCATCGTATCGACATGGTTTTCCCCGAGAAACCTGCAATTTATCTCCGTCGATTGCTGAAATCTGAGTAGAGCTTCGCCATAATTGCCATTCCAAGCGAGATAATCTCCTGAAGACATGTATAGCTTTGCTCTAAGTAATTCCGAATCCTTGGTGGCTTTCTTGAATTTATGTTGAAGAATGAGCTCTGCATGAGGAACCAAGATTTCTGCGAGCTTAAAGTACTCCGGTCCAGGCTGAGATGAAGACTCAGGAAAATGGGAGGAGATGGATTTTAATGCTTCGAAAGCCAATCTATCCATATCCTCGGGAGCCTCTTCCTCTAGCCACCACCTTGTCGCCAACTGTACAAGGCAATGAGTGCTAAACATAGAATTATTCTCTTCGATGAATGAAAAGGCTTTCAAAAGTGCAGCTGCTTCCTGGAAGTCAAAATCATCTTCTACTTCGTCTTCATCTTGCAAGAGTATAACAGGAATTCCCTGATGCTGGAAAAAGTTGATAAGGCACAACAAGTCCGCTGCTCTTCGATTTGTCTTTCTTATGGACTCGAAAGATAATTTCCATGTTTTTGTTACCGACTCTAGTGTGTTTTCTGGCCGCGCATGTTCAGAGAATTCGTAACTGAGAAACTTCGCCTTGATAGCATCGCTTTTTCGGTACTGCCTCAGATACTGTTCAACAGTTCTTTGCCTCTTTACCATAAAGGCAATTGCTTGAGTGATTGCGAGTGGAATATACTCAAGTTCTTGGAGGAGTTCAAATATCAGCCTGTCAGAGCAGTTCTCTCGCAAGCGCTTTCTGACTAGGCTAAGCCCCTCTGTTTTTCCTAGTTCATGGATCATGATGGGCATTTCGGGATTCGCCACATCAAATGCCACGTCCCGACTTCTTGTCGTGAATAGCAGAGAACCATTTTCGCAATGAGGTATGCACTCAGAGGGGGTTTTGCCGACAGTCATTGTCCCGCAGAAAAATGCGTCCCCATTATCCACATTATCAATAACCATGAGCCATGAGCCCACGTGCCGAAATTCAAGCCAGTTCTTCAAGAGCAATGCCGTATCAGATTTAGCACCATCTGGAGTTGTTATACCACATTCACTAGCAATTCAGTTGAATGACTCTTCGAAACGAGCCACTGTTGCAGCATTCACCCACAGTATGGAGCATCTGTCTTTATCACGTCTCCGGTAGCAGTACTCTAACGCTATCTGGGATTTCCTTTTAATGTATTAGAAATGTTGTCAACGTTACTGGGAGACGTAGACTTGCCCTATACCTCCTAGACCACAGAGAGCTGCCTTTGGCTGACTTCCCCCTTGAACTGCGAATGCATGGTCGATTTCTGCAAAAGTCTTATCCCGCCTGACGAATGAGGGGTTTCTGTCGAACGGCACTAGCCAGAGTTGATCGGGGCATGGAGGTAGCTGCTGCTCAATTTTGAGATGGTTGAAGTTTTCGATTACCTGATGAAAGATTAAAGTCTTGGTGTAGCTTTCAAGTGACTCCGCAATTTCCTCAATTTTTTGATCATAAGCCAGACTCTTAACCGCCTTAAGTTTTCGCTCCCAAGAAGAATCGGAACTCGAAGGGAGGGCCTTCTCGATGACCCTGTCCAGCTGTTGTGTCTCTGCCAAGCAACCCCTGACTACTGGCATAAGTGCCTCCTGGGCCTCTTTATCAGTGAAGCCATTGTCTATGTTGCGTTGAATTTTTCTCAGGCCGTCAAGTATGAGGGGTAGCTCTGTGCGAATATGCTTGAAGGCCCTAGGAACACCATCAACGGCGGAGCTGAAATCAGCAACTCGGGTTGCGACTTTCGCTCCTAGCTCAATAAACTGTATTATTGTGCCGGCTAGACTGACTGCGGTAATAGGATCCATGTGGCAGATGTCGTAGTTTTGGTGGAGGTTTTAGTATGGCTTTGCGGGTTTGCTTCAGGGGCTAAGAGTGGAACCTGCAGGCAGACGAGAAAACGGCGTGTGAATCGCTTGCTCTATTTTGAGAGCTAATATGCATAAGATCCTAGAGTTTTTCTAGAAGGCGATGATTGTTTTCAGTAGCTTCTCCAACGAAAGGCGAAATGCATACGTAATTGATTTCACGCCTCCCCATTTATGCCTCAGATCTGTGGGGGATGCCCAAATCCTTCTATCAGCCGTGAATGATTGTTTCCAGCCAATGCAATCCAATCGATTGCTGCGGATAGGTAGGTACACCGAATTGGTGTGTAGCACTATTATACTGCGAATCCTGCCTTAGATCTAAAAATTGCTTCCCGAAACATTGCTGTAATCTCTATCAAGGAGAAGCTTAAAACCCCAGTGCCAGGATAGGTAGTCAAACAAGTGCACAAATTACCACATTTGCACAATATGTCGTGAACAAATATATTCTGGATCATGGCTGACATTCAGCGTTCTGTTCTCCTGTTTACCGCAAGCGAAACTATGTGGGCCATTCTGATGGCGGCATCCCGCTTAACGTATCTCACAAAAAGTGATGTTCTCACTTGATCAGCCGTTCAATGAGTTACGTTATTTTGGAGAAGCATCAGATACTCTTCAAGTGTTTTATAAAGGCATCAAATGCCCTGCTGGAATACAGGTACCGAGTACATGTGGCCCGTCTCCCTGACTGCGCTTAACCTCTTTAGGCTGCCACTCTCCCATTGGCCAGGATCCCAAGCTTGCGACGCTCGCCTCGCCCAATTGGGACACTGCTCTCCTACTGGCTATAGCAACGTCTCTCAATCAACGCTTTTACAGTGCCTTGTTCAGCGAATACCGCACTTTTATAGCATCAATCTGAGAATTGGCGGGCTTCGGGGTGCTCAAAAGATCGGAGATTACGCAAATTCCGGATGGCGATGCAATTATTCTTGGCGTTGGCCATGTCAAACGACTATAAAAGGGAATGAAAGTGAGCGGTGCTGATTCTGACTTCCAGCATCAATACCAGCACTCTTATCATTCATACTCTGCTTCCAAGTTACATATCAAATCCTTCAGAAAGACAATTCCTACGTATCACTCCAAACAACAAACATGTCTGACCAAAAGAACATGAATGCCAACCAACGCGTGCTGGTCCAGAAAAGAGAGCTCCCGCTCTTGATCACCAAAGAGCTCTGCGCAGGCCGAACTTATATCGTCACCGGTTCCAACATTGGCCTTGGGCTGGAAGCTGCTCGTCACCTAGTAGGCATCGGAGCCGAAAAAGTCATCATGGCAGTGCGCAATCTGGAAGCCGGCGAGGAGGCTAAAAAGGACATTGAGGAATCTACCGGGATCAAGGGCGTTGCTGAGGTCTGGCATCTGGATCTTTCCAGCTATGCGTCTGTTCGTGCATTTGCATCCAAGGCCATTGAGACTCTTGAGCGCATCGAGGCTGTCATTGAAAATGCGGCTGTTGCCAGCGCGGTTGGGCAGGCGGAAGGCCGACACATAGCATTGACTGTCAATGTCACCAGCACCTTGCTTTTGGCCATCCTTCTGCTTCCGAAACTGCGCTCGGATGCGGCCAAATTTGGGTACACTCCTCGCATAAGCATTGTTAGCAGCGGCACTGGTCTTGATTTAGGAGAATACTGGGCGAAGATCTCCGAAGATGCGATGGTCAATATGGACGCAGATGATGCATTGGGAATGAACAGGTAGGTCCAGGGCTCTTCTTCCCACTGATTCATATTCCCATGTTATTAGGTTTTGCGATTAATAACAATCACTCTTCTAGCTATCCTGCATCCAAGATGATGGAGATCTTGGCAGTCCGTGAGATTGCAAAGCTGCTCCCGGTTGCTCGCGGCGGCGTCATCATCAACTCAATCAACCCGGGCCTGTGTGTGACAAACCTCTCACGAAACGCACCGCAAGAATTGAAGGATCGCTTAAAGGACATGTGGGCACAGAGTGGTCGAACTGCCGAATGCGGTAGTCGGACTCTTCTAGCCGCAGCCGTTGGAGGCAAGGATAGCCACGGTTCCTATATGGACGACTGCGTACCAGCGGAGTAAGTGATTTTGATGTGTTGAATATTCCGTAATGCTGTCTGCTTATACTGATACGAATTATAGCAACTTATTGCCGGACTGGATGGATGCCAAAGCAAACAAACAAGCCTGGGATAGCATTGCCAAAGAACTCGAGAAAGTTGTGCCAGGTTCTGTTTCAAAGGCTCTCGAGTAAGACTGCGAAGTCATGAAGTTGGTACCTAGTTCGGCGCAAGTTTTACAAAGCCAACTAAATTTCTCCATAGTGAGAGACTCTGTAGTAGAATGCCAAGCTCTCTTTTTCATAAAAATCATTGATCCAAGGGAGATTTGAAAGAGCTCCCATAATCTCGCTCCAAGTGGTTACTCGTAATTTCTGCATTGTTTCCCAAGTTCTTGGGATGAGCCAGTCATCATGGCCGGGATCCTGTAGAATAACCGCCGCCCCCAAGAACAAAATCCATAAAAGAAGATCTTGATGCTCATCATCTGGCTCTAAATTGGCCTCTTTGCGGATCATTTGAGACAGGATAGAGTTTTCCGTTACGCGACGATCGAGGCCGCATAAAAAAGAGCTGATTATCGTCAAAAGGCCCAAATGCGCTATGCTCTGGATGCGATTTAGTGAACGCGGCGAGCTCAACGGGGCATACTTCAGAAGTCTATGGCCGAGCCAGACGTGACTTCGTAGAAATTCTATCGTGGGTAGCTTTGAACGTTCCCCGGCGCTCGCCTCATTGACGAGCGTAGATAGAGCAGCCACGTTGTCCCAGAGGTCACAAAACTCGGTGCCAAACTGTTCTCGAAATCTCTGACTAGATATAGCAGAAGGAATATATAGATCCATACTGGGAGATAAAGTCAATCTCTCCATAGTCTTTGTGTTCTCAAAGAGCTCTATATCCAGTTTCGGGAACGACCCAAGTCGAAGCGCATAGTCAAGATCGGCTCTAAGCAATTTTAGCAATGGAATGGAATTTTCGTAATAAAATCTCAGCGTATGACGTACCGATATATCTTTTGCATAATCTCAGGCTTTTCCAAGCCAACGCGGCCCAAGCCGCCCTGCATCTCGATCATTCGATGAAGACCCGAGAGGTGGATTATGCCGCGGTCGTAGCGACCACGGGTAGACTCATACGTTGATAGGCTCATGACTACCACCATTGTGGGATATGTAATTCGCTCGCCGCGAGATATACGCTCATTGATTAGACGGAAGACCTGAGTGATGTGACGAGTTGCAGAGATATTGGCTTGTGGAGAAGGTTTGGTGCATTCAAGAACAAAAGCCAAAGCGCAGTGATAGTCTAAAGTACGACATCGCATGAGCTACCTATCTAGGTGGTGACGGTACATAGAGGGGTATGATGAGACTTACAGGCTTGGTCTGTGAATATTAATTGCAGGAATATTGACTGATTGACACTGACCTGAGCAAGCGCTTTGGCTAAACTCGGTGCACATCGCGGAGATCTCATGAAAGCCACAGCTATTTACACAATATAGGTAAGTAAACTGAATTCTAGCGGAATGAATCTCATGTTAACTGACCATCGTACAAGAGCACCCTGTCTTTCTGGGCTACTTCTATAGGGAGGCATAAGACAGATACGCAATCGCCTATCACAGGCTCAACCGGTGGGAGCACGTCCTCAGTGTCTCTATGAGGAGGCGAGTCCTCTTCGCCGCTTTCAGGAAGCGTCCTTGTGGATGCATGCTTAAGCCCAGCAGTGGTGGGTGTCTCTTTCGGAACTCGGCGCTCGAATGCTTTTACACGCGATGGCCGATTGATCCTGCGTCCAAGGTTCCACCCTTTTGCAGCGCGATGGCGGATCAAGGTCCTTGTGCCGCGGTCAATGCCGTCATTATTGTCAATAAACGTGAACTCCATAACTCTGTTTGCTTTTACTTGGCTGATGTTGGCAGTGTTGAAATGAAAGAGGCTACATGTCTTCAGGAAGAACATTGTGCCTGTCGCTCTCGGAGATAACAGCCGGCGCTAAAAGAGCAAAGTCCAGGAATGAGAATGAGCGCACGAATGTTCTACTTTTTCAAAGTCCGAGCTCACACCTGGATACATTCTGCTTCTAGAACAGTTTTTCCCGGGTGTGATAACTGTTATACTATTTATTTATTTTAAGTTGTTATGTTCGTCAAAGACCGAGTCGTGAATGACACAATTAGACCAAGGCGCGCACTCTCCAACTAGTAAAGTTGCCTTACAGCAGCAAAAGCCACTAAGAGCGCTGATTTCATGTTGTTTTAGGGGCTCTCAAGTCGTCAATCAGCTACGAGATTCGAATTAGGGCGTAAATGGTATCAAGTTCACCTTGGCAGGTCTATAAGCTTTATTGAATGGCTATATTGCGATGAAATGAGATCGTTCTCGGCTTTTTCTTCTGATAAAGCTGACGTTTTGCACAAGATTAAATTGCAGAACACTGTTTCCAGTGGGATGCCGCCGTAACCAGAATATGTCGTGTTGAGTTGTTATTATATCGGTGGGTAACATATGGGCACATAAGAACAAAAGTTTAACCAGCCTATGACTCAAGAGTAATTGAGCAATGCTATAAGCTAAGTAAAAGTCTCCATTATCTGAGGTTCTCGTTTTTATCGACTAATGTACACTGTATCACAGGCGCTAAACCTCCAGTATAAGCGAAATATAAGGAGTCTAGAGAGAGAGGATTTTACTATAGAGGCTTGACACATAATTGGGGCTATTAGTTCGGTAATATTTGCTCTAATACCGTAGTAGAAGAACGGGATGAAAGTACACCCCCGGCTTCAAATATATTCTCGTTTCAGCTCAGTGCAAGCAGAACAAAAAGTAAAACAAGGCAACTGTTTCATACATGTTTCGCTGCCACCCCAGTGCTGCGGCCGACTAGCACCGATACCTTGTAATTGTTTATCATTATGAACATATATAACCACCTAGTATCTGCCTAGCCGACTGTCGATTTGTCTCAATTACATTCAGTCTTCGTTTCTATTCAATTATCTAAACTGGTTTTAGCCCTTGATTTATATATCATTTTAATCGTCACAATGCATTACTCCTTTGCTCTTATTGCGCTAGCAACCATCATTTCCGCATCTCCCCTTCCCGCAAACACAAATGTCAACCCGGAAGCAATAACATCAACTACATGCACAGCCAAGAAAGTGTATGTCAACCTCCAATTCTTCCTTAACATTGATCTTTTAATCTGAACGTTTGTTAACAACGTCATAGAACTATCAATAGCCATGATATTAATGTTGCCCTCCTCTCTATTTGCGGAGGCATTGCGGGCACGATTGAGCAATGCCAGGGAAATCCTACAAACACAACCGGTTCGTCTGGGGGCGCATTTCTATCATTAGAAGCTGCAACTCCCGGGCAAACAATTGATATCACAAAGGGCCGATGGGAAGGATGCATGCGTGCGGCGAGAGCTATATGTGGCGACAGCCCATTTACGAGCACATGCATTGGCGGCGCAGATATAAACAAAGGAAATGTTAAGTTTTCTCTAACTGCACAATAAAAAGCTAGGAAGCACAATTATGAATATAAGAACACACCGGCTGGTCTGGAATCTCAATCGAGAATATATTCTCTACGGTTTATAGGCCGGTCTGTTACTTCATCATTTTTTCTACATAAGCCAATCATTGGGCAAAGCCAAGCATTGGGCAAAGCACCATGTGATGTAGGCTCCCGCTCTCCGCTATGCGTATTACAACGCCAATTATTCCGATGCGGGGTTGATAAAGGCGACCACGAACAAACTCACCAGAGACATCTTCAATGAATCATTAAGAGCAGCATCTAAGTGCAGCCAACCAACTGATGTGCTATTTTTTATCCAGAGCGGGTTTAATGTCATCATCTCAGCCTTGGTGCCTATCCTACAACAGCGTCTAAAGAGTCGTTGATCAGCACAGCCCACCTCAGCTGCGTCCACTAAGGGTCTTGAAATTTGCTCTCCTTACACATTTTCTCATGGAACAAACAACACCCCAGTCCTCCACTGTGAATCTTGAGATTGATATTCATGGCGATACCTTAATTACCATTACGGATACAGATATACAGTCCTCTCCTTCATGTGGCACAGGTACTGTTCTTTCATTAGAGGTTACCCGTAATCAAGATTAGAAGAAGCAGCTGAATCAGGCCTTATTTTCAACGCTTGAAAATACTACTCTCGACGAAACCGGGTATCATTTTCAAGTCCCTAGGGGCTAACTTCGCTATAGACATAGAGGCCACTGCTAAGGCCACTACTGGAAAACGATTTCTAGTTTCGAGGAAACATCTTATGCTAGCTTCTCGTCGTGCTAGCAAAGTACTTGGAGGATCTTTCAAAGAAGCCGTCCCGGAAGAAGATGGCCTCTTCCATTGGAATTTTGAGCCAATATTTGACTCGAAGGCGTTTGAGATTGTAATGCAGATCATCCACGGACAAACGCGCCATGTCCCTGAAAAGGTAAATGTCGAATTACTCGCTCAAATAGCTGCCCTCGTGGATGATCTGGAATGTCTAGATTCTATATGGTTCTTTGCTAAGCGCTGGCTGAGCCATATCAAAAATGCATATGCCTTTGGACCGTTTGGAGATCTACCGAAATGGATCTTAATCTCATTCGTATTTGAAGAATCGGAGATTTTCAAGAACGTAACACATACAATTATCAGTCGTAGCGCAGGTGCAATGCCTACATCTGGTCTTCCTATACGATTTAAAATTCTTGGTAAGTTTTATGTGTTCTATGACGAACGCTAGCTAATCTAATCAGATGATATTAATCAGCAACGGAAAACTGTATTCGCTCATTTGTTGGATACACTACAAGGCGTGCAATCTAGACTCCTTGAGCAGTCTTTAGATGTGACCAAGGGTGTAGGGCCATGATGTATGGAACGCTCAGCCAAGCAATGAAATCGAGCTCGTTGTTGCCTCTACCACTTCCGCCATACTCCTCTTGGAGCATCTTTTCAACTGTTCAACAGTTAAGAGCAGTAAAGGGAGTGGACTATTATCATCCTTCGAAAAATGATGCCACCCAAACAGATACTGTAATTTGGAGTGTTGAGATTCCAGGAAGAGAAAGAAATGTCTATTCTGTTCGCAAGACCAATGAGAGTCATCCAAAACTAGTACGCCATAACTGTCGCATAGAACATCATCTCAAAGGACTATTGGATACTACTGAAGGCAAAATTAAGGGGTTAAAATTATCTGACTACTTAAGCACATAATATACCGCAAATGAAATCTTCATACTAAAGAAAAAAAAGTAATAAATTATGCGTCTAGATTTCAAAAGAACTATAGTAGTCCTATCCATCTGCACCATATTAGCGGCAGGCATTGTACAGTGAATCATTTAAGAGACCGCACAGCGTTTTGTATTGAGAATTGAACCAGGCGGTTCGTTTCTAAAAAGATACGTATCCAGAGGTGAGATATTCAGGTTCAAATTCGGTCGTTATCACCTAGCACAATTCGCGCGGTGCAACTGTGGGAATGAATGAAAGGTATTGTGTGCGCTGAGGAACTGCTTGACTTAGGATTTTGGGGTCATGATAGCCCAGAGGATATTCAATACGAGCTGGTATGGATTGGTAGCCCATAAAGAATGTGCCATCGCAAGGTGTGGTACCATCTCCACAGGTTGGCCCTTGACGTGGCTTCAGACATATAAACGTATGATATGCAATGGGGCGTAGCTTAATATTTTTACAAAATACATCGCTTTTGAGACCGTAATAGACCTGCCTTCATCGTCCTCATAATGCATCATCACAAAGATGCTTATCCCTGTATTCTTCCATCTCCTGCTTAAGTTTGTATTTTACTCAGTGTCGCCATCTTTCCTTTCGTTATATTTTTTATTCTTTCTATCGTCTTCCGTAATCTTGTGGACAACCTCCTTGAACAGCCATTTGCGACCGAACCTTAGAATGAGATATGTTATAAATAGATGCCATTGGACCGGATGTAAGAACTGCGAGCGATTTCCAAGTTTCCCAAAAGTGCAAATATGTTAGATCTATAAGGTCCAGTTTATGTATGTAGATATATACGTAAATTTAAAAACTACATCAGTAAAACTTTCATTTCAAAGAATACGACGTATATCACAGATCTTGTGATGGGAAAATAACTCTAAACTCAACTGCCCCCCCTTGACGAATAGCCTTAAGCATTTCTACAACTTTGATATTCACGTCTGGAGTTACCTCGGTTTGTTGGCTGCGTGTGCGAACTTGAGACCCCCTAGCTTGGTTGTGATTCTCTTCAACGTACGGATCTTGAGGTTCTTCGGATCCACTAGATTCTTCATCACTGCCCAACTCTTGGGACTCTTCATCTTCGACGTCTTCTTCATCATTATCAAACTCTTCAGACTCATCATCTTCGATATCTTCTTCGTCAGTATCAAGCTCTTCAGAATCAACTTCGCTGTAATCCTCGCCACTGTCTGGCTCTTGAGGCTCCTCATCATCGCTGTAATCTTCATCGCTGTCCAAATGGGTAGATTGCAAAGAGCGGGGTCGAGTTAATTCGTTAAAAGTATCTGAATCCATTGTTTGCAAAGCACTTTCTGCCCTTCTTATAGCCGAAATTTGCTCCGGTGCATTGTTGTTATGTATATGCTGGCTCAATCCACTCAACGAGAAGCCAAACATTGATGTGTAGATAACCTCTGCCTGTGGTGTCAATTTGACTTTCCCTTGGTGTATAGTATATGCGGGCATTTGGAGCCACGACTCTGCACATTTGACTATTTCAAGCGCTTCTTTTCTGGATGTAAGAAACCACTCTTTATGCCCTCTTCCACAATTCGAACAGTTATAAACTTGCAGTTTTTTGTGGTCCAAAACGGCGTGAATGATCCTTTCTGCTTGGTATGCGCCAGCAAAAGGCTTGTCGGTCTGATATATTATTTCTGTATCAATTCCATAACAGTTGCCAGATTGCCTCTGTCTGAATAGTCCAGATTTGTTCGTATATCCGATCTTAAATATACCAGAGATGCTAGTATGTTTATAGACGTATATAATTCCGTCGGACATTCTTCCAGGAGGAGGGGGGTTTTTTATTGTCTTGTATATTTCAAGGGGGTCCTGTCGCGCACCTTCACTTGGAAGTCCAACGTTTCCAAGACTCTTGAGCTTACGTCGTAATATTCTAGCTCGATATAACTCGTTGTTGTTCCTTTGAGTCGCGACGTTTTGTGAGCTTGAGCTTAGAACTAGATTCCTCATCGCCTCTTCGATGTGGAGGTCTGACACAGACGGACTGCGTCTTAAAGTTCCGGGAACGGGGCTTGAGGGCGCCGGAGATGCTACACTGCTGGTTTCGGACGAGGCTTCCATAGAATCACTGGAAAATATTGCATTCGTCGCCAGAGTTGACGAGGAGCTTGAAGCAGATGCAATTCGTTCCGTCTTCCATTTGCTGAAAGCTTCTAGTGCGCCATCGCCGTGAGAGTGGCAGTGTGTAAGATCAAGAAACTTTGCCATTTTGTCATAAAAGTTGTCAATGTCGCCGTAATCCGTGACATGTCGAAACTCGGACAGAAGGTTGGCAACTAGTAACTTTCGCTCTTTGCCCAAGGTTCTTTTGCATTGTTCGGAATTTTTGGTATAAGCTCGGCATTGGCCGTAACCAGATCCATCTGTGCTTGGAGGAAGGCCGATGCCGCTCTGGATTTTGGCGATTTCCTTAAGAATTGGACCGTTGATAGTCGTCATGTTGAAGTAAAGTCTTTTTTGTTGCTGCTAAGATTGAAACGAATCTGTCGATATTGAAGAAAGAGGAGGGAAGAGAGGCCATACTAGTAGATATATATGGTGTGCTTGCTTGTTAGCGTCGCTAGCTCTGTTGTATCATGTTTATGTGTCCTGTAACGAAAGACGAAAGGCTGCCTGAGAATTTTAGGCAATAGAAGCTTTATCAAGCTACTAGTCCGAATAGGCAGCTCGTTCCGGGGATTTCTATGTAAGGTAAATCATTGCTATAATTATACAGGGCGGCAACTCCGTCCTGTTTGCCATGGCTAATCCATATTTGGATCGCCGCAGCCTACTCGTAAATACAGGCTGGGACCTAGTTGGAGAAATGTGATCAATTACTTTTGGATCATGTTACAGTCAGAGTCCATACTTGCTATATGATACCCAAGTAGCCTCCATACGGCTTGTACAAATTGAGTCATATCGGCCAACTTCATACGCGGAACATGCTTGTTCAATTCGGTCAGATAATGGCACGATGTTCAAAGTAGAGATCCTATAGATTAAATGCACTGCGAATATGACAGCCGCGCATTTCTTGACAGAAGTAACTACGTTTCTTGATATAGACCTTCGAAAATTTGCCCGTCTTCAACATCTGTCAAAGTCCAAGCCAGGGCTAGACAACGTACCATCGCACAATCGAGTAACACGACAACTTCCGGGTGTACTTCGCCTTTGCCAGTCTATGGTAAAATATGGTACTCTCCTCCAAGCATGGGAATAGAAATGTTCAGCGTAATAGACAGCAATGATCTTAGCCCATTGAGAAGATTTCGATATCCATGGGCATTGTCCCCATCTGAGTGGTAACTTCTCACTATAATGCACTACAGCATGCAAGCAGGGAACGGCACAGAGTGCTACAATAGCTGGGTTTTGTTTGATTAAGGGCCCTCGTTATGGGGCTAAGAGGATAAACGATAGGCAGATTACTCTGCATTCTTCCATACAGAAGCTTCATGAGGAAAAGACACACAGCCATTCCTCCAACACAGCCACACTGTGACAGGGGCCGACCAACAACATAGTCTTTCCCCGCAGACACTAACTCACAATCGCATAGAAGCTGGATGCCTGCGACACCAGTTTTGAGCAACTAGAAATCTATCCCCCAGGTCGATGTTCTACATGGGTCTCTTATTCCCGCTTGACGGTCTGTTACCCAGCGGCCGGTTTCCTTTAGCGCCGGGCCGCTCATAAGTGGCCTGAAACTAGCAGCACAACGTGGAAGTGGACATGTTCTAGTGTAGCTGCGGGTAGAGCTGGTCCCGGGACGTTGAAAATAGCGTCTGATAACGCCCGGTCTCTTTACGATGCCCGGACAAATGGAGATTGCAGAAAAGCCGCCCTGGTTATACTACTACAGTAGTACTACTTATCTGAGACGAGGCTGACATGCAGTAGCGTGCTACATTCGCGTGGACGAAGAGCCAACAACGTCTTGATAATCCCAGGAAAACCGGCTTCTGTAACAGAACGTGGTCGTCGTCGTGGGTAGGCGCTGTGGCTTTCGAGGGAAAAGTCAAGTGGTTGCCCCTTTTTGCCTGGGCAGTATGACGCCATCCCGAGAGCTGAATACAAATGGCGCCATCTCTGAGCCGCTATCTCCAGGAGCTCCTGTGTTCACCAGAAGCAGTCCAAGATAGGAGATGATGGCACAGGCCTTTGAGAGCTGGAGTTTTGCAACGCATATTGCGTTGGTACTAGGGTTGAAACATACAATAGATATTATATAAGTGAAATGGTAGGGCCGTACAGCAAGTTTGCGTGCTTCTAGCAAACACAGCAAATAGCGCGGTATCAAGGCTTCTCGTCAGCGGACGTCCCGAACACCATGTAGATGATCGACGCTAAACGAAGGGGAACAACGGGGATGAGACTCAGATCGCTTATGGCAGTATCTACCTATGGTTCGGCCGACCTCCGCACTAGCTGAAAGAAGGCTGAGCTGCTTCTGGAAAAGATGATCCCAGGCACGAACTGGAGGCATTGGCTTTGCAGCAGTATGGCTACAGGGGAGTCGGATTAGCTGTCTGAGAGGCAACCAGACTTGGATTCTGCTCCCAGCACTGAGATTGGAGATTGGGGGCCGTAACTTGGAATACGGGACCTCCGCATCGCTAGAACAGAACCTATTCCATTTTCAGCTCTTGGAAATAAGGAGCTGCAGAAAACAGCCTACCGAGCGCAATTCTGCCCATGCAGGACAGGGCTCGTGATCCTGCTGCAGAACACCACAACCAACATGCATATTCGCTGTTTCGCTACGCGCCCCTCTCAGCTTCACAGCCTCACCCTCCCACCCATGGATAGCTCATGGTCATTGACTTTTGTCCTTGTCTCTGTCTATATCTACGAACTGCAGCTGGAAGGAGTGCGAGTGATTCAAAAGAAAATTGTCAGGAAAACAGCAGAGTCGCAATTAATTAATTAAAAAAAAAAACCGGTTCAGAATGGCTTTCGGAAGCGCACCCCAGAATCCCGTGTTCAAAGTATTGGCTGAAATCCAGCGATACACCGACGTGTGTCCCAATCCAGAAGAATCGGACTTTTCCACATGCCGAGCCATGAGGAAGGATGGAGGCCGTTGCCGGAATCTTCCCTGCACGCAGTATGAGCGACATCACAGTCCCGACTTGATGTCTGAGTTCCGGGGCATGACAGAATGCCCTGACACGGACAGCTTCTATAATAAACTGGAGACTTTTATCACCTATTCGCATTGCAAGCGATGGCATCGCTGGCCGGCTCTCGCAGCGTTTGAGCGTTGGAAAAAGGAGCGCATCGCAGCCAGATCCAATGCTCGTCAACGATACACGCCTGCTCGACCTGTGGCACCACCAGCCAGACCTACAACTCCTCCACCGGCTATACAACCAACAACTACGGCAGTCATACAGCCTCTCACGGCAGCAGCTCTTCAGCAGCTGCCGACTATTCCTACAACATTTGTTCCTTCGGCAGCCAGCGCAACATCCGATGGTGGCGATTCTTTCGATGACAGCATCCTGGAGACTCGCTCTGTCGCCAGTAATGGATCGACGTTCCTCAGCTCCCTTCCGAATACTCCTCCACGCAATGGACTTGTTTCAGGCATGGAGATAGATGATATCGCGGAAGAAGATGGAGCTGACTGGACCGCTGATAATATCGCAAGGGCTAGAGCCAATGCAGGTAATTCGCCTTCACCAAGCAACAAGTCTATTGCAGACGTGGAAATGGATACCGCCGAAGAAATCGCCACACAAGGAGATGCGGCCGATAGTATATCTGCAGTTGTGGGCAAATTGACTGCTATGATCGCAAGCTTGGCTGCCTGTTCTGAGAATAACAGAACTGCCATCGAAGCCGTGACTGCTTTCCTTGAGAATGCAGAGAAAGAAGCTACATCTAAAGGCAAAGGGGTTGATAGAGGTGATATTGTTGAAGAAACTGATATCAAGGAAGAAGCTATCATTAGCAATGAGGTTGTTCCTGTGGATATCAAGAAAGAAACTATTACAAATCAGGAAGTCGAGGAAAAAGATAACTTTGAAGAAGCTTCTGACAAAGAGGCCGTGAAATACAACATCACGAGAAAAGCTGTTCCTCAAGCGAACTCTGCCGGGCGGACGCAAGATTTGGCTTCAACTTCGGACGTCCATGATACAGTGGTAGCAAAAGAGGATGATTCAGCAAGAGAGACTCCTGTTGATGAGCTTGGGATTATTAGCCTACAGCGCAATGGCTCGCTAAGAGATCACTCGGGGGTATTCCAAGTGATCAGCAGTCATCCAACCGCCGACGACATGAGAGAAGGTGTTGTATACATCCTTGATGACATCGAAAACCTTTTTCTTTTCAAGATTGGATGGTCAAGCGAAAGCGCAGAAGAGAGGCTAAAGCAACCTAAAGACTGCTATGGAGTCAAGACGAAAGTCGTTTACGAAACTCCAAGATTCGCCGGTGCTCCTCACGCTGAAAAGCTTACTCGAGTTATTCTTCAACACGCCAATATTCGCGTTTTTCCATGCGAGAAGTGCAAAGGAGGGCATACAGAATGGTTCTCTGCGGAAGAAGAAACTGTACGTCAAACAGTCATGCAGGTTGAAAATTTTGTCGAGATGCCCGCATATACTCTACAAGATGGAGAATACAAACTATCGCCCGAGGCATACAGCCGCGTGGTAAAACAGATGTGCGACTTTTCCATAGACAAAATGGGCGAGCTCATGCATAGAAACCCCGAAGGTAATGAAGCAGCCAAGTCGACTATTATGCTATATGAACCAATATCAGTAGCTCCTCTCACACCACCCGATACACCTCGTCCTAGTACCAGAGACACCAGAGACATATTATTCGAGACTCAAGATGCCAACGAGAGTCTTGTCTCATTATCTTCGCAGGCAAGCAAAAAGTCTCGACTGTCGGCGGGAACAAAAGTCGCAAGAAAGTTGAAACATTTCGTAACGGCCAAAAACTCCGTCAAGGAATATTTGACCCGATCCCGGGGATCAACGCCCGAGGTAGAGAGCAGTGATAAGCGCGCATTTGGTGCAGTCTTTGTGGATTTGAAAGGCAAGGCGCGCGGACTTGGTACGAAGGCACGAGAAGATGTGCGGGAATTCCGCAGAGACTTCAAGGAGGAACTACGCCGCAAGAACGACGAAGAGATTGAATCAAATTCATAGAGCAGTTTGGATGGGTTGGCACAGAGAGTTGTATTTTAAAACATGGCGGTTCGGCGTTGATACCTCGTAAATTTACATGTACACCGCTTTCTTAGTCACAGTTCAGCCGTACAAGCCTCTTCATACACTCTTTCGTCAATTGGAACCAAGATATCGATGCACATGTTTCACAGCACGTATATCATATGCCTTTGCTAACGCATCGTTGGTTGGTACCCCAGAAGCAAGGCGGCCTTCGGGCTTCCTCGATCAGGCCGACACGGCTCCATCACCACATTTGCCTTACAAGCATGTGGCTTAATTAGATGCCACATCGTGGGGGTAAATTCAGCCTCTTGGGATGAAAACGCACCTCATCTCGGTCATCATGTTGATCCAATTGAAAGCCGACACGCGTAAGCTCAGCCTTGCAAAATATGCAGATGCGGCCCCAAGTGGATGCACACCTGACACCTCTTCAATACCTATTGCGTATGAGGCAGCTGTGACTTCCCTGTACTTGCTTATCATCCTCTGAATCTATGGCGCTTGCCCAATATATCCGCTACTCAAGAGTATTACCCATGTATCTCCATCCAATGGCAAACAGTTAAGATTGACAAATTGACAACATGAAGACGCCTTTTTGATCGCCTAAACAGCCTCAGGCGCAAAGCATACCCAATCCTATGCACATGCATGGTTGCCTAATTGATGTATTCTCGGGCGCTTGTATGCATAAAGGCATCTATGTAAATGTGCCTGAAGCATGAGGGTTAGAGCTTAAAGCTGGATTGCAAAGTCATATAAATATCTCTACTGGCGCCAGTGTCGCACTTAACTTCCCATGCCATGCAAAAGAGAACCATGCAAAGAAAGAGAGAAAGCATGTACAAAAAATTTATACCATCGAAGAATGTCAAATCTAGAGCAGTGAGTTAATTGTTGTCCAATGGATAGCCATAAATGCAGCATGCTAAGATAGCTTATAGGGCTCTTGTGTCGAGACAATAACCATGAGCAGAACCCAGGGTTTGATTGGTCAGGCGCTCGAGAAAATTATCAAGATACAGCAAATTGGACAAGATGTCAAGGCAAACAAAGATTTAGAGGAAGTCAGCATGCGGCTCTCGACAGCCGAAAACTACCTCAACGCGATAAAGCACACGGGCGGACTGCAAACGCATGATTTCAGCACAGAGATGGAGACTGTTATTGCAGTTCTTGAAGAGTGTGGATCGCTTTTTGAGAAGCTTCCTGGCAGTTCAATGAAACCTTCACAAATTAGCCTCGAGCAAATTCGTTACGAAAAGCAGCTGAAGCCTATGCAAGGCCATCTCGATAAAGTGCTGCAGCAGATCTCTTTGCGGGTGCTAGAGACCCCGGTGGGCCTTAAAGGAGGCCATCTTGTTGACCTCAGTATCCTTAATGAGACCAATGCAAGGATAGAGCCAATCTTTCAGAAAAACTTGGTACTCGTGGACTTCTTAAAGAAGGAGGGTAAGATTGGTGGAAAAGGTACGTCGTTCAACGTTGCCGCACATAAAATTGGAAGTTTATGATCCCTGACATATATGATGCTAGGTTTAAATGGAACCATTGCGCTTGACCCGGCCAGATTCGAGGCATTCAAAATCAATGTCTCACAGCAATTGGCATCACAGGCGCCTGGTAGTGAGAACGTCACAAGAGAGTACACGAGAGCCATTATCCAGGATAATATTGCTGGAGATAATATGAAAAATTTCTTTGGTAACATTGGGTTTGAAGCTGACTACAAAGCTTCATATACGGGCACTTCAAGATTCGTCGGTAACAAGATGGGTGACAATGCAGCCTTATTTACTGGGGACATTGGAGGCCAGGCCGCTGTGGAAATGATGAAAGATATGTTCAAAAGATAATTCTTAGCGAGAAGATCGCAAAGCGTCTTCTAGGGCATGAAGGCTAATAGTATAGCTTAGAAGGTTAGGATGTACCATCGTGCAATCCGAGGCTCAAATAGCCCAGCACTCGTGTCAAGTGTCCCTTCGTACAAATTAGACTATCCGGTTTATAAATGGGTTCGCCTTTCTTTCTCTAGTAACAGATAGTATCAAACAGTTCAAGTAGCCAGCGAATCATCTTAGTATTGGAGGACTTCTAAAAGTAGTCATGCTACCGCCCATGTCTGACTCTTTTCTGTCTTCGGGTATCTATGTAAAAGAGCTTTCGCAGCGGCCGCCGCCGTCGCAGCCGCAAAGTCTTGCCACTTCTTATTCTTATGAGAATCCGCGTAGTCACAAACGCCTTTGACAATGATACAGGGAATCTCTCCCCAGATGCCTGCTGCTTCCATCTCAAAAGCAATAACGCCCTCATTTTGCGCAATCTCATCGCGGTCTCTTCCCGATTTCAATACCGTATCACCCGACGCAACAGCGCCGAGATGGATCGATGGTGCTTGAGCTTCCTCGGAACTGTTCAATTCGAGCTCTTGCTTCTCTTGAAGGCGTTCTCTCTCAACAAAGTAATGCTCTTCACATCCCAACTCCTCGCAAGTGGCGTTCAGAGCGACCTCACATACTGCGCCGGAACTGCCGTCACAAATGTTGCAGCAGTAACCATAAAAACCGCGGTGCATGTGGCGATAATCCGATCTGAATAATCTGTCTTTGGTCGTCCCAGGATATCGGTACTTGTTAAGCAACCTGTTCTTCCTACCTGTTCGTTTATTCTGTAGCTGTATAAGGAATTGAGCTGTCTGGCTCTGAAGTAAGCTTATACCTCGGTCGGTCTCAAAGTTTTTAAGTAGGCTTTGGATGTTCTTTGTCGCTTTGCCCAAGTTGTCTTCGAATGTGTTCTTGCGGATAAACTTTTCAGGGTATTTTCTGCCAAAGTCATATTGAACAACAGCCCTGCTAATCACAACATCGCCCAGGAGGATCTCATCTTCTTCAAAGCCTCCAACTCGAGGCACACCTCCACAGACGCCTACAAGGAGCGCCAACTCCACATGTGTGTAGCTTGACCTAAAGCTAGCGGCTGCGGCAGCAGCATTAGATTTTCCCATGTGTGGAAGAAGAATCAGGACAACATTGTGCTTGCCGATGCGACCAGTGGTATAAGTGTTGAGGTCTCCTTCTGCTCTTCCATATTGATCTCCTTCTTCGTCCCAGAACTCATCACATATTTGACAAACAGCGTTGTATTCTGTGGCAATGGCGCATATAACGGCTACGTTGAAGTCTTCACGTCTTGGCGGGGCTGAAGTCGCTACAGTTGTGGTTGTAGTCATTGAACGCAGACTAAGTCATAGGTCAGTGTTGTTCGTTTCGTAGTAAAACATGAATTTGGAAGAATCCAAGCTTAGAATAGAGAATGCTCACGACTTTTGTGAAGGTCTTTCTGCGCCATCGTAGCTAAAGACGCTGTTTGCGCCAATATGGCGAGTCACCCGAGAAGCATTCGTCTCTCTCTGAGATGGTAAGATAGCAAGAGCACTTTGAGTATATCTTTCGTCCAGACCCTCTAATTGTCGATCATTTGATTCAAAAGGTTCATCTGTATGCAGTCTCTTAAGATTAGGGCGTTCAGAAAAAGACCCTCGCCGTTTCCGCTTAAGTCCATCAGGATTCAGCTCTTTCTCAAGGTTTCGGACGATCTGCTCGTAAATGACCTCTCTCATGGCGGCGCCAGATGAATTGGTAGTTTGTAAGTCATCGTCTTTCTGCATATGCATATGAAGGTATAAACAGCCCTGCACAGCTTGGAGGTAGAAGCTGTTTCCATCCTGTCGTGCCTCCTCCACGTAGCTACACATTCGAGCCCAATTACCGATGTTCTTATTAATATTCTGTAGGTCAATTTCAAGAGGTATCTTTTCGCCATTGATAATCTCTAATAATAGCTTGGCAAAGGATAACAAGACCGGATTGCCAGGAACAATTCTATGAAAGAAGCCTGGATAATTGAAGCTGGGGGATTGAGACCCTACCAAAATATGCCAGCGTGGAGGTTCTCCGTATGGACGAGAAGAGCGCATGAAAAAAATGTTTTCCGCTGACCAGTTACATGAAGCTCGCTCAAGGCTCCTATCGAAGAAAACCATTAAACATCTTGCCAGAGCTAGAGCCAAAGCCGTCTTTTCTCGATGGTCAAATCTTTCTATGACAATCCCTCTGAGATAGGCTCCAGGGGTGATAGGACGAAATGCATTCTTGTCGAGTAATAAATTGAGCGCCTCTTCTGTATGGTCATACGTTGATATTGGCGGCCCTTCATCGGTAACGTCAAAGAGCCCCCGCTGGTCAACGAAAAGGCGAAGTTTCGTCCGCCGTTTCCAGGTTTTGTGGATAGCAACGCAAATATCATTCTTCTTTTCTGTGCTCATAGGATGTCTATTTTATTGTCAGACTACTACCTCGTCTTGGGGTCCGGCATGTTCGGCGACACTTACTGGAATGAATCGCATACAGCCTCTTGCCAATCACGCTCAGATTGGCAGCAAGACAGTAACATTTCGAGTTTTGGCTGATACGGGCTGGTATTTAATTCCTCCAAAACCCTCAGCTTCACTTCATGGCTTATACCGCAATGTGTTTGTTCAAACTCTTTTAGAATGGCGTCCATGACAGTGCCTACTGGGTTGTGGACCATGTTGAGCTTTTGTTCTGTCGGCTTTATCGCACCTATTTGCATTGGGGACTGGGATATTCCAGTTCCCAGCCAACTCTGTGACGTATCCGATCGGGCTATTACTCGTTGTAGAAAGATCTTCCAAGCCATTATCTGGTCCAGGATTCTGTCTCCAATATTGCCGCGAGGTAATATAAATAAAGAGGATCCTGGATCACCTATTAAGCTAAATTGCTTGTAGTCAGATGCATCGAGGTAAAGCATCAGTGCCGACAGTTTCGGGTATATACTCATTATCTTCGTAATGTCGTGAGAGCCATTGGAAGCAGAGGCTTTTGAGTAAACTACATCCTCATTCACCATATCATTAAGTGATATCAGAAGGTCTTGTGCTCTCTCCTCTAAATCCTTGAAGTCCTCACTTAAGAGGTCGATATCCAAGGTAGCCGTCTTGAAGATATCACGAAGGTCGCAGTCCAAGAGATCCATGTCGTTTTGGTATCTGGTAGGCCGACCCACGTCTGCTCCACGCCTCGTGAGTCCCGCAAGGCGGCCTGCCAAACGCACTTTCAGTGCTTGAAAGCCGATCCATCCGAGAGATTCAGTGGGCAGCATCGCGCATTTTAAGATATTGTTGTGCTGCTTTGCCAGGTCAGTCCTGTGTGATTGCGATATCAATGCAACTGCGCCGAGATGCGGCTGAAGGATGAAAGCGGGGGTCTCGAGGCTCGCAAACAAGGCAGTCAACCAATTTGTGTCAGCAAGTTGCCATGCATGTATTCGACTAAAAACTCTTATGGTTCAGTACTGCAATCGTCGCAGAATTGTGTTCAATAGGATACGAAAGTGGCCGTCAACTAAGTGTTAAGATGCCAAATGTGCATACAGACACTGCCCAAACAAGGCACCGAAGAATAGAATAGCAGAAGATAGCAATGAAGGCTGAATGCGCTTCTAGCGTTGGGTGTGGCAAAGGTACTTACTGTAGTTGACGAATACAGGGTGATTCGACTGCCAGGTTAGATCAGTTCGCCAGTAATCTCATGTGATACAGCCCAAATGTTGAATGTACCAGAGCGGGGTTAGGCACATATCAAGCCTCTGAGCATGCATGTGTGCAGATTGCAAGTTACTAACAGCATATTGGAACTATCAACCGCAATCGAAACCAGGTTACGACTGTCTCCGCTATTCTGATATGCCACTATTAAACGATCAAATACCTTCGAGTTGACATCGTGCTGGCTCGTTTTGTCAAGCTACGCAGAAGATATGGATGAGACAAGTATAGAGACAACGGAGCCGATCTTCGAACTTGCGACAGAATGCGAAACTCTATTTTCAGATCATCTCTCGATGCTGGAAAATGAATCAGACTTCAATGGCGCGAAAGTCGTTGGAGAGTATCAGCAACGGTTCTCAGCTTGGGCGGCTTTCTTGGGCGTATTTGCCGTCCCAGAGATGTGTCTCGACCGCAGACTCCGCAGCCATGTTGAAATTCAGGATTTGGTTCTTCGCTTGTTGGATATTATGAAGAGAAATTTGGTTCACCGTGCGTCTCCTACTTATTCGTAGCATCAGAGCTGATGGTAACAGTATTTATAGTTTTTGAAGAAGATATCGACATCCCCGACTTAGATCAAGTCTCTCCAGCACAAATCCGCGTCAACTTGGAAAGTCTAAGAGGAATTGAAGGAGCCGTTGACCGCCTCAACCATCTCGGGAGGACCATACAGCGATCGTCTGAAGCAGGGCAGGCAACCAAAGTTGACAAATTCACAACGAGCTTTGACTCCACTTCCTTCGAAGAGATTGCGCGCTTAGCTATGAAGTCATTCTATCCCGATGCCAGCGCATCTCTTTTGAATCAGCTTATCCAAGCAATGACCGATATGTACGAAAAGTTTCATTATCGGCGATCGAGACAAGTACGACTCCAAGCTCGACCTAAAGCAGCATTGTTCACCATTGGCGAAGACTCAGCTGCAAATCCAACGGCAAAAACAGACAGAGCATCTCCTCGACCAACAGCTCCTCCTATATTAGATGCCAACAAGCAACTACCCCACTTAATCTCAATGACGCATTTAGAAGACAGGTCACACAAATCTAGAGAATCCAATCCAACGTCCCTGGATAGCCGAGAGTTTAGTAGGCTGTTTTCGCGGCAAGGGGGTGGATCCGTTGGGAGCAAGACAAGATCTATCCTTGTTAGTCAGGTTGCTTATCCTCAACCATCTGAAGAAAGCCTGGTTTGCGAATGGTGCTTCGCAACTCTCTCGAAAGATGAGCTCAAGGGAGAGAAGTGGAAGTATGGTCCTCGCTTATTCCAATACCGTAGATGCTTATAACTGATTCAACGTGTAGAAAGCATTTAAATGAAGACTTCAAGCCATTCATTTGCATTTCTGAGAAGTGTAAAGGGCAGGCAAACCGATTTGCAACTTCGAGAGCATGGTTCAGCCATATGCTCGAATCACATGGTCAAAATTGGCATCGAGAAATACATTTGCCGATATGGTGGATTTGTCCACTATGCAATAGCAAAGAAACGACTTTTTCCAGAGCACAAGATCTCTCAGAACACATATTAAAACTTCACGATGATATTTTTACAAAGCCTCAAATCCAAGTTATTGTACACCAGAGTCAGCTCCGATCCCCGCGGCCGCAGGACATGTGCCCCTTGTGCTGCCTTTCAATGAGAGATGAACAAGGCAAAGAAAAAGAAGAACAGCATTTGAAAGTAGCACGACCAGACTTTTCGTCAAAAGATCAGACGCCTGGGAAAAGTCCCAAACGTGTTAAAACAGAGACCGGCTCAACACGCCAAGCTCAGTATGGTAGCCTTGAGTTTGAAGGAGAAATGAGAGAGATGATACCAGATACAGGAACCAAAACTGCCGAAGATACACAACGAGTGGGCATTGAATCCATCGCAAGACACGTCGCCGCGCACCTTCAAGGGATCATGCTCTTCACACTGCGTATGATGTCCCTAGACATCTCAAATGCAACAGCAGATGAAAAGTCTCTATCTAGCAGTACTAATCACGACTCATCTCGCGCTGGTGAAGAGCAACAACGTTTTAAAGAAGAGACGGGCGCCTTCGTTGACATGTCAGAAGAACAGGCCAATAGCATGGAGATTGATGACCCTTCGATTCAGGATACTATTCCTGACTGCGAGCATATCGTTGATTGGCAAGACGTAATTAGCGATACACAGCAATTTTCAGGGACGGATAGCTTTCTACAAGAGGTTATTCGCTCCGGCGCTTTCCACAATAAGGAGTACGTTGCGATCCATCACATTATCATGATCATGTATTAACATATCTCAAGATCAACAGGTACAGCAAGCTGCATACGACTTTAGCGCGGTGTAATATTGAGACTAACATCAATCTTTAGAACCATCTCGCATTTCGACTGCACAAGCCAAGGCAGAAGCCGCTCTTGATGCCAAAGAGCAAGCAGAAATAGCCATGCTCACGAACAAGAAAAGCAAGAGAAGTCTGGTTAAGTCGGATCAGACCAGGCTCAATTTCCTGCAGCAGAGCGTCGCAAAACGAGCCGAGGAACGAGCTGCGCGAGAAGTCAAGGCAAGAGAGGCTGAGGAGAGAGCACGCGCTTCAATTGGCCTTCCTCGAAATGAACATTTCGTTTGTCCCGAGGACCTTTTCGGTCGTATCGCCAAGCAGTCTTCTGAACCAGCCAGTTGTGTAGCACTTGTAGGTTTAGGCGGCATGGGCAAATCCCAGCTGGCTCTCGAATTTGCGCATAGAACTGCAGCAGAATCGCCCGAGGTCTGGGCATTCTGGATTCACGCCGGCACTCTAGAAGATATCGAAGAGGGCTTTAGAAGAATTGCGGAGTGTATCAAATTGCCCGCACAGAACGTGCCATGGGACGACTTATATCAGCTCGTTTGCGACTGGCTTTATGATGAACAGAATGGCCCCTGGATTCTAATCCTTGACGGTGCCGATGATCCGAGTGTGTTCTACAAGATTTCAGATGTCACGAACGTACTGAGATCCAAAAGGCGCCCAATTGGAAGTCTATATTTACTAAAATCACTGAGACGGAATAGCTCAATAATCGTCACAACTCGCAACAAGGATTTGGCTGGTACCCTAACCCGAGGTCATGGCAGCATAATCGAAGTTGGGCCAATGCCAGTGGTAGAAGCCACCAGTCTCTTCAGAAAGATATTAGGGCCAAAATTTCAGCCGGCCTCAGATATGAATGCGGCGATTCACTTTGTAAAAGGACTCGGTCTTAATCCTCTCGCCATCACCCAAGCGGCGCTTTATTTAGACAAGTATTTGCCAAAAGCCACTACTCTTGCCAACTATTTGAAGAAACTAGAAGAGAACACCGTGGAAAAGGCCCGGCTTCTAAATTTCGACGCTAATAGCATTTTCAAGACTTGGGAAGCAGCTTTTGACTTTATTCGTTCCCAAAGGCCCTCTGCAGCCAATATTCTGTCACTCATGAGCTATTTTGATCGGCGAGGTATTCCTAAGTGGCTCCTTGTTTCCGATATACGAGACAACAATAATCCGCGAGCAAATAGCCCGAGTATAATGGGACGATTAGAATTGGATGATAGTGAGGGCGATATAAATGATGACTCAACCGATACATTCGATGGCGACATAGACATGCTCATGAATTATTGCATTATTGCTGCGAATAGGACGAGAGACATGTTCGAGATGCATGCACTCGTGCAACTTGCAGCCCGGGCAAGTATGAGTAATACCGAGGCACAGAAATACTGCGCGCAGTTCATTCATCGACTCGCGGCAGAATTCCCAAGCAACCCACTTGGCTATTGGTCCACCTGCCAAGAGCTTTTTGCTCATGTTCAAGCAGCAGCCAAATATAGTCCTAGTGATGATGCTCTAGAAGACTGGGCTATTCTTCTATATGATGGAGGGCGTTATGCGCGGTTGCTGGGCGACTACGAAACCGCAAAACACATGAGCAATAAAGTATCAAAGGCTAGAGAGATGATAAGTGAAGAAGAGCAAACAGAGAGAGAAGCTATAAGACTCTTGGAGAACTCATCATTAACCGCGCTAATACTGATGGATCAGGGGCTATATCATGAGGCCGAAGGGCAATTCACTCATGTAACAGACACATTCAAAAGAATGGAAGCAAGATGGGAAACAGCTCGCTCTAACACATTAACTAGTATGAACAACTTGGCGTCGGTATATAGAGTTCAGGGGCGATGGAAAGAAGCAGAAAAGCTTCTTACCCAAGTCAGATATCACAGGGCAGAACTCAACAAGGTTGGCGCCAGTGCTCTAGCGACCCTGGCCAATCTAGCATCCACATATAGGGCGCAAGGTCGATACGTTGAAGCTACAGCGCTTCAAGAAGTCGTGCTGGAGAGTTGCAAAACACAGCTTGGAGAAGGTCATCCACAAACGTTGACAAATAAGAGCAACCTGGCATCACTGTACAGGATCCAGGGCGAGTTGGAGAAAGCTGAAGAGCTTCAGATTCAGGCGATGAATGGTCGCGATATGAAGTTTGGCAGGGAACATCCAGACACACTAACAAGCATGAACGGCCTTGCGTCAATCTTTAGAGCTCAAGGCCGACTGTGGGAGGCCGAAGAGCTGCAGGTGCAGGTAGTGGAACTTCGAAGGACGAAGTTGGGCGAGAACCATCCCAACACCATGGCCAGCATGAACAACTTGGCCCTGATATTTTACGAGCAAGGCAAAGGTGAAAAAGCTATAGAGTTGCAATCACTGGTAGTGGATATGTGCAAAGTCAAGTTTGGGGACAGCCACCCTCACACTCTGACCAGCATCAATAACCTTGCTCTTATTCGGAAAAGCCAGGGCCAACACCAAGACGCTATGAGGTTGATGAAGTCATGTTCTGATAATCGCCAGGACATTCTGGGCCCTAAGCATCCTTATACTATCTCGTCCATGGCGGCGTTAAGGCGGTGGATCGAATGAGTTACTTCTAGTCTTTCTTGAAATATTCATTTTGGATGCTAGTTCATGCTTCTATACTTCATATGAGTTGAAGAAGCGTATATGACTGAGAGATATCTTGCGAGTAGAGTTTTGGAGCATTAGAGTAACTTCATGTTTCTTCTAGCAATTGGCGGCCAACAGCAGCCAATAGGGCATAACGACCGGATTTTCTAAAGCAACGGTATTGCAAAGCCAAATGCGCCAAAGCTTGCATTATAAGACTGCAACTTCCAGTTCATCACAGATCACAAATGTTCAACTCATGGATAATTGAGTATTTATTTTGTTAAATAGCAAGCATCCTAGTCATCCTGCAAAGCACAAAGCTTCCCGCTGTTGAAATCCCTGTCAAGGCCTAGCCGTTGCCTGCGTGATGATGACCACCCACATGAGTACCACCGTGCTGCTTATTGTTTGTGGAGACTACCGAACAATTGATCACCAATTGTTACGCATATTTCCCAATAAGGCCTTTAGAAGTCTCGAGGGTCCTTGAGCTCCTTGAAAGCCAGGCGACCCGCAGGCAGGAAGACAAGAGCCACCAAGCCACCTCCGCGCACTGAGGGAGCATGGTGAGATCCGGGGTACGGTGACGTCCAGCCTGCGCCCTGCCAGCCATTAACTCCCTTCATCTCCGCAGTGGGATCGAGCTGAATGACGCAGTTGAGTTCACCGTACGGGTGAACGTGCGCAATGTGCTCATATCCGTCGTTCTCCAGGTAAACGGTTAGAATGCTGAAAAACTTGGTGTCTTCTGACGGGGGGCTAATATCGCAGAGTCGGAAGTTGGCTCCATCAACGCCTTCTTTTGAAACCCAGCCCTCGTTGTTAGCTAGACCTTGTTTGATTAAGCTGCTGAAGTCGTCGTAGTAGGGAGTTCCAGGTCCAAACTGGCTGTTTAGTCTAGCTTCGAGCTCATTGCCAGGAGTTCTATTGAAGACCGAGTTGTAAGCAAACTGAATACGCTCTAGCTTTTTTTTAGAGATGGAAGCAGATGGAGAAGAAGATAAAAGAAGTTACACTTACTCTCCTTCAATCTCAGCAATGAACTCTTTAGCTCGGTCAATGAGCTTCTGGTGGTTGGGGTGAAGAGCAGAGGGACTCATGTTGAGTGAAACGAGAATTTGTGCAGTTTGCAAAAGAAAACACGATTAGAGTTCTTCAGTGAGTCAGGGACTGTTTATGGACTAGAGTTGCAGTTTCGTACTCTAAAAGAATACTGTTTAAAGGTAAGATGGTATGAGGGGTTCAAGGAACTCATTAACGAGAAGCGGTGGCCTCCTTATATATGAGAGATCAAGTTCCAGTTTATAAGAACGTAACAATAATTCTATATAACAGCGCTAATAACTAGCGGGTATTATGTAGCCGACCTACATGTAGATCGTGCAGGATTCGTTGCGGAAATTTACCCAAATTGGACAATGAATTCTAATCTAACCGGATTAGCTAGCCAGGTTTGGCCAACAAATGTAACAATTTACATTTATCAGACCGCTCTAAAGTATTACAACAATAGGCTTGAGTAAAGTGATATTGCCGAAGGCAGAAGGATTCCATATATCCGCTTAAATGCCGAGTTCAGGTCCGCTTAAGATGACAGGCCGTGGAATCTAGCGAGTCTTGCTTCTTCTATTACAAACAGTCAAAGGACTACGGAAGATACCGAGCTAGTCAGCCATGTAATAATTGTAAAGTAATAAACTTCTAGTGTGGAGAAACCTGGTAGTCTAAAGAGCTTCAACGCCGGTATACTTAAGTTTTGTGGTTTATGTACGATACAAGATCCGTGTTTATCCAATCAATTTATGTATACACACTGTAAAAGAGTCAAAATCCTAGTATATAACTAGAGACTCATTATCACAAAAAGCAGAATTATTTAATAGCCAAAATTTAGTCTAAAGTCTAGCTTAACACGTATTAGTATAATACTTACAGCAAGCCGGGGGTAGATAGCTAGTATAAACAATCTTACCTCAGATCCTTAAAAAGGGTACAGCGGCCCGGCTGTTAGAAGAGCATTGAACCGGGTAGTTGTCGTACATATCTGATCCTCCAGCGTAGCTTCAAATTCCCCACGCAAGGCATCGCAATCTCCTAGATGCAAGCCACATCTTCCTGATCTACGCAGTACGACCCTAATTGCTTTGGGTTCTCCGTCCGGCAGAAATACAACGTTCAGACACGCAAAGTCTTCCCCATTCACACAATCGGTGATGGAACAACATAAACAACTCTCCTAATACTACCTAGATAGTATTAATTCTGAGGGCCGTCCCCAAAGTCAGCACTATGTCCAGGCGCAAGGGTCCTAGATCTCATCTCATAGCCCCATATGCCGCTTATTCGCCACAATAACTGCAGATGATAGCGGGTAGCGAAATCCGCCAAGGAACCCATGTAGATCACAACGGCCACTACGTAGTTTCAATGGAGTAACACATCTCATCTATCAACTAATTTCTCACGGCTTTACACTGCTTATTTTCTCGGGTTCGATCCCCGGAACCGCTACCAATAGAAAGACTCAGGGGCATATTTCACTTCACTCATTACACGCACAAGTACTATTGCGATTGATGTCTGTAGAATTTTCCGAGATAATTGCTGTGCTACATGAAATACATGAAACTGATAGTTCAGCTGCAACTCTCACCAAATATCCCTATTATGGGAGGATATAAGACTTTACTAAGAACAGTCCTTTCCTAATCAGGGTAGCTGCCGTCTTATAATATTCGACCCTAGCAACTCAGCTCCGCGTCTGACATATCTGACATCCCACACCAACTCACTGCCAAAACCTTACAAAGTGCTGTTACGCAACATCCAAGTTTTCACCCGAAAGTTTTATTCCCTTCAAAAGTTCATCCGACTTTTGGATATGTAAATTGCCAAATTACTGTACCAAGCGGGTAGCAAAAAGCCAGGGAATCCGAGGATTTTTCACACACAAAGAGATAAACATGTGCATACAAACACTACAGATGATCCACATAATTTGTGCTCTTAAGTATTATTGGTTCTTGTGTGACTATTCAATCTGCGGTCCGTTCCTTTGACATCCGCTTGACTACCTAGGCCGCTCTTATATTTTCTCCCAGAAAGCCTAGGCAACGAATCTCACATACCAAAAAAAAAAGGCTGAGCTAATATGGAATGTAGCATAGAAGATATAAAAGTGAAATTGTCAAAAGAACCTCTCCCAAAACAAATGCTTCGTTGCCAAAGCCACCTCCTTTCCATCCGCACCCCTAGCGCCAACATAGAAAAATATCCCTCCTTTCGCGCCTAGAAAAAGAACAATAAAAGAAAAGCTGAATAAATGTTTCTCGCGGTTGCAAAAGCAAGACGTGTATATGTATGACGTGTGTTTGTGTTTGTGTGTGTGCGTGTGTTCGTCATCCTTTTCCCTAATTTGTCGGATTAAGTTCCGTCGAATCCTTCGAGCCCTATCTCACATCCTTTAGAGCAACCAGCCCTTTCCTCTTCCTGGTTCCTGTAAAAACACCGTTTCTAAAGATACGGGCCAGTTTTTCACCGTCGCACTCGCAGAGGCGCCGGGATCAAATCCTGCGGAGGTTCCATAGGCTCACTGATACTCCTCTGCCTCTCCGTTCTATCATCTCTGTCATCGCCAGAGCTAGCGCTGTCATCTGCATCCACTGGGCTGCTCTCGTCTTCCTCGCTGCTGTCGCTTTCATCCTCATCGAAGATGATTTGTCGCATCACACCCTTTTCGAAAAGATCAATAACCATCCTCCGCACACCAAGTCGGTAGTGGTTCCACTCCATCAGACCCATAACCGTTTTGAAGAACTCGGCACTTCGGAAAGCTATCGGCTTGCGCGCTTTGATCTTTTGCAATTCAGTGACGGCCTTTCGATACAACACCGTATTGCCGAGATCCACTATAAGCTCGAGAATCCGCTCGCTAATAGCCGCATCATTAATCAGGGGAGGCATTTCGGATAACTCTAGCGGCGGACGGGCGGGCCTAGGAGGCGGTTGCTCCCGGATAGTGCATTGTGACTCTGGTAACGTAATCGAAGCAGCTGTTTCGTGATGCCAAGGTGATAGTGAGAATAGCTTGGACAGGTTAGAAGGAATGCAGAAGCCGAGAGAATTGCCCATCAGTGTCGTATTCGCGTCCCAGCCATGTTCGGATAATATTTCAAGGCCATGGGTCGAACGGGAAATCAGGCCCAAAACGAAAAACGCCGTCCCCCGCAAACTCATCACTTCGTGGGTAATTGCAATCTTTATAATCTGCTCCACCATGTCGGTGGATTCCAGGAAAGGCGCACCTAATTCCATGGATCCTACATTTCCCACGGCCCAGAGGCATCCCTTGACCTTTGTGATGAGCTCAGGGTCCTCGGATTGCATACCATGATCGCGAATTGTGCTAGCGAATTCCTCAAAGTGGCCCTTGTCGCTGAGCAGCTTGCATCCCTCTTGGGTTCTTGTTAGCTCTCTGTAGAAGTGGGGTGGGATATGGTTATCGTGAAAGTCTGTTTCGGCTTCTTGCTCATCAAACATACTAAGTCGATGATTCTGTTCGTCCGTTTCCGAGAGGAAGGCCTTTGCCAAGCTGGCTTCAATGAGGCCAACGTAGGAATCATTCCTTCCCAAGAACCAGTCATCCATCTCGTTACTGATGTAATCCAGACCATCCAGATAGTGGTAGCCAATAGATGTCGACAGAAATCGAAGCAACAGCGGAGCTCCAATTTCGCCAAGATGGTCCAAAGCAGGGCGGCACTCTACAATGTACGCCAGATACGCTTTTCTGTTGCAGGCCTTCTCCAGTATCTTGACCGCGGTGGAGCACACCTCAATCTCTGGGTCATATAGTTGCGTGACCAAAAGTTGAATAGCCCACTTTGAGTCGCTGACTTCGCCGTGGCCGTTGATGGAAGGTAACCTTCGCAGAGTGCATTTCCGAAGCGTATTTGTTGCGTGTATTCGAATCTCTTTCGTGCCCGCTGTCAATGCTTTCGAAAGTAAAATGCGATGATGACCCTGGCGGCTGTAATCAAAACTTGAAAGAAGGAGCTTGACAAGATCAGGTCGCGTTGTCAATTCGTAGATGTGATACATCATATTGAACATCTTCCATCTCTCGAGCATAGCCAACCCTTTCAAATCACCAGTAAGCACCCCAAGCATGGGGAAATAGCCGGCACAGAGGGTGTCCGTCAGCCTATCCTTGGAGAACATGGGATACTGTGCGGTAAGTCCACTTGTCTGTCATTGATGTTAGCTAAAGGGGGAAGGTTTTCTTAGCACCGAAAAGCAATGGTTGTCCTACCGGATCGCATTGAGCCAAGCATTCCGCAATTTGCCTCAACAACTTGCTATCAGCCAAGAATCGCACTCCTTCCGGCGACTGAAGCAAGGAGTGCATAAGTGCGCACCCAGCTCTGACGTATTTTTGAGTGTTCCGTGTATTTCGGACTTCCGCAAACTTGTATTTGAACGGCCGGTAAAAACTCATGATTCTCTTCATAAATTTAGAGGCTTTGATGGCTTCTTCGAGCCTCTTGCCGATCTGAAGAGGGCCGTCAATCACCTTCATGATATTCTCCCAATTCCACTTGGAGTAATTGGAATGGTTGAGGACGCCTGTATCGATAAGAAGCTGGCGGAACGTAGCATCGTCAAAGGCCACGGTAGATCCTGCCTTGCGTTGGCCATCCAAGAGAGCCAAGTCGTTCATGCTATCGCTCGAGGGTAAGATTCCAGCCAAAGAGTCTGCTGGTGCACTTCGGTATAGCGTGCGGTTGATGCTGCTCATCTGGTACACAATGCTTGATGCAATGTAGGATTGGTCATCGCTGAACTTCGCTGCTGCCGAAAACAACTCTGGCAGAAGCTGTATTTCTGCACTCCATGAAGGAGGGAGCAGTCTAGCTGCCAGCTTGAGCGCCTCGCCGATCAACAGCGTCGTCTTGCGCTTAAGCATAGTATCGTTCTCAGAGCGTGCAACTTGTAAAAGGGTTTGGATAAGTCCTGACTTGATGAAGACTGCCAGAATCAATGCCGTATAGTGATCCACAAAGTTCTGTTCGCCCGTATCTTCCTCAAGATACCCTCGGTCTTTTGCGTCAGTCTTCAAGCTGAGGTTGTTTACCCTTCCATAGGTAGTTAACCTCCGTCCTGCCAAGAAAGAGACCGCCCAGGCGGGGGGTTTAATGCGAAGCAATGAAAAAAGCAAGTCCAGAATGGTTTCTCGTACAACAGGGCTCGGAAGCAATAAGCTCATAACGAGTGACCTGATGGATCGAAAATCGTACATGCAGAGCGTCATGAGGCCAGACCAAGACCGCATAGCGACAGATATGGCCTTGCAGTTTTGTTTCAGTACGGCTTCGCTTCCTGCCAGTTGGCTTGTAAACGCGTTGAATACCACGTCCAGGCCATAGCCCGGTTGGACGAATCTTCGCCTCTGTGGCGTATCCAAGAGAAAGAGGAAGGCGGATGCCAGACTCTCAGGGGCTTTGTACGTTCCTTCGGCGAGAGCCTCAGAGAGGGGACCCAAGCCACCAGATGCGAGAAGCAAGCGAGGGTCTCGAACCATGATCTCTGCGAGGGTCTCGATGCAGATGGGCCGTAAGCGATCCGCATTTTGCTCAGAAGGCTGTGCCGAGCCAGATCGATCATCACCATACTCGGCCACAGCTACAATGGTCCGTACAACAGCGCGCGAGACTTCCTTGGCTCCGTCTTTAACGTCCAGAAAAGCTCGGACAAACTTGAGGGCCTGCTCCCGTTCAACATCGGCCTTTCGATAGTTGTTCAGTGACCTAAGACACATGTTAGTCTGCGGACATACAAAGCAGGGTGCTCAGCCGCCGCTTGGTCTCCAAAACCTACCGTACGACTAGGAAGTCGGTATTCAAGCTTCTAATCTTCCTAAGAGAGTTTCGATCCGAAATTGCATATCTCGTCGCGCGATAACCAGCCGCCACAACTTCTCTGCTTTCGCTGAGTAACATCATCTGCATCCGCAAGCCAAACACGGACCACACTAAGTCGTACTTAAGAGTAGGATATCTCTTGAACAGGTCGACTAAGAGGTTCGCACGGTTCACGTAGTAGTCGGGGGTCATTCCTCCAACTTCCAGCGCTTGTAGAAGCTCGGCGAGTGTAAACGTAGGGCTCTCGGTGGACTCTTCGACCTCTGAGCCAGAGCCCGATCGAAGGCTATGCGGTGAGCGATGTACTGTTGTAACATCCTGCTGGGTTCTGGTCCTGGGAGGTGTGCTGGGAGGTGCCACCTTGGTACGCTGAGCATCTGTAATCTGCTGTTTCAGGACCTTGATGCGCGAGTGGCTGGCCGTCAGCTCGGCCTCGACTCTCTGTCGCTGCTCCTTTGTCTGCTTGGGCTTTTTGAGGTTGAGTGCCTCGAGCATGTTCTCGCTCCCTTCCTTGATCTTCAACTCCCTGTTCAGCCTGTCCCGCAGCATGGAGAGGTTCTGTTCTGCCATCTCGCCATCTTCCATCTTGTCCACAAAGCTGCTCGGGTAGACTGGCGCCACGTCGGTGCGGCTCCCAGAGCGAACGGGCATCATCTGGCTGCGCAGCTCGGAGCTGAAGCTGCCGGGCCCGGCGCCGGGGATGAGGCTGTTGCCCCGAGGAGCAAACGCGGCCGAGGCTGACAGATTCCTCGAAGCCCCGCCATTGGGAATCTGCAGCCCAGCGCCCTCGCGGTCGATGCTCGTCCGTCCGATGGTCGGCGCATGGTCGGTCTGCCTGAGGCTCTGGGAGTGGGAGGACTGGCTGGAGGGGGCAAACCCCTTCTGGCTGGACGAGGAGCTGGCCAGCATGGCGATGGCGACGCCCACGGAAGGGGACTATGCCCTCCGGTGGCCGCTGAGCATTCGAAGATGTTCGTGTGGAGCGTGGAGGGGGTCTCAAGGTGGCGTATTGGAGCAGCTCGATTCGCGTGTCTGGCGGTCGATATCTCGGTATCTGCTGGGCTATGTCGAGGAAATGGTTCGAATATCAGGCTCGTGCGGCTGGAAGCACATCTACAGGCGAGGATCTGCGCGATACGACGGTCGTTGGTGGTTGCAGCAGCGTATGGGAGATCGCAGATCTGAGCGGTGGAACTTGAACTTGGCACGGTGGAGGGAATTGGAGAGCTAGAGACCCAAGTCCGGGCGGGAATCCTAGGCCCAGCAGATTTGCATGCGGCGGTGCAGCTTCGACGGCCGGCGAGGCGCTACAGGCTGGATGAGCTTCTCACGACATGTGAAGGAACGAAGTTGAGCGCGCGATGCAGGAAAAGTACAAAGATGGAATTTGAGGATTTGGCCGGCTGAATGCATTGGCTGGGTCCGAATGACGCCCAGAGAGCTGATGGCTGGCAGGCTTGTCGCATCAGCTGTGGCACAGCTGTGGCCGTACACTGCGACGCCCGCCATTTAGTGATTGATATGGATAACAACGATGCTACCCTATTACTGAGGCTGGAAGTTGGGTTTCATGGAACAGAAGCTTCTAATAGAAAATGTGGTTGAAATCATATAAGTACTTGAAAAAAAAAATTTATAACAGAGAGGAATTGTTTTTCCCTTTCTTTTCAAGATCAGCTTTTGTAAGATGGTATCTTGTGTTTTACGTTGGCGGTTAAAGTATAGGCGGCGAGCAACCGGGGCTTGATGTCCCGATGAGATGGCAACCGAAAAGGCCAATCAATTGGCATGGCTAGAGAATCGTAATCGATCAACGATACTACACAGTTGGTAGTAGCGTGCTATGAGCGATCTGCGGAGAACTAAGCGCATATGCCCGATATCAACCGCCTATGTTGGTTGATAGCGGCAATAGCACAAGAGCCATCTGAGATCCAAACGATTCCTAATCTTGGGCTCATCTAATGAAGCCACCATCAATCTCGTCCCCAGTCACCACGACGAATACATATTAGTCCCATCTAGCTGCTGTCTAATTCAGATACTACTAGTATAGGTAGATAGTAGTGACTATCTTAACCAAATCAACCTCAATACGTAGCACAGCCTTATCCGATATATCGGCCGGCTCCCATCCGATCAGCTCATCGTTATCTACAGCATACATGTACACAACGCAGCTTCAACTCTCGAGTCACCGCATCCCAACAATACAAACTCTGGCTAGCACCGGTACTTTAAAGCAAACATCAGCCCATCTCCCAACCATATCCCCCAGGCTGACACGATACTGATTCATCCCATCAATCTCCAGACCCCGCCACAAACTAGATCACAGCCCCGGAGCACCGCGGCGCTGGGAGTTCGGCGGGCTCCGGGCCTCTGGCGAACCCCACCCGCTGGCAATTGCACTGTCCTGTCTTCCCCAAAGCAACGCCCGTGGCCCCTCGACGCTGCTCTCGGCTTGCCGCTCATGCCGCAGACGGAGGGCTTGCCGGGAGCTGCCATGCACGGTCGATCGCTTTCTAGTCCTATTGAAGTTTGCCAGGCAAAAAGACGGCCAGCATGAGGCGATGTCCGAGACGAGCCGTATCTGAGTCCGTGTCAGATTCGCACGTGCGTGGCCCGTACTAAGTGGGATCATCATCTTGTAGATACATGACCTAACCAACGGCAAAGCATCAATTGCATATCCAGCAGTATATATATCAGACCACACTCCAGTAGACTTATTTTCATATCCGCTTCTTCTTTTCCTCATCATAAATTTAACCCCTCCTTACTTTTGTGAATGCTTCTGTTTCCGCTTGGCTGGTAATTGGCTCTCCAGATCAGATAGCTCCCATCTCGTGTGACCACATCCCTCCTCTTCACTCAACGTGTAAACCAACCGACATCATCTCCATCACCACAGCCTCAATTAAAGAGAACACCATGGCTTCCGCTCACGTCTCCGCCGCCCGCTACGGCAAAGACAACGTCCGAGTCCTCAAGACGGACCGCGACGCCGCCACGGGCATCCACACCGTCACCGAAATGACCGTCAGCTGCCTCCTCGAGGGCGACATCGACATCTCCTACACAAAGGGCGACAACAGCGTCGTCGTCGCCACAGACTCCATCAAGAACACAATCTTCATCACCGCCAAGCAGAACCCCGTCAACCCGCCAGAGCTCTTCGCCGCCATCCTCGGCTCCCACTTCATTGAGAAATACAGCCATATCCACGTCGCTAACGTCAAGGTCGTCACGCACCGCTGGACGCGCATGGAGATCCGGGGCAAGCCGCATCCGCACAGCTTCATGCGCGACGGCGAGGAGACGCGCAACGTCGAGGCCCGCATCAGCCGCAAGGACGGCATCGTCATCAACAGCGGCATCGAGGGCCTGACTGTGCTTAAGAGCACCGGCTCGGCCTTTCACGGCTTCGTGCGGGACGAGTTCACCACGTTGGGAGAGACCTGGGACCGCATCCTGTCCACGGATGTTGACGCTACCTGGACGTGGAAGACGTTTGCGGATGTCAAAGCCGTGCGGGAGTTGAGCTCAAAGTTCAATCCGGCGTGGGAGGAAGCTCGCAACATTACGCTCACCAGATTTGCCGAGGATGAGAGCGCGAGCGTGCAAAACACAATGTACAAGATGTGTGAGCAGATTCTGGCTGCTGTGCCGGAGACGGAGCTGGTTACCTACTCGCTCCCCAACAAGCACTTTTTCGAGCTCGGTAAGTTCATGATCTAGATGTGACATGAGATAGATAAGCCGCTAACATAATTTGTACAGACCTAAGCTGGCACAAGGGCATCAAAAACACCGGCAAGGACGCCGAGGTCTACGTCCCTCAGTCAAACCCCAACGGCCTCATCAAATGCGAAGTTGCTCGTGGTCCCGCCACCAACCGCGAATCACATTTGTAGAAAATGAAGAAAATGGGAAGAGCTGTTGAAGAAGTATCAAATTAAATGGCGGATCAGTGCTTGGCTAAGTGCACCAGGCAGATGGTAGATCATATTGCGCCCTTATATCATGACGGGCTTATTGCGTGATAGTACGCAAGCTGTTTTAGTAGTATAGCGTTTCTGTAAGAATTGATTTCAGTTAAAGTGAAATAATTGATCATGTGTTGGTCTTTTTAATATTTGAACCTCGCTCTAGATTCTCTATCAGAACAACAAGTCCCCGGTTTTTCTTTTCGTAACCAAAGTCATGAACACACGAAATATAGTACAAATAGTACAGTAATCTTTATCCTCAGATTATCATCCCACAAAAACATCAATCAATCGTTAACATCCTCATAACCTATCCTTATCCGTATTCCGTATCGCCTCCACCGCCTTCTGCCACCCCTCCGACCCAACAACCTTCCCTCCAAACCGTATCACATTCTGCTTATACGGATGCGCCTCGCCCTCAAACGCCTTTAGTCTCGCCAGCCTCTTGTCCCGCAGCCTATTCTTGGGCAACATCCCGCTAACCGCCTTGCGCAGCACCTCGCTGCCGCCATGCTTCTCCATCAGCACGTCCATTGTCACCGTCTTCAGGCTACCGGGCCTCGTCGTGTGTCGGTAGTAGTTCTTGCGCCACATCTTGTTGCCCGTGGTGTGCAGCGCGGCGCAGTTTGTCACCACGACGTAGTCGCCGCAGTCGGTGGAGGGGTCGAACGTGGGCTTGTGCTTGCCCATGAGCAGGACGGCGATTCGGGATGCCAGGCGGCCCAGCGAGGGGGGAGTCACGTTGGGCTGGGTGGTGAGGGTTGGGTGAGGTGTTGAGGCGGAGATTTGGTGCCATACTCGGGAGTAGGCGAGCCTTGTCTGTTGGAGCAGAGAATGTTAGAGTATCGAACGATGGCGGCTACATGAGAAGGAAAATCTTACCAGGCCAATTGTCTGCGACATCTTGAGTGATGTGCAGAGTCTTTATGTTTAGGAAAGAAAAGAACTAATCAATGCAATTGGAAAAACCAGCACCAGGGCACCAGTTCCGGCGTGAGCGTCACCGTTCGTTGCAGAACTCGATCAACTTCTACTCCAAAGCGGGCAATATCCAATATCACGAACTCGAAAGTTTGCGCATAGCCAATTGCAGCTATCCGAATGCTGACTCAGCAGGTCTTATCGGCCTCTTAAATCACATGACTCTTATCGGACATGCAGAAGAAAAATCGGAGCTTCGACGGAGAACGAAGCTGTTACACCAAAGCTTCTGGGGCTCCACAATCCGGAGGGGGACCGCTGTAATCCCGGCGTTATGGCATCACTCGCCAATGAATGGATTTCAAAGCACTGACTTGGCCGGTCTCCGTTAAATCTCACAAGATCATAAATGGCGCTTAAGAACGCTGCAGCTTCCAAGATTCTGGCAGCTTCAGTTGGCGTCTTTGCTGGCTATTCTGCGTATCGATACAGAGCCTCTCATTACTCGCCCCCTTCAAAATCTCAACGAGATAGCCCTAGCGCTTCAGGCACAGGTACGTACTCACTCGTGCATACAAAATCTCACCTTAATCCATCCTCGATATATACAAGCAGCCCCGCGTTGCGTTGCTAACAAAGTCGTCAAAAGGCACAATGGCTGTCAAGCACAGTTTTCAGGTATGCCTTTACCATTCACGTTATTCATTCTTTTCATCTCTTCTCCTCTTTGTAACAAAGAGATGGAAGCCAAAGAAGAAAATCCGTGCACAGTCCATGCAGCGCTTGAGAGACTGATGAAACACTGGGCAAACAGACCCTCTTCGCCGTCCCGCTCTCCTGCGACGGCTGCGTCAAGTCCGTTTCAGACTCCATCTACAAACTAGATGGCATCAGCAAAGTCGAAGGAAATCTCACGGACCAGCTGATATCGGTCGAGGGATCTGGTGAGTTATCACACGATGGCTGTTGCTCTGAAAGCCCATCTATACCACATGCTAACGCATCGGGCCATGCCGCAGTCGCACCATCTGCCATCGTCGAGGCTATCCAGGCCACGGGGAGAGATGCCATCCTCCGGGGGTCCGGCACTTCAAACAGTAAGTTTCATAGAAATAGCCGCTGGGCTTTCAGCCAGGGTTGTCCGTGCGTGCTATGACAGCGGCCTCCTTTTCATAGAGAGACTCGTTTAAACGGATGGGGGCGAATCATCCACGTTTCGCCAAGGAGGATCAATTGGGCGTGAGAAACAGTGGCTAACACAGACCTTGTTTACTCAGGCGCCGCCGTGAGCATCCTGGAGACGTTCACAGATATGCAGATTGAGGAAGTCGACCGCGAAGTGCGAGGCCTTGCCAGGATGGTACAGGTCAATCCCGAACGGACATTGATTGATCTGACCTTGAGGGGTGTTGCTCCCGGTACCTATCGGGCAACCATTCGCGAGTTTGGAGATCTCCAAGACGGTGCTGCATCTACCGGTCCAGTCTGGGTCGGAGGAAGCAAAGAGGCGCCAAAGGGAACCCTTGGTATCGTCGAGGTGTCCGAAGATGGCCGCGGATCCGCCTTTGTAGACCACGGCTTCCAGATCTGGGAAGTCATTGGCCACGCCATGGTTCTGACGAGACAGGATGAGGGTTTACCGCTCAAGAATGACGACAACACAGTGGTTGGCGTCATTGCGCGAAGCGCGGGTATGTGGGATAATGACAAGACTGTCTGTTCTTGCACAGGTAAGACACTGTGGGAAGAAAGAAAGGATGAAGTCAAGAAGGGAATGCTGTAGCCCGGCCAGCCTATTTCGATGAATGAATTGAATGAGTAACGCAACTGCTTACCCCCTTTGCCAAGTTGTCCAAGCTTTTTTCCTTTTTGCTTACAACTTCCGTTAAGCTTAACTCGTCATCTCCTACTAATCTCACCCGCTATCTCCTATGAATCTCATCAAACCAGAACACTAAACAGATAGTGTAAACCGGCAACTGAGAGTTGAAACTTTCCGAGCTATCTGCCCCACGATAGCGGAGCGATAGTATCAGGCCTCAAATTGACAGTTTCATGCCACTCAGGGGTCCAGAAACGGCGTAGGCTATCTTGTAACGCGAAAAGTACAGGGGCTCTACAACGTCAAGGCGAGGCGAGGAGAAAACGCCTGCCCACGCAAAAGCACGGTTCTATATTCCTAATCTCACTGAAACGCCTTCAGTTCATGCGTCCTGGCTGGCACTGTGCCTTTTGCGAGTGGTTGCCTTGAGGTATCTCGTAGGAATGGTAGCAGATAGTGTCTATGCGCGGAATACGGAGCACCACCGCCACTAGCATTCGTCAAAGCGCGAGGCTCACCAGTTACATACGCTTAAAGACATTCCCAAACGGTAATCCCAAGATGAGAGGCCGAGCGGGTCTGTGTACGTTGAGAAACGATGGAGACGCTCTGTCAACTCTTCATTGCATTGCAACAGCTAGAGCCATGATGTTATCCGTGCGGTACGCGGGGTTGACAGCTGCCAATGATGCCAAAAGCAGCAGAAATGCGATAAACAGAAACGCCAAGATTACGACCACGGGGATCCCGTGTCTTGTTCTCAGCAGACAATCGGATGATCAAGCTCGCTCTATGGCACCACTGGTCGGAGAAGCATTTCCGAATATTCCACGTCCATTCGCCTTAGACTCACCCCCTCCGTCGCACCATCACTTCAATCAGTGCTGCAGTACATATGATAGGATCTTCGAATATTCAGGTCGTCGGGCTGGTCATCGTCTCATTTTCAGGAAAACATCATTGTCCAACGCAGAGGATGGGCGAGGAAAGTGATATCAGTGCGCGGACCCCTCGTTTGGAAACTCATTGGCCCTGAGGCGCCGTTGGGGCATGAGATGCAGCATCTTCGGCGCGTAGAGAGCTAATGAGAACATTTCAACCGGCCAAGCGTGTGAATGAGCAGTGTGATATAATTTACTAGCCAGCATGAAGCATCAGCTCCTACATTGGGGGGAATAGGACACCTCTAGTACCTAATAGCAGTGTATCTGAGTGAGCTCACCAAGAACAAGCATTAGCCATATATGCGGGGGCATTAGTGAGGTAACTCATCGCCTAGTCTGTTGTTGCCGCCCGCTGCACAATGGGATGACTGACATGACGATGCCAAGTGGTTGTGATGTGCGCCATTAGCGGTGATGGAGGCACTGAAAGCCAAGGGAACCCCAGTCTGTCTACCCAGAATGAGGCATCGGACCCAGCTATCCACTCATGTGCTTGTGATGATCCGGCGGTGAAAGTTGATAGATGCTTCTTTGTATATTCCCGCCGTCGGATGCGTGGGATATGATGTAGCATTGGTAGTAGCTTGCTGTTAAAAATAGCTTGAGATATATCAACGATGACACCATCATCTCTGTCTGGCCCGGCTGCACGGCGCGAAGTAAGTATCTCATCCAATCTGGTTGCCGCATTGGGTGATTAGCTGATGGGATTGGGGGAAACTAATTCGCTAGTTTGCAGATGAGATGTTCAGGGCGCTTAGTAGCTCTGGCATAGCTTGACCGCTAAAGCTGGCTATCGGCGGTGCCCAAACAGCTGGGCCTTGTCTACTCGTAACAACTGCATCTTGCTTATTCCTCAGGGCACGCTGACCCAACGTAGAGTAGGAGTGGCTGGGGCAGAGGATCTTTGTCGATGCTTCATGGAGGTGGCTGAACAAGGGCTGCCCAACTGCAAGGGTCGCCGAAAAGGTACGCGCCGCTGCTGGCTTGCAGGGATTCGGCCCCTGGAGAGAGCCAATTAGCGGCGCTGTCAGGCACATCGACTCGGGAACTGCAACGCCGTCTGCCCCAGAATAGGCACACCTTATTAACCTTTTGAAATTGGACCTTATGCCGCTGTAGTGTGCTTGTCCACGTCTATGCGTGCAGCCGCATATGCGGGCTATCGATCGATTGCCCGGAGGAGGGGACTGCGAAGAGCAGGAGCGCCGAAAGTCCAGCGTTCCAGCATAGAAAAGAAGTGCTATTTGGCGTCGTGTAGGGCAAAAGATGGCATGATTGAGGGGTCAAGAATAGAAATGGATGAAAGAGAGACTGAGACGTTTGTCAGTGCACGTGCATAGTATGTATGCTCTAGCGTTAAGAGATGAGGTGCAAAGTAGGTGGTTGTAGATCGATAAGGCTATTTTGGCAGGCCCCCATCAGCCTACGGTGTGCCTGCTGCTCTTTCCTGCTAGATACAATTTCAGTGTCTGGGCAATGATTCTGCTTTGGGCACGTGGCTGGAAGGATCAGGCCAATTTACAACTCTAGCCTCGATCATCACCACAGTTAATCAAAGGGAAGAAACAAATCAGTTCAGCGCAATGCAGCCATCCGAAGCCCTTGGCACCTTGACGAGCACGCTACTGCTGCGGCTAGCGCTACCACTGCTACCATTGCTACCACCTCCGGAGCTGAGTGGTTGTTATTCCACTGCTCTTCTATTTGTACAAAGCGCAAAAGAGGCCTGACGCTACGCTACCGGTACTGCGACTGTGCCCCGTAGTCTGTTTTGGGATCAAGTCGACCGAGCGACTCAGGGCCAAGCTGCTAGAACTGGTAAGCTCCTCGCTTGAGGCTGGGCACTCCAGTAACCTCTCGTCCAGTCTTCTCCTCTGCGAACAAGCGCCCCAAGCAAGATCAGCGTCCGACCCAAGAACAGCCGCCCGCATGAACTGCTCTGATAGGCGAAGAGCGCGACTCGTCTCTCATACGGAGAGCTCGGCTGAGAGCGAGTACCGCCCAGTTAGCAGCTGTATCTAAGCAAAACCGAGGCCTGGCCCAGCACCTTGGCCACGCGACGGTGCAAGCCACCGGCCGTCCTGCGACACAGGGAGAGCTAGACCCGCCCCCTGGTTCCACGACGGCATCGACGCATCTCATGGTACGCCCGTACGAGCTTGCAGACCCAGGCCAAGGTCAACAATGGCGAGTGCCAGTGCCGAGACTGGGGGTATGGCATAGATACCGCCTGGTAGCTTCGAGCTCGACTGCGAATCACCCGTAGCAGCAGGAGTCCAGGTACGTACTCCGCCCAGGCCGGCATGCGCACCCCCTTCTCTGAACCCTGGCTCGGCGTTTGGCGCCCCTCGTGAGATTTGGAACATAGGTGAGGCTTCAGCAGCCCTTGTCCAAAACCACGACACGCCTCCAGAGAACGGCAGGTCAGTTCCCAGTTCCACCATCCCATGCTAAGCTCCGAGTCCCAATTTTCCTTTTTACTACTGCACGCCACGACCATTGCCCCTCGTCTTCTCTCCACTCGTCACTCACTCTTTTTGCTTGTCTTGCCAGCCCAAATGCACGCTACTCGACCCATCACATTGGCTTGTCGATAGCGCCGCAAACCTGTCGTCCATCTTTTAGAACACTACAATCCTTTTTCTGCTTTTTCATCATCAGCTCGGCTAATTCACTCGTTGCTTCGGAGTCACAACAGCTAAAAATAAAATTTAATATTCGGCCGGCCGGATTCTTCACGTTGGAGTATACAGAAGATACTCGCAGGGAGCGCCAGGAATCGGGTGACATACACAGATCAGCACTTGCATACCCCACGGAATTGCCCCCTTGTGCCGCCGCACAGAGTCGGGTCAACTATACGCTCGCTCGATCTCGGGGTGTCTAAAGACGAGCCAGGGAAAAATAATTCCATTACGAGAAGCAGCATCCAAAGAAAGGGAAAAATCGTGCTCGGTAATCTAGGAGAAAAGTCTCTCCGCCTGTCGATTCTGGGATTCGGCAACTTCGAGCACTATCACGGGATCGTTTTCCGCTCGCGCCACTTCCCGCCAAGGTGCACTTACCGCTCGCACATTCGTTTGAGCCAATACCAGTTCTTCCTCTACCTGGCGAGGAGCTGACAGACTGGGTCCTGGGAAGCATTGGACATTGATTAGACAGGCCACCTCGGCGGCCATCCGTTGTCATTAAAGCTGGTCTTTGCCTCTCACCCCCCTCGAGCTGCCGACGGTGCTACCTCTTTTGTTTAGCCTCGACGAGGCGCCAACTGCTCTGTTGGCTATTGCATATACTATACCATTCGACGCACACGTCGTTGCTCAGCCAGCCACTTCGCAATCGTCTTTGTGCCTTTGTGCATAGACAGGCACAATGTCGCTGAAACAGGTCGGTCTTGAAAGCAGCGCCATATCTTCATGACGGTACGAGTGATGGGTGTGCTAATGTGACTTCATTACACAGGAAATTGAGACTTGGGTGGCCGCCCTGGCTCGTTATGACAACAATGAGTTCGACGATGCTCTTGGCGAATTCGACAAAATCGGCGACACGAGCAAGATTCTCTTCAACATGGGCGTTATCCACGCCACATTGGGCGAGCATGAGAAAGCTGTAGGTTATGCCTTGGGTGAGATATCGCCTTGGTACCCCGTCGCTAATATGTTGCATACATAGGTCGAGTGTTATCAGCGAGCCATCCGACTGGATCAATACCTAGCCGTCGCATACTTCCAGCAGGGTGTTTCAAATTTTCTGCTGGGCGATTTCGAAGAGGCTCTGGCCAACTTTAACGATACGTTGCTGTATCTGCGAGGTAACAGCGTGATTGACTATGCCCAGCTTGGTCTCCTCTTCAAGCTCTACTCGTGCGAAGTACTCTTCAATCGAGGACTGTGCTACATATATCTGCAGCAGAAAGAGGCTGGTATGCAGGATCTGGCATATGCCGTCAAGGAAAAGGTCGTGGAAGACCACAACGTCATTGACGAAGCTATTCGAGAGGAAGCTGAGGTTAGTATCGTCAGGAATATTTGCGATATAAAGGGTTGTCACTTACCATACAATAGGGCTATACGGTATTTTCTATTCCTGTCGGAGTCGTGTATCGACCGAACGAAGCCAAAGTCCGCAATTTGAAAACCAAAGATTATCTCGGCAAGGCCAGACTGGTTGCTGCCTCGGACCGATCCAATGCGTTTACCGGATTTGCCGGCTCTGAGATGAAGAATGTAAGTGCTTGTTTTTCGACTTTCGATTCCTTTTGCTTATTGTCTCCCAACAGTCTAAAGCAGAGGCCAAAGACGATCGACCATCTGAAAATCTATCTTTTGCTGCGACAAACCTGGTCAAGCCCGGCCTTCAGTCCCGAAGACAGCAATCCGAGCCTCCAAACAACCGTAACAACGCTTTCCCCCCAACTCCTCCTCCCGAGAACGATCGAGGGCCAAGTCGAGGTGCTTCTGTACGGAGCGCTGGACCGAGACCGAATGTCGGGAAGCTCAGCATCCAGACACAAGAGAGCAGCAGGAGATATGAGAAGGCAATTTCCCCACAAGAACGAACGAAACAACATTCGCGATCAGCATCCGCCAATCCTTCAAGGGGTTACTCCACGAGAGAACCGCCACGAAGACAAAGAGCTATTGAGGAAGAGTCCCCATATGGCGATGAGGCATACGATATGTATGATGGCGGGCGAGGAAGCAAGCAGTCTCGGTCCAGACAACAGCGATACGATGATGAGGACGATGGTTCGGACTATGATTATGGATCCTTTGACGAAGGCGAATTTGAAATGGTATCGAGCGTGCGACGCGGCCCTGGATCTGTTTCCCGACCTTCCCGCGCGGCGTCGCGACGACCTGATATACGGAAGATCCGTGTCAAGGTTCACTCGGATGATGTGAGGTATATCATGATTGGTACATCGATCGAATTCTCGGACTTTGTGGATCGCATCAGAGACAAATTTGGCCTGCGAAGACGGTTCAAGATCAAGATGAAGGATGAAGACGTGCCAGACGACATGATTACAATGGGTGACCAAGATGACTTGGACGTGGCGATTCAGAGCGCAAAGAGCCAAGCAAAGAGACAGAGGCTGGATGTTGGAAAAATGGAGGTGAGTTTGAGTTTTCAAGGCTTATGAGTCGTCGGCTGTTGCCTCGGGCATCTCCCCCCGCTTCGGCATGCGGCAGCCGTGTCGTGCTATTTTAAGTTGAGTTGTCTAACAAACTTTGTTTTCCAGGTTTGGGTTATTGAAGTCTAGATCGCGTTATACCCTATTCGATGATTCGAATATAAGCAGAGCGAACTTTTTCTTGGTTAAGATATCGGCCATGGCATCGTTTCCCCTTCTTCGGTCCTTTCAACATCACTGCGATTGCGACCAATGCTAAGACCGCCTTGGTTTATCCGAAACGACCGCGACATTACAAAGTGTCTTTTTTTTCTTCCTTTCTTGCCTTCTTTTATTTATCTTTGTTTTTTATATTAGGACATGGCGATGGACTTTTTCTTGTGCCGTTTTTGTGACGGACAACATAATAGGCAATCAAAACAGTAGAGCACTGCCCTGTGGGATGCTCAAGCTAAGGTGGAATAATATATCCTCCCGAGGAGGATCTGTTTTGGTTACTGTCTTATTTTGTTTATATCTGCATGTTATTTTGTTTCTTGATGGTGGATGTCGGTGAGATAGAAAGGCAGTCCCATCATGAATGCATGGGGAGCAGCGCTCCCATGCATTCGTCTCGGGACGGTCGAGGTGGCAGCTGAAAGATGCTACAGTAGATAGAAAAGAGGTGGACCCTGCGGTCATACCTGGTGAGGCCACGATGGTCGGGAGAGTTTAGAAAGCCTTGGCCTGAGGCTATTTATGTGCAATGACTACCCAATTACTACCCTTCAAGTTCTGTCTTTACTGTTCTACCTGCAGCGAATACGAAGAGCAGATGCCGGAGCTGAGCCGTTAGTTGCAGTCTCGGCTCTGCAGACCCCTGTCCCTGAGAAGGAACCAATAGATTTGGGCGCAGCCTTTGGCCGATCAGAAAATGAAGCGGTGTTAGCGTCTTGTTCCCGGATTGAGCAGCAGTGGAGTGATAAGCCGCATCTGGCAGAGCAGACAGGGGACAATACCGGCTTTTGCAGATGGTGAAGGCAGCCTTGCAGCTTTCATAAGGACGGAACAGTCGGTAAGAGGTTTTGTTGAGAGGCTAGGCATGGATATGGGACATGGGTGCTATGGAAGCTTCAAGAACTAACATTTGTATGACACCTACTTGTAGTATAGGTGCTTCAGGCTTGAGCTGGGTATTATTGCTGCCTGAACGAAAGAGAGAGAAACAAGAGGTGATGGTTGACGAGCATTCGCGAGAGTGCTACAAGCCATTTGGTTCTAGGGGAATCCAAGGTGTTCTTTTGTTCTGCTCTCTTTGTCTCCTTGTTCCTGCATGGAATCCTTCTCGGCTGCATATCCTACTGGGTAGCACTGCGTGATACTCGCACACACTCACAACGATCCCGCTGCTGTCAAATCCATGATGGACGCCGCCAACTTCCTACTCCAAACTAGCATCTGGCTCGGCGCGCGGGTACCTGGAATCGGCGCCTCTACAGTACGATCTGCGAGATTCTGGCGCCATGGCTGGGGGAATTGGTGTTGCAGTGGCGTGAACCTTTTTGAGAAATTTTATTTTTCCATTTTTTCTTCTTTTAAGCAGCACAGTATGGTTACAGAAGATGAGTTTAAAGATGCACATCGATTCATGTTTTCTGGGGAAGATGTAGTTATGGAGCGACGCGAGTCGTTTTTTTCTTCCGTCTTCTACGTCGGTCCGTATAGAAATACTGGAGACTTTGAGTTGCTGTACGGACGTTATTGGCGCGGAGGAGAACGGCTTTTTTCCACCGTGGGTACAAGCCACTAAAACGGTTTTGTTTCACCGTTGCAAAGGTTAATGCCTTTGACGGTACTCTTTTTTAACACGGCATGGACACGTCAGTGTTGTAAGTGTAAATGTCTCACCAACTGGCAGCGAATTCTGCTGCTGTTGCTGTGACTGTTGCTCATTTTTGAGCTCGCTTGCAGCATTGATGCTTTGTTATATTACTTTTCCTTTTCTTAATTTTTTTCTTACAAGGGTGTTGGTCCACTTTGTTGCGTAGAATCCTTGTCTCGTTACCGCCATAGAAAAAAAAAAGTCGTTGGTGATGGGGCTCTTTTTTAGCACTGCAGATAACGACAGCTCGGAAAAGGGGGTTGGTTGATAACATCGGAGATTTTTTTCTTGTTCTTCTTCTGTTCTTCTACAGAAGATTCTACCGCCGGGTGGCGTTTCTGTCATTGAGGTCGCATTATACTAACACAATGCCATACTAGCACATCGCCACAACGTCTTAGACTACGCCTCTCTTGTTCTCTTCCATAAAACGTCCAACTTAGAATACAGGCCAAGCTTTTCATTCTTCTTCCCTTCTTCCTAGCCCTTCCCACTTTTGTGCAAGGCTCCAGTTTTATATGATCCACTGCAAGGTTCCTCTTCACATGTCACCATCGCTAAGATACTCCAGTTCATAGAAGACGAAGCAAGAGAAAGAGACAAAAAAGCGGCGAGCGGTCCATATAACGCCGGTGGAACCCATGCCATGGCTCCATCAAACCACTCTCGACTTTTACTTGTACTTGGTAGTATGTCGATCCTTCTACCTTTTACACGGCCCTTGCCCTCCCTATCTCACACCGACCGTCCATCCAGGAGATATCACCACTGAGAAATCCATCTTTGAGCTGGCATGCAAGCCCTGTCTAGTTCTTCTTTCTTCGTCTTCGGTTGGCTCCGTGCCAGGCCCCCCCAGTCATTCTATCATGGGTACTGATAGTCGATGGGCTCCGTAAAAAAGAGGTGCGAGTACGCAAGCGGGCTGAACAATGTACGAATAAACTCGCATCGCACGCGGTGGACGAGGCTGCCTTGACTCGAATGTCGAAATGGATCCCGATCCCCGATGTAGGTAGCACGTTAGTATTTAGTAAAGGAGTGCTTCCCGCGCTTTTGGTCCTCTTTCTCTCTCTTTCTTTCTTTCTTGCTGCGCTTGTCCGTTGTCTTTGAGCTGTGATAAACATCGTATACACTCGTTTAAGAAAAGAAGATAGAGCCCATACACGAAAGCAACAAGGATCATCCGTCACTATCCCCTAAAAGCCAGCCAAAATGAAGACCTCTGCCGTCATTGTCGCCGCCTACGCTGCCGCCGCCGCAGCCTTGCCCTCGTTTGGATCGTTCCACTGGGTCAACAGCACCGGCGTCAACAGCGTCAACAGCACCAGCGTCCCTAGCAACGTCACGACCATCACCAACTCAACTGCCATTGCCAACTCAACATCCGGCGCCGGTGCTTCTTCTGGCGTCTCCGGTGTCAGCGCAATTGGCGGTGACAGCGCTACCGCTCCTTACTTCACCAACGACACCAGCGCCAGCAACGTCACTTACTTGGGCGGCGGCAACGAGACTCACTTCTCGCCTAACCGCACTCACCTGCCCGTTCCTGTGCGTCGTTTCCGGGCTCAGCGAAAGTCTCTTGTCTAAAAGTCGTCTCGCATGGATACAACAAATGAGTTGATGGTAAGTCGTTGTGATATATATGGGTTGAGAGACGAGAAGCTTATCCATTCATAGGTAGCCAACGATGACTGTGATATAAGATTACGAGGTTCAAGGTCTTCAAAACTTTCTTTTTTTTGCAATTTTTCAAAAGAGACCGACGATTTGGAAACGTTATGATTTGTAATTTGTTTGAAGAAGAAACGCGCCAACGATGGAAAGATGGGCTGTTTGTATGGTTTGATGTTGATTTGATTCCCCGCCACTTTCGTTTATATATATATAGAAAGGGAAATGCTTCATGGCTATTTAAATATGGACTTTTACTGTAGGAAATTAAACATATTATATATTAGACTTGATCTATCGCGTATTGAATATGTCAACGCTACTCAGCTGTGGCTTACTTTTCCAGTAGAGTCGCCTAAGTAAGGATGAACGCTCTGTACATTCTTTCACCATTAAGAGTAAGACTTTATCTTTTCTTTTTGACAAAAGAAACACGATCTATTTTCTGGCAAATCCTGAAAAAGCACAACTTAATAACACATAAATTAACGCCCCCAAGGTCCCCATGCTACCTTCACTTCGCAATCTCTTCTTTGTTTATCTCACGATCATAGAGGACACTGTTTCCATCCACTTGTCAAGAAGGGGAGGTGTAAAACCGACAGTAAAAGAAAGAAAAAGACACCGCAAACCCTTGCTTTGCCCATTTCAGACTCACACACCCGGGCTCATGTTGCCCGTCTGGATCATTCTTCGGATTTGAGTCAGTTGCAGTGCCAAGTCCCTCACAACTCCCATTTCAATGACATATGTTTCCAAATCCACTTCTTTCAAAGGCTGTTAATTCTAAAAGTCAGTTACTGTAAATCACAACAAGAAAAAGAAAAGAAAAAATGTTAGTTATTACATACCGGTGGTATTTGAGTTCGCTCATCATGCCACAAAAGGTAGAACTCATGGCACTTTCTCCGGACAGCCGCATATTTGTGTCCATACTGTACAAACTGCTCCTGGTAGGAACAAATCCAAGTCTTTAACATTACAAGAATGCTCTGGGTTGTCTTGATGTCAACTGCCTGCTCATTCAAGCGGCGCACGAGGTCACCATCCTTGTAGTACCGCCGAATAAGGTCTGACACGATGAGACTGAGGCTATGCTCGAGGGTTACAGCCAGTCGGAATTGTGGAGGCACGCCCGTGATGACTTCGATTCGGTCAGTGGGTTGGTTTCGAGTTGGTGGATTGAGCAACGGTGCGAAGCCGTCCATGTTGGTCTCGAGCGCCCTGATTGGATACGTATCGGCAACCGCGATTGCTTCGTTTGAAGTGAGGGCCCTTTCGATTTTTCTGATTTCCATCTTAACCATATCTGTACACTCCTTCCAGGTCAAGAGCTCTTCCTCAAGGAGCGACATGGTGGCTGATCAGAGTGCTAGATTGCTCTGGGTTGGTATTAATATGATGTTGGAAGCGATACTGCGGGTTGTATGCTGCGCTGCGATGATTCACGTGGGAAAGTGCAAGTTGGAGATGAAGGGCGAGAATTTGGAGAGATGAAAGTCCGATGTTGCAGGATTCGTTTGCAAGAAGTAGTCGAGAGTGCCGGTCATCAATTCTTTTCTTCCAAGGAGAAAAGCAGCCATTATATAGATACAGTAGAGACATTGGAAACTCGACCAAATCATAACTCCGACGCACTTCATCATTCAATCCATCAATTCACTCACAGAAGAGGTGAACGATTATAATACATGTCTCTTCAAAGTCAGTAATATTAGTTTTCTTTGAGGTTGTCCAGAAGACGTATAACGACGTCAAGTCTATGCGACCACTCCTTTCTCCCCAGTAACATAAACATCCTAGAACTGCTCTGAGAGACAACGTCTTGCCCGCCGGCAGCAACCACCCGCAGCACATTATGAACAGTAAGCTGATCGACTCCTTGAAGTTCGACCTTTGACTGTATAGCTTGCATGACTTCTGTGCAATCGCCCTTCCAAAGGTCTTCTTGAGAGACTACATCTCTGAGAGCATCAATGACTCTCTGCTCTGGTCGTGCCTTTGTTAATGAAGCCTTGTAGACGTTCAAAGGCACTCGCCAAAAGAGATATGGATGTTGGGATACAAGATGGCTGGGAGATTGAAAGCCTCCTTGTTTCGAGACAAGGGCATTGTATGCGTAGGGAGCTTTCTTTTCGGCATCGGACAGTGTTGGAACGAGTTCAAGGGGTAGCCGCCACTCTCTTGCTGTGAGTTCTGTGTTTTCAATGTCGCCGTTTGTAATTTTTTCGATTTCTTTCAGAACAGGTTGTGTCAAGTGCTCATCAATGAGCTTCGCCTCTTGGTCAGCCAATGCCGGAATGGGCTTCCAGAGCATTGCATCCCGGTATCTGTTGTTAAAATGTTCAAGCTTTGCCAGGTTCAGTTTGATGCCACCGCGGGTGAATTTGAACGTCAGCTATCTCATGTTAGTCATTATCCTGGGAAACTCGATAGATAACAAATCGCTTACAGAATTGGCTACGTCCTCAACGGTACGAGGCGGTTGGACGTCCCGCTTGAACGAAGATCCAAGATTTGCAAGCCAGGCAAGCAGCGCCATCGGGAACGTGCCCTCATTTTGATACTTTGATATGTTGACACTGTCATTTCGTTTGCTGAGCTTGCTGCCGTCAATGTCGACGAGTAACCCGAGATGGGCGAATATCGGAGGCTGCCAACTGAAAGCCTCATATAACGCAACGTGCTTTGGCGTTGAAATAAGCCATTCCTAGGTCATGACGGTTAATCACATGGACTGTTGAAGGTTGAAAAAAGATAGCCAGCTGCATACCTCGCCGCGAATAACATGTGTAATCTTCATCAAGTGGTCATCGACAACGTTAGCGAGGTGGTACGTAGGGAATCCATCCGTCTTCATCAGGATAAAATCCTCTTCCATGTCCTTCTTCTGGAATGGCCCGTAGATGGCATCACGAAGCTTGGGCCGACCAAACTTGTCGCTCTTGAAGCGAACGACGTGAGATTCTCCAGCCTTTGCTCTGCGATCAGACTCGGCGGCATCTACAGAGCGGCATGTTCCGGGATAAACGGTGGGCTTTCCTGCCTCGTGCAGCTCACGCTTTTGAGATTCCAGCTGCTCAGGAGTGCAGAAGCAGCGGTAGGCGTGATCATGGTCCAGCAATTTGTGTACGTGTTCATGATAAACCGGCAGCCTCTCAGACTGTATTCGTGTCAATTGAAGCAGCACTTGTTGAAGCATCTCTTGTCAACTTACTTGTCTGTAGGGGCCATATGGTCCGCCACAGTCTGGTCCTTCATCCCATGAAAGACCCGCCCATTTGAGATCTTTCATTAACCGCTCTTCGGCGTCTTTGACCAGACGGTTCTAACAAAGATTTAGCTCCTTTGTTCTTTCTCACTGCCAAAGCTGAGCCGTACCTGGTCTGTGTCCTCAATCCGAAGTATAAAAGCACCGCCATTCGAGGCACTCACGGCCAATTTGTTGAACAGCGCCGTTCTCAGCGACCCCAGGTGTAAGTATCCCGTTGGAGAGGGCGCAAATCGAGCTCGGATGGGGAGGTCTGCGTTTTGGCCCAGGATCATGGGAGAGTCTGCATCATGAGACGCCTCATCTCTGAGTTTCTTGTTTTTGTTTCGAAGGCCTTTTAGTCCAGAGCTGAATGCCCGTCTCTGGCTTAAACTGCCTTTTTGGCCAGGGCTGATGATTTGCCTGTCATGCCAGAGGCCCGTAGACGCCGCAAAGTTTCGGCTCAGGTGGCCAGCAGCGCATTTTCTTGATTCACATATTGAACGGCAGCTTATTCTCCGCAAGCTCAGCCGAAGGAACGAGGACATGGTCGAAATCTGCAGCCTCTGCTGGTCGCATTCATGGTCTAATTGGATATTTTCCAAGTATATCGGCCAAACGTCCCACAGTGCTGAACTTGGCGTGAGGCGTAAGTTTTTGACGCCCAGCGCCACATGTGGCGTTGAGATGCTGCGATAGGACAAGGTACCTGCAATTACGCTGCTGATAAGGCTGATAAAGAAAGTCTCGGGCTCGGTGCAAGAGAGTTGGCGATAGAATCAAGCACTACCAAGTTCAGCACTTGTTCAGTAATCTATCTTGTATTAAATAATGAAATAAAAATATCTCCCATTTAAATCACAGATTGTGAACAGCCAAAAGCTTCTGTTCTTTTTATCTGCGCTAATCTTGTGATACGTCACCTGGAATCCCTCCATGCAGGCGACTGTTTGCGACCTCTGAGCCTCTGTTTTAGCGCTCGCGCCGGCAAATCCTGGGCCAGCAGTTGCTAATGCCTCCCGCCGGACCGTCTTTTCCTGTCAAAATCCCATCAGACTGTGTTACCGAGCTGACAAAGAGCCCATCTTTTCTCTTGTTCTTTTTTCGTTTCTTCCTCCTTTCGTCACTTTAATTTATGCTTCTGCCGTTTCTTAGCTTTTCCTCTTGAAGCCTGTCCTTTTCCCAGGCAGCAACTCGACTTTCGCGCTGCGGGCTCCAGGAATCGACCCCGCGCCACGCCAAAAGATTTTCTGCATTTCCGCTCCCGCAATCGCCTCCCGGTAGTTGGAAATTCTGCCTACCCGAGAAACGCAGACCGGACAATAGAATCCAGCCATCGCCATGGCTTCAGACGGGGAGGTCGACCTCTACGGTACGTCTGAATTGTTGAAACCGTTTCTTCTTTTTTTGTGTCCTTCTTTTTGAAGCGCTGTTCGCCTGACTTGATTCCTCAGATATCCTTGAAATCGATAGAACAGCAACTCCCGACCAGGTCAAAAAGGCTTATCGCAAGGTACTGCACCCCTCTCGCGCTGCGTTGTATTTTCCCATCTTTGACATGGTAACTAACAACTCAATAGGCCGCCCTGAGATTCCACCCGGACAAGGTTCCCGAGGACCAGCGTGAAGAGTCTGAGGCCAAGTTCAAAGAGGCCAGCCGAGCCTACGAGATTCTCAGCGATGAGGACAAGCGCCACCTCTACGATACCCACGGCATGGCTGCCTTTGACGGCTCCAGAGGCGGTCCCGGTGGCCCTGAAGTCGACCTGAACGATATCCTGTCCCAGATGTTTGGATTTGGCATGGGCGGTCCTGGAGGCCCCGGCGGCGGTGGACCCATGAGGCCGCGCAAGGGACCCGACGAGGAGCAGGAGTACAAGGTCACGCTCGAGGAGCTATACAAGGGCAAGACGGTCAAGTTCTCGGCCAACAAGCAGGTCGTCTGCAGCGTCTGCAAGGGTTCTGGCGGCAAGGAAAAGGCCAAGCCCACGAGCTGTGATCGCTGCAAAGGCCACGGCATGGTCGAGGCTATCCGCCAGATCGGCCCTGGCATGATGCGCCGCGAGACTGTCTTGTGCGATCACTGCACGGGATCCGGCAAGGTCTACAAGGAGAAGGACAGGTGCAAGAAGTGCAAGGGCAAGCGGACGACACAGGAGAAGAAGGCGCTCGAGATTTACATCCCCCGAGGATCCATGCAGGGCGAGCGCATTGTCTTGGAGGGAGAGGCCGATCAGTATCCTGACCAGATCCCCGGTGACATCATCTTCACCCTGGTTGAGGAGCCACACGATGTCTATTCTCGACTCGGAAACGATCTATCCGCAGAGCTGACGGTGTCTCTGAGCGAGGCGCTGACCGGCTTCAACCGCGTGGTGCTGAAGCATCTGGATGGCCGCGGCATCCAGCTGAACCGACCTCGGGGCAAGGTCTTGAGACCGGTGGACTGCATCAAGATCCCTGGCGAGGGTATGCCCCTGAAGCGGGGTGAGGCCAAGGGAGACCTGTATCTCTTGGTCAAGGTTGAGTTCCCCGAGGATGACTGGCTGAAGGACGATTCTGCGTACGAGACGTTGGTAAACATTCTGCCACCAGCGCTGCCCGCCGTGGAAGCTGAGGAGATTGACGAAGTCGAGTACGAGGATGGCGCCGACATTGAAGAGGTGAGCACACCAACGCCCCCCTTTATCCATTGTTTATACCACAGTGACTGACTTGATATATTTAGATGGGCGCTGACCAGGGCGATCCTCGATTCGCCCACGACTGGGAAGACGACGACGAGCCCGGTGACGGCCAAGCACAATGCGCCACCCAGTAAAGAGGTGAAGAAAGGAATTTGAGGGGAAAATGACCAATTATCTTTTTGATTGTTTTGAGGATATAGAAACTAGACTCCGTTTGCTGGAAGAATGGAAAACGGGAAAGCCGGAAAGGCAAAGGGGGACTTGTTTATGACATTGGGACTACATGCTACATGCTACTTTTTTTTTATGATTGCCGCAAATAGAGAGGGCCAGAGAGAGACAGATAAGGGGGGGATTTGATAGCTAATGTGATGAATCTCCGCTGTCATGGGATTAAAACACAAAAAGCAAAGGATAACGGGATGGGTATGGCACAGCTTTGGGACGATTTCGTTTTTTGTTTTTCGTTTCTTAGGGGCGCTTAAGCTAATTAGACTTCAATATGATTCAGTCTTTTGGCTTGCATTCTCTTTTCTCTCATGTTCAAATGATCAAGAAGTTGTATCTAATAAGTTGTCGCCGGCACATACAGTAGCCGTCTCCGTCTGTGAACTCGACACCTTCAGTGCTCCATAAGCTCCCAATCCACTATCAGACCCAGCATCAGCGCCTAAACTCGCCCCGCCAAAAGCTAACCGGCCCCTCCAACCCACTACGTAAGCCGAGATGAATCTCCCTATTGAACTCAACGTCACCTCATCTCTCTTCTTCTACTCCAACCTCTTTTAACTCTACTCCTCGTCCTCTCAACCATCCAGTCCTAATTCTGTCTCTGCGCACATTTCTTCTCTTTCTTCTCACCTTTTCTCTCCGATATCATCGATCTGTCTCCTTCTCTTCTCTCCTTTTCTTCGACTTCAGCTTCGACAACCCCCGCAGCTAACGTCCATCACCACCATCTAATCCTCACAAACTTCATCATGTCCCGCAAAGGCGTCGGCATCGCCGCCTTCGACCGCTCCCGCATCACCTCCGCCCAATTCGCCTCCCACGGCTCCTCCCTCCGCGCCACCAACGCCCAGGCCCTCGAGACCCAGCTCGCCGTCTTCCGCTCGCTGCTCCAGCAATTCGCCGCCACGCACGCAAAGGACATACGCTCCGACCCGTCCTTCCGCGCCCAGTTCGCGCGCATGTGCTCCGCCATCGGCGTCGACCCCCTCGCGAGCTCAAACAGCCACAACAGCAACTCCTCGGGGTCTTCCGTCTGGGCGCAGCTGCTGGGCAAGACGGTCAACGACTTTTACTTTGAGCTGGCGGTGCGCATTGTGGAGGTTTGCGGCGCGACGAGAGGCGAGAATGGCGGGTTGATTGGGCTCAAGGAGCTGAGGGACCGGGTTTCCAAGGGACGCATGGAGGGCGCCGATTCGATCAGCGAGGACGACGTGCGCCGCGCGGTGGAGACGCTCAAGCCGCTCGGTGGGAGCTATGCTGTCGTCACGGTCGGTAGGAAGGAGTACGTGCGGAGCGTGCCGCGCGAGCTGAGCACCGATCAGGCCGCTGTGGTGGAGGCGGCGCAGGTGCTGGGGTACGTGAGCGTGGGCATGCTGCGGGATAATCTAGGGTGGGAGGTTGTGCGGTGTAAGACGGTGATTGAGGATTTGATGGCGGGAGGCATGCTCTGGGTGGACAAGCAGACAAAGGGGGAGTGGGAGTACTGGAGTCCGGGTGTCATGGCTGATACGGACGGTGGTGATGCGGGACCTTGAAGCAGAAGATTTACGACACAAGGATGACGAACGAGCAAACAAAGGGCTATCCTACCGAGGTGAGCTGAAATATTTGACAAAGAGGAGCAAATACCGGACCAGTCGCCTTTTCATACCTGTCTCAAGGCGCGTTTTAAACAGCAACGAACCCGATACACAAACCTACCATCACTAAATACTTGCGGCGATACTGCCAATTCACGAATTTACGACCAAATACCCCTAATTAATGATATACACGAGCATCAAGATAACAACTACGGCATTACATAATTAAATAGAAGGCAAAGTCCAAACAAAAGACTCCATCTATCTACTTTGAACATAGGGGGAACACATGAACAACCAAATAGAAGAAGAATAGAAAACAGAAGAGGAACATGAATACGTAACAAAAAGAAGAAAAAAACGTCAATCAAAACATTTATACAAGGGAGCATCTAACCAAGTCATTACTAACAAACATCGCGTTGCCCTCCCCCTCCAAACAAAGCCATCATTCTTTCCAGACGCACGCAAGCACCTTCTTTCTCCCCGTTTTCTCCATTTCAATGAAACCATTCTGTCCTTGGAAGCGAAACCACGAGTGGGTTATCATCTTGACATATTTGGAGCCCACTCTTGTTTCTTATCCCGTAACGTAATATATGGTTTTCCGAACCTCTCACCCGCACTTCAGATTATGGATGTTTTTCCCTGACTGGCTGCCTTAGAAGGGGAGAGTACTCCAGCGTATGTTCGCCGCCAGGGTATCATTTGTAGGCTTCAAGTCCCAGTAGTCTTTAGTAGTTAGGGTTGTGGCCTGGGTTCGGTCCCATGTGGGGAGGGGGAGGATAGTCCTCGGGACCAGGGCGGCCCATCTGAGGAGGGCGGTTGTCACGGATATCACGGGGGTCGCGAGGATCACGAGGATCACGAGGATCACGGATATCACGGGGGTCGCGAGGGTCGCGAGGGTCGCGGGGATCACGCTCGCGGGCGTCGCGAGTGTCACCGTAGTGCTTCTTGCGCAGGGCTGCGAGACGCTTCTTCTTGGTGAGAGTGTTGATGTAGGTACCAATGACGAAAGAGACCAAGTTGAAGAAGGGGACCCAGAGCTCGTCAGGGAGGAACTGCTGGGCGAAAGCCAGGCAGATGGGGGAGGTGAGCCAGGAGATGCGCATGACTCTCCAGAAGCCGACCTTGACGGTGGCGCGAACCTGGTGGAATGTTCGAGCGCCGGCAATGAGAGCCATGGCAACCAGGTAGATGCTGTTCTGGATAGGTGCAATCTGTGATGGCGTTAGCATCTCTTGTTTGTTACAAATGATGTCATGATGGAAACAAGATCAATTCGCTTATCAGATCTAGAGAGGAGTCGACTCCGTTTCAAGATGGAGATTGAATAAGGTAGGCAAGGGGTTGAGGAAGCACATACCACCAGGTTGCTGACGACAATCTGCGTAATCTTGGCGCGCAGACTAACGCGACCCTTGAAGAGCTTCTGGAGAAGCCAGATGAGAAAGTGGCCCAGAGGAGCGCTGACCAAAGCTCCGTAGGCGGCCATCTTGGGGACGCGAGAGGTAAAGTAGTTGCCATGCTTGTTGCGGTCCTTGGCCAGCCACGAGGCGAGAAGCTCCTGAGCTCCGGCGAGGGAACCAGCCGTGAGCATCTTGGTGCGCAGAGGGTTGGCCTCGAGCTCCTTGATGTAGGCCTATAAATTGCAATGAGTCAGCCATTAGCCAAACCTAATTTCAACATCGTCGACCAATGCATCCATCGTTCTCCTCCATCCTTTTCGCATTCATATTGCGCGCGCAATAAAAGGGATTGGACCAGAAACATACCGCCAAGTAGCCCTTGGTGCCTGCCATGGACTTTCCTCCCGTCAGGGCGGTGCCCAGGGCCTCGGACATCGGGTGCTTTCCACTGGTTCCGGGGAGAGGAGGAGCGCCTTCGAAGGCTCGTCGGATCGGGCCAGGTCCTTCGGCGAGAGCAGCGGCGCGCTCAGCAGCGCGGTCGGCGGCCTCGCTGGCCTGGTCGACGCTCTTCTCGGTGATGGTCTTGATGGTCCTCTGGACTACGCCGCCCTGTTCGGCAGCCATCTGCTGGAAGGGCTGAAGGGCGCTTGAGGACTGAAGGGCGTTCGAGGTCGCATCTTGAAAGGTTTGGACCGTGTCCCGCTCGAATTTGACCGACATGGTGCTAGTTTCGCGGCGGGCAGCGTCGCTGGTGTCGTCGCTATGGATGGTCGGGGTCGTGATCGTGATCGGAAATCGTGGCGGTGGCAGCGACGACGGGGAGCGGCGACGTGAATTGCGGTTGCAAGATCAATCGACGTGCAGCTGTGCTCTCGTGGGGCGAGTCAGGGATAAACCGTCGTCATGAGACGGGCGGAGAGGGTCTGGCTGTCCAACGACGCGACGGCGGGATGATTAGCAGATGCAAACGCTTTGGGCGGCGGAGAGGTTGGGGAGCAATTGAGGCTGTCGTGGTGACAGGGCCCAGCCAATGGATTTGTTTACACGACGAGACACAAGGCCTTGATGCGCTGAGTGGGCCACCCAACCCCCCGGACAAGTCTGGAGCCCGCTGGCTGCTGCTGATCCAAGTCTCGAGCTGCGCACGTCCATGCAGGCGCATACACTTCAGGACCTGCTGCCTCGGCAAAGGGAATTGAGGGCTCCCGTCCGTCTCCCCTAGAGACTGTCGGGTCGCGTCCCTGCGGGAAGATGAAGAGCGGCCCTGAACCTGAGGGGAGCTGACAGGGAAGACGAGAGGAACAGGCACGGCGACAGGCACGGCAACAGGAACAACAGAACCCGTGATCCGACTTACCAAAACAAAGCAGCTTCGTCGCGAGAGCTCTTGGTGTCCTGGGAGACGATGTTCTAGCAATTTCTTTTCTTTGTCGTTCTTCTCAGCTAGCCCCGAAAGGGAGAAGAAGAGAAGGGCGAGGGGGGAGAGGGCGAGAGCAGGAGAGAGCGGCAGCGCGCACGAGGGAGTGAGATTGAAAGAGTCAAGATTGCGAGAGGCTGGGTGGACAGGATGAAGCCGCCGGTACCTCGTAGCGGTCCGGCTGGTGGCAGCGATGCGGCAGCAGAGACGGACGGTGGACAAGTACCTGCGCTGCGCTGCTCTAGCCTCCGTACACGAGGTGCGACCGTCTGTTGACCTGAGATTTGTTTCGTACCTGATAATCCAAGCCCCCGTATTTTCTTGTATTACAGCCGCTGGCAGGCAATAAACTTGTATCTGCTTTGGGCTTCGGGCGGTGCCTGAGCGCCGAATCAAGAGACGCGTCTGGCGTGGCCGCTCCATATTTCCCGCACCTGCAAGCAAGCTTCTTGGGCTGAGCTGGAGCTGCGTCGAAGCTGCTGGGATCAGGCAAAGGCTGGGACTCTGGGAGGGCCCAGACGGGGTCGCACGATCGGGCAGCAGGCGTCGCGACGCTGTTGCTGGCTGAAAGTGGGCGAGCTGTGGGCGAATTGTGGGTGCCTCCGGGCCTTCGATTGGAGAGCTGGCCCTGGGCTAGGACGCAGCGCATGCAGGGGTGGGAGATGATGAGAGCAGCCGGAGCGGCCAGGGTCGAGGCTTGTGCTTGTCCTTGCTTAGCTTACGGGTTACGAGCCCGTTTGTTGTTGCTCTGCTGAGAGCTGCGCTGAGCTGCCGCGTTTGCCATTGGCCGGATCGCCGACCCTTGCGAGGCTTTATTGACGGGGCCGTCGTGATTTTCTCTTCTCCACAGCAACCATATTGATCTTATTTTTTTTCTCTCTCTCGTGCCGGGGCAGCGAGATTGGATGGTCGTAAAGGCTGCCGGATGCTTGCTCTAATCAAGGCGCCAATCTGGGCTTCTGCTTAGCCACGCGCGTGTCGTGCATGGTGCAGATGGAAGATGACTGCGCCGCCTAGTTTGCTGAGGAACGCCTCCGATCAGCCTTCGTGTAAAATCTGCACGACGTCGACGCACAGGCCGCTGTTATTGCCGCCTCGGTCGTACGCGATGCTGCTGCCAGCGGATTTGGCAGAGGCGGTGGTGGTATCTGCAGCAGCTCAATTGTTTGTTGTGTGTGTGTTTGGAGTTTTTAGATTCAGCTGCTATTGGGCCAGATGAGTGACGTACCGATTGTGGAGGGCCGATAGCAGAGACATCCCCGCGCGTTCATTGGCCAATATTCCGTCTGAGGCGAGCTAGTGTGCTGCTACAGGCGACAGCCATCAAGGAAATGCCAATTCGATATTCATCTTGTCAATAAGATCTGGCGCAGTGTCTTGTGCAGTCGGTGATCTTGACTAGTGGTAACTGAGGATAGTATCTAATTTTGAGATTTGTCAGGGAATCATTGTATTTGCTTTATTGAAGCCAAAACGGCGTTATCTACTTACGTAAAGGTGCTACAAACACCAGTGGGTGTATTTCGTACATGTTTGCCAATATCTGTAGCAAGCAGTTGACTTTATTGGCTTTTTATACATCTCCAGCTCTCTGTTTCACAATGCATACACCTCCTCGACTATTCTTGTGCCACAACTGCCTTGAGCTTAGACACGCACAGTTACACGCCTAGCATAAGCATTTGATACAGCCTCCGAATTCTGACTCCGTAGTATTCATCTCTATTTGGAAACTCTGCTTGGACTCTCAATGACGACGACGCAAATTCAACCCAGAGTTTTAGTTTTAGCATCGGCTTGATCAACTGGACTGACGAAATTCGTCAGTGAGCCTCCAGCGGCCATGGCGGCTGCTCGCCTCAAAATTGGCACTGGCACTCAGTCACGCGCAGTGCCTGACCACCTGGAGGCTTCTGTCTTTCAGGTGCTCCATTCACCTCAAGCCCTGGAAACAGAGGAGAATGGACGAGGCTCGATAGTCATCAGTTTTTTATCTTTCTCCATCAATATTCTAACCGGCTTCTCCATCGCCCTACATTCCACCCCGTCAGTATTTCTTCGTCCAAGCATCGTTACGATATCAAGTGACTGCGGATTCTTTCTCTCGAGTATCTTTTCCCTTCTCCCTCGTCGTAGGCACGGGCTCTCCAAATCGCAAAGTTGCTACTCGTCGAACAAATCAAGGTCGAATCCGTCCAAATGTTCATCATGCATAAAAACGCTCCTCCAGGCCTCCATAGGCATTCAACGTTCCAACCGCAGTGCACTCACGCCACCATGACGAGGATCTACAGTCCAACGCTCCTCTGTTCCAGCTGTCGCTATCCTGGCCCTTCTGGATGGCTGTACCAGTGCACGCAAGATAGAGAGGACCTGATCGAGCACGCTGTGAAGCAGGGAGAGTTTGTATGATGCCAAGGATGCTGGGGAAACCTGGGATTTCTGCTGGAAAGTTGTAATAAATGCTGACACCTTGTAGGTCAACATGGATCATATCGGCTGCCAACTGACCCCAATGATGGGCATTCGAAAAGGAACTCCTGCTGCTCGCGAGGACCGGCTCAGCTTCTTCAAGGAGATTAGCCAAAAACAACTTGCAAGTTACCAGCCCGACCAAATTGCTATTATACTACGACAGCGTGAAAATGTAGGTGAAAATGGACGCCCAAAGCTCAACAAGTCCATCATTCTACTGCTAATCACCACACAGGTCCAACTTGCTATCCAACGGGATAAGGTTCAAAAGAACAGTGTCGCCATCCTCAGCCGCCTCGCTCAGCCCTACGGATTAGATAGTGCGTCTTGTAGCATTGGGCTTCAAAAACCGTGGCTGTGTAGCCCGCAGGAGGAATGCCAGTATCGCGTCTGTCAAAATTGTCGGCCTGGCTGTGCAGACCGCTCATTTCTCAGCCTCAACGCCGTTGCTAATGGAGAGGTGCCTCCTACTGCCGCAGCTGGGTACAGTTTTCACCTCCTGGGCCAGCGGCCTGTCGTAGATGCGAGGAATCTCCTGAATATGGGCTGTCGTCCAGTACCCTTGGTGAGTTCAGTGAGTACTGGAATACGTCAAGGCTCGGAGCTAATAACAATTCGATGACAGTCTCGCTCTTCTCCTGCTAGCACGGAGCACGACTCTCCCGCATCGACGATGAGTGTCATGGACTTGCTCGACGCCCAGATCGCCCGCGGACGTATTCTGTGGACAAGACGACAAGACGACGCCGAGATAGAAGAGTATGATGCCGACTTCGACTGGTCCCTTACGCCTACGATTTCTAGCATCACTTCTGGCCATTTAAGGTACTCCCCTGGATGCGAGAATCTAGGAGTGCTTTCAGAGAATACCTCGGGCGCGTTTGATCCGCAGCAATGGACGCCTCCTCCTTCAGAGAATGATTTGCCCGGGATTGAGACTGCGGAAGATGATTACAGGTAGGATGCTGTAGCAGTCGACGAAGCACTCTTGAATTCATTCTTTATCAGGATTAAAACTAATACATTCGTAGTAGCATTCCCTCGAGAGCCCAGAGCACACAGTCGCCTGAAGAAGATATATCTCAATCAACTGCAGGTCCCATCACCGGCCATCTTCGCGAGCTGAGCATTGACGAATCATCAAACAAAGCAACTTCGGTGCCATCTCAGCCAATCAGCCAAAAGTTTACCCCGTCTCCCTTGAAAGTGCCCCATGGGCTAGCCATGCTGGAAGAGAGCGTCGAGCTAGGGGTTCCAGATGTCATTACGCAGGCTTGATTCTAAAACATTCTCCTCGGCGTGCTCCTTTACTTTGCTTTTCTGTACTGTACTATACATGTTCCGGCTTCGAGGCTTGGTAGCGTTTGCTTGAGTCAATGTGGTATATTAGATGATAGAGCGAGATGATGCTTTCAAAGAGCGGGTGCTAAACAAAAGGGGCCTTTCTTCTGCTACTTGCGCTGGGATAGACTAATAGAATCCATACACTTGCTAGTTATAAACGCGTGTTCCATTGTTTGTATAGTGTTTCTATAAAATCATCTACAATGAATGGCAAACAGAAGAAACACAAAGAAAACTCCTTCCTCTTACTTGGCCCAAAATTCAAGCTCTATCCATCGCTCCAGGGTAATCCAAAACAATCAAGTACAGTATCGTCATACTCATAACATAAACATTGCCGTCCCTTCATCATTCATTCGGACTCTCATTTCTCATCCAACTTGAGATTCTCATCCATGCTCGCCTGCACCTTCTTCATCATCTCATCACCAACCTTCTTCGCGTCCGCAAACCGCGGCTGGAAAAACTCCTGCGTGCTCACGAACCGCTTCTCCCACGTTTCAAAGTGCCCCAGCGTGACGCACTCGGCCCAGCCCCTCGCGGCAAAGGTAAACTCCAGGTCGTCACTGCGGTAGCGCTTGTCCTCGGTGGCCGTGCGCAGCGTCTCGTCGAGCATCTCGGTGTTGCGGAAGAGGTGCTCCGTAACCCCCAAACGCAGGCGGAACAGCGGCGTGCTGCAGAGCATATGGTCGTAGGGCACGATGCCCAGCTCGGCCCAGCAGTCGACCATGGCGAGCAGCGAGAGGTGGTTGTTGGGGCGGGCGGGCGTTTCGGCCGTGAGGGTGCCGAGGGAGAAGGATGTGAGGATGGAGGCCTCGAGGAGGGGGCGGTTGGCCCAGGTCTTGGAGGGCCCGAAGAAGACTTTGTCGCGGGCGGCGTAGATGCGGGCCTTGAGACCCTCGAGGTTGCCTTCCAGCATGAGCTTGTAGAGCTCGGTGACGGATTTGGCGTACTGGGCGACTTGGTCACGGGCTTCGGGGTTGAGGATGGCGAGGCCGGCGTAGACGTGCCATTTCTGGGAGTAGATGCGCAGCATGATGTTCATCTTCACGTTTTCGAGGCCGCCGATGTAGCGGCTAAGCTCCCAGGGGTACTGCTCGTTGGCGTGCCATGCTTTTCCCATGGATAGAAACGCGGCGTGGGTTACAGCTTGTGTGTCGGCGGTGATGCGGTCGTGCTCCTTGGCGGTGAGGTAGACAAACTTGGACTGCAGACAGCTCAGGACGGCTTCGACCTTGTGCAGGGCCTCGTCGGGGGCGCGATGCTGGATGAGCACCAGGGGCTGGCCTTTGGGGTCGACGCCGGGCCCGTGGAGCGAATGGCAGGAGAGGATATAGACGTCTGAGGGGAGGTGGGCTTCGAAGGCGGCGATCTCGGGGGATTTGCAGGATGTTTGGCCGCCGACGATGGCGCCCATCTTGGTTGCTTGATGTTAGGTTAGTCAGGTTGAGGTGCACGCGTATAGGAGGACATGAGATGCGCGTACAAGGTCCATATTGAGCAATCACACGATCAATAAAGGCGGCTTCAACACTGTAGATGATGTAGTCGCTCGCACGGGAGACGAGATGGCCGTTGCGCAGAATCTCAATGTTCTTCTAGATGGGAGAGAGACAGGCTTCAGCATCTGAGTTCGGTCACGGTGGAAGAGAAAAAAAAAGGTGATATGAAAAGTGGTGAAAGAAGATGCAGCGAAGAGATATCACTAGAACATTGTAGAAAACAGCGCGTTGCGTACTTTGCCATTGTATTTTTCTTTTAGGCTATCGTATTTATCTTCTCTGTCACAGGCCAGGATTCTGGAAAGAAACTTGTACGTTAATTACTCGGTCTACGTTGAAATGGGAACCATGATTGGTCAAAGACAACATCTAGATCTTTTTTGACTGTTAGCTTCTTTGCTTGTGCGAAGAAAAGAGTCAAAATGAAAAGGATAAGAGATGTTTTTTTTTTTCAGACAGGAAAAGTTAGGTAGCTGGGTTTTTTCATCACCGAAAGCACAAGTCCGGCCCTGACCAACCGGAACGGCGGCCAGGCGTCCTTGCACAATACTCGAGCCAAATGCGCTCTTGTCATCATGAAAAAGGTGTGGGCTGAGGGAGAAGAGAAACGAAGAGTTATGCTTACCTTGAGGAAGAGACAGAATCTTTTGCCGAGTGCGGCGAGAACACAGACATTCATCATCACATCAATGCGAGAAACTCACCTCCAGCCAGCTTCAGACAATTTCTCGGCGTACATCCTTCCCATGTCGCCCATGCCAATCAGCCCGACGGTGAAATTTTCCATCCCCGCCGGAATGCTGGCGGCTTGAGTCGAAGCCATTGCGCGCTGCTCGGCGCGATTCTGAAAAGCAGAAATGCCCAATTGCTGCAATCACAGAATCCTCTTGGTCTTTCTTCTCTTTCCTTTTCTGCGCCTTGTTTGGTAGGAAGCGGGAGAGAAGGGAGTTGAGGTTTAGGATTGGAAGAAACTGAAGAAAAAAAAAAGTTCGCGAGATGTGGTTAAATATGGGCCGGTAGGTCTGGGTGGGGATCAAGAAGGATGGCTGAGTAAGCGCAGCGTAGCGATGTTGGCGGGGCATTTGGCTTCGATAGTCCGATATCGATATGGCGTGGGCATGCCGAAATAAAGACGGCCATGCAGCTGTCAAATAAGCTGCAAGGCACACACGCAAGAGCTTCATCCGATTTCGCTTTTCTTGTACTTGATTAGCATTTGTTTTCCAAAATGGCCGTATACGCCATCGGCTCCAATGGATCCGGCCAGCTCGGCATCAGCCACAAAGAAGACGTCTCCGTGCCAAAGCCCGTGCTCTTCCACCCCGAGCAGCCCAGCTCTCGCATCGTCAAAGTCGCTGCTGGCGGCAACCACACGCTGCTCCTCACGGAATCGGGCAGCTTGTACTGGAGTGGAGACCCGGCCAGTGGAGCCTGCGGGCTGAGTCCATTTCCCAACGTCCCGGTGTTTCTAGAAGCGCGGCTGTCAAAGGAAGAGCCCGTCGGAGAAGTTGCTCTGGTTGCGGCAACGTGGGAGGCGTCTGTCATTGTGACGAAGGATGAGCAGGGACGGCGGACAAAGGTGTTTAGTCTCGGAATTGGGCAGAAGGGAGAGCTGGGATTGGGCGAATTGATTGTGAGGACGCCGTCAGCTACAAGGGTTAAAGACTTCCCTCCCGCTGGGACGGAGGTTGTGGACCTGTCAGCATGTATGGGACACGTTGTTGCGGTTTTGGATAATGGCGATGTCTATGGCTGGGGAAATTGCCGCAAGTCTCAAGTTGGCGAGCCTGGTGCCGTCATCTATTCTCCGAGGAAATTCGAGGGTATAGACTTCAAGGTCGTCAGAGCAGTGTGTGCCAAGGAGTCTACATGTCTTTTTGGAGAACCTGAGAGCGGCAATTTGCGTGTATTGGGATCAGACAAATGGGGCTTGACTTCAGACGCTCCTTTAACAGCTATACCGTGGAAAGATGTCGGAGCTAGCTGGGGCAACTTTTACATTCTAGGAATAGATGGAAGCTTGAAAGCTTGGGGGCGAGACGATCATGGTCAACTACCGCCGCCAAACCTCCCCCCTATTGACAAGATTGCCATTGGCAGCGAACACGTCGTCGCAATCTCCTCAGAAGGCGATGTTCTGTCTTGGGGCTGGGGAGAACATGGCAACTGCGGACCGCGGGTAGAGAACAACGACGTCAAGGGAAGATGGAACGTTATTGCATCGTCAAAGCATATTCCCCCAGAGAGTAAAATAGATAACATAGGCGCCGGTTGTGCCACTAGCTGGATATCCATTACATCCAGCTAAAACCACCATCACTTCCAATAATAACCAAACCCAAACGTGAACAAATTATGCATGATGCTGCTTGAGTCTGGTTTCAGTCGGGAAACAGATTCAAGCCTTTGACATCGGATAGTCTCTGGGTCGGATCAACGTATGTTGATTCTGCTGCTGCTCCTGTGGCGTCGATGTCGTTTGTCGGCTCGTAGCTACCAGTACGAATATCATCTGCGCGGCTCATGTGCGAAATAGAGGGGTTCTAATCTTCAAGTTAGCCACAAGGCACATCAGACGATATGCCAGGTCACTTACGGGGTCAGCACTATTATCCCATTCCAATCGTGCATCTTCATCACCGTCTTCATCCTCGTCTCTTACTGGCTCCCACGCCTCATCTTCGACAAAAAGGCTGTCAGATCTCAACGTGGGCGGCGGCGGTCTCTGCGAAGGTCGAAAATCGAAAGCGCCAATGCGAGAAGCACTCGCTTTAGCAGCGCTTAACCGAGGAGTCGGATTCGGTGGCCGTGATGACGCTGGCGGTGGCATTTCGGATTGTTGTCGCTGGATCTCAGCCGTGGTCTGTGACGGTGCTGCGCTTGTGCGACGAGATGTAGCTTCTAGATGTGGCGGCACATGATTGTTGCTGCTTGGGGCGCCCTTGCGGACTTTTTTGGTCCTTTGCGCAGGATTACCGCCTCGCTCGCCTACTGTCATGATGAGAAACTCGCAAGAGATGGCGTCGCTGGCGTAGGATAATTGCATTGGCCGCGCAGGGAGAGAGTATCGAGCTGCAATGGCGTTGCCGGTGATGGCTGCGTGCTGCGTGATTGCTCGAATGTCCTTGATGGAGACGACGATTTGGAGCTTGTCTTCCACGTCAATGTCATCAAACTCGTCTGTTTCAACAGAAATCGAGGTATGCAGAGGTTTCTTAAGGACCGCTGTGTCACACGTTAGCTAGTTCGCTTCATGAGACAGGCGTAGCATCATACCATCGTCGCTAATGGTCTTCTCGCTAAAGCAAGTGAAGTTGACGTGATCGCCGTCAGTGTTGACCTCTAGATACTCTGTTCCGGGCCCAAAGTGGTCCACCAGCTGCTTCAATGTTCTTGACGAGATACTCCAGTGATATAGGGCTTCCTGCCTGTTGAATTTGGCGTGCACCGGCATGCTGACTTCAAAGGGCAGTCGATGCGTAGCTGTGAGTCCGTTCCTAAATATTATGCGGGCGATGAAACGGCTTTTGACGCCTTCTCCATCTTCAATGGCGACGTCGCACCGATCTATAATGGTTTGCTTGTCTACATCTCCCCGTGATTCGACTCCAGATCTGCTGCGGAAGAGAGAGATCAAGCCCTAGGACAGGGAAGTCAGCGGCCATCGGCCTGGAAAAATGCATCATCAAAAAGAAGGCTCACTCTTATGTACATGGAGCAGTAGAATTTGTCTTGAAACTGCCCCGTGGCTTGGTACTGGTAGCGGCCAAAGAACCGGTTGGTCGCAAACCGGAAGCTCGCGTAGGCTGACTTTGAGGTGTTCATGGTAGATAGGAAGAACTAATCGTCGAATTAGCAGCTGATAATGAAGTGAACCAGTTGTCTTCTCACAGAATCCTTTCGCGCTTCGATGGAGACATCTTCGCTAAACTTGCTCAAGCAATTGAGGGCGTCGCGAAACGCCGTTACGCCCTCTTCGCTGAGGGTGAATGTTAGGATGGCCATGGCAGCATGAGGCTGAATGTGTGAGGAGCTGTGGAAGGATGTTTGTGCGCGATTGTATCAAAGAAAGCGTGAATTGGTTATCAGCAGCTTGAAATTAGATTAGTCATTATCTTCTTTTCATAGTCTGCGATGGTATTTAATGAGCAGTTGAAACATGAACCGAGCTGCCATCCATACAGCTCTTGTTCACGAGCAGTAAAGGTCCAGATGACGTATAGAAGGCTGACTGTGGTTGGTGCATATTTATTGCGTTATCGAGGGATATGCATTTTCTATAACGAAGCGAAAGACGAGATGGTTTCACTTTACAAGACTCGGAATTGGATCAGGCTATGTTTACTAAAATAATGATTCTTTTTTTTTTGCATTTATCAAGTTTTAACCTTTTTTCAACTTTTTTGTATCCATCTGTTTTCTCATTTTTACCTGAACATCAGGCTCATTCCAGTGCAAACTCGATCTATGAAATCGCAAATCCCTTGCTATACTCCTTTCTTGTTCACCAATAAAAAAAAAAGAAAAAAATGAAAAGAAATTCATTGCCATAGTCCCCGGGAGAAATCACATTAGTCCGTCTTTCTTCATCTGCTCAATTTTTTTCTTGCATTTCGGAAAACGTTTTAGATGCTTTTTCCAATTATCACTTCTGGTGAAGTGTTTCTCGCAGGCCTTGCAAATCGCACTCCGGTCTGGGATGTTATTTCTCTCTGCCCATTCTCTATGTTGTGCTCGGTAGTGTTTATCTAGTTCTTTTTTGGTGGGAAACATTTTCGTGCAGTAATTGGGACTCGCCACGCACGGTCGATCCGGGTTGTGCGTCTTCAGATGCTTGCTATAATTTTATTATACGTAAGTCTTGGATACATTTATGTAAGACAGATTACATTATGGATGTAAGAAGAGACTATTAGACAGGTACTTACGAGAAATAACCCGACTTGACTTGATACCATCCCTTGCAGCACCATCGATAACCCGCTTTGGGGCAACCTGGAGAAATACTTCGTTAGCAATCGGTCACAAAAAAATATTGAGCGGAAACTGCTAACCGTCTTTATCTACCTCAGAGGATGGATCATATATGGTATCAGAACAATCTTTTGTGCCCTCAGCAACTGCCTCGTTGTCGAAGGGAACCGAGCCAGTGCCTATTCCTCCGTCATCAATGTCATTAGTTAAGTCGATATCATCGAGGAATGTCAAATCAGTGCCCATTCCCTCGATTTCAAAAACATCAGTTGAATCGACATCATCGAATGGAGCCAAGCCAGTGCCTGCTCCCCCTCCATCAAAGGCAACGCTCATTTCGAAATCATTGGCGATGTTGTTCATATTGTTTTCGTCAGCATTAAATGCTGGAAATGTATCTTGTGAGTCCATAGAATCTTGAATATAAATTGTTGTAAAGTCTTGCAAATAATTTTCTCTTTCGTTTTTCTGATAGTTAATCAACGTCAAGCACCACTCCACATTCAAATCGTCATCTTCGAACAATCCTGCACAGGACTTAACCAACCCAAGGGTATGGGGATAGAGGTCAAGCCCATATGGCTGACTCCCTACCTACACTCTGGAGTTGGGATCGTTGTAAGACGACATGCCGTTGCTTAGCTCAAAAGCATTCTCAGATGGAGTGGTGGGCATGACGAAGTTTTGGCCTATTGACGTAGGCGTCGGAAAATTGGCCCCTTGGAGACTGTTGTCTGGGCTTAAGCCGGGCTCAGGCTCATATTCAGAAGAACAAGGCGCATCAGTAGACTGATGGCCATTCGAGACTTGGAGTAGATGGCGTTCGGGATCCCACATCCAGTCATAATCGTCATGATCGTCATCATACCCTGGCAGCATGTTGAAAGGCGAAGCATGCTCGTCCTCCGTCCGAGTCTGTAATGCTCCATCAGGTTCATCCATAATGGGCAGTCGAAACGCGGTGTTGAAGTTGGTATCAGTATCTATGAAAATGGCAATGTTTCCAAGGGTCTGCGAAATCACAAATCTCATCAGTATCATTGTTACATTAGAGGTATCGAGATGCTGCGGCAAATGTAACGCGATTGAGTGTGAGATTGATTTGAAGAATCGCTAACCTTGTTTTTGTAGATCTTATAGGACGTTGGCGTTTTTGGACCAGAGACTGATGCAACCAATAGCTTTTGAGTACCCAAAGTTGGCCAAGGCAGCCTGGCCTGTTAGGCTGACTCTACATTGAAGAGAAGAGAAAAAAGACCGTAGCACAAAGTTGGATTGTAGAGATATTTATAAACTTTCAAGCACATTTTTTGATTCTATCCGATTCTATTTCGAGGCCAAGCCTAGAGTGAACGTTGGTCGGTGCCGTCACTCGCTTGCAGTATAGCATCCATCCATATTCTCACGCGACGAGTCAATCCCTGCTTCCATAAAGCAAGGCTGAGATACGTAGCCGAATTGAGACGTGCCACCTCAGCGCGTGTGATTGTGCGATGCAGCTCTGATTGGATTGGGCTTGGAGGGGTATTCAGGCCTCCCGCCGAAGTGTGGTCGCATTGGTGTCCTCTTTTGTCGGGAAAACTCCCGCATGATGCGTCTCATCCGGATTGGTTGATTTGGAGGCTCAATAGTGGTTCTCATGTCTTGTCTGGAGACCTCCCGCATAATACGCCTTGTCCAGATTGGCTGATTTGGAGGTTCAATATTGACGCTTATTGCCCCGTTCAGAGAACGCCCACATCATGCATCTCATCCAGATTGGCTGGTTCTGAGGCTCAGGCGCTTATTGCCCAACGCGCGCTTGTCACACCTTGGTTCATGTGGGAGGCCACGAGTTTGACGCAAAGGCAGTCTTGAGAGGCATTCTTGACAGGTTGAAATCACAATTGTCACAATATAAAGATACGAGAGATGTCTTAAGTTTTCACATGCTTTTATTCTACGTAGCATCAAAGCAGTACTCAGCAACAACATCAACAAGATTCAGACAAACACCGAATTTTCCCTAATTCATTCGTCTTATACCAACACGTCTTACACATCTACATACAACATGTCTCAGACCATGACAACTACCTCACTTTCCGTCCCACTACCCCTGGACATGACCACCGAGGATCCAGTTCCATCAACCAGCAGAGCCACTCATAAATTCTATGAACCAATCATCCTCTACGAGGCTCTTATCGACGCAGTCAAACATACCGCCAAGCCGCCAGCCCCAGAGCCAAACATCAACATCGAAGACCCAAAGCAAGTCTTCTGCGCCTTTGTCAACAAACTCAGCCACGTCTGCGACAAGGAGAGGGGCGGCAATACAGTCACCTCCTTCGTCGTGCTCAAAGACCAGCACAATCCTGCCAGAGCTCACTTCGTCTTCGCAGCCAACAGGCAGACTGTCAGCGAACTGGGAGTCACGGCTGCCTATGTCAAGTCTCTGCTTCAGAAGATAAACATGGCACCCGATGAAGAAGTGAACCAGCATAATGTCAGGAGCTCGCTGCTCTACCACATTTTGCGGTTTAATCGCCCCAGAGTCTCTTTCTATTTGCGCAATCTTCGCTCTCAGGCGGCCACTTGCCTTGAAAGCTGCCAATTGACTGATACAGAAGAGGGTACGTATTCGATAATTCAGAAACTTGACGACTATAGAGGTAGCTAATATCATATAGACGACCTAATTGCAGAGGAGCTAAACAAGATTCTGGTCTGTCCCAGTATTGGCTCGAATGAGAATGATCTGCCAGTTGACTGTAAGCATTGCATCAAAAAAAGAGCACAAGCAACCGCTAACTTTTCCTACTTGATCAGACCTTCGCCAGTCAGAGACAATGATCCAGCTCCTCGTCCGAATGGAGAAAACCCCAGCCGGCGCAGCAATCAAGACTCGCGCCATGGAAGAGCGAATGCCCGGCGTCACAAGCATGGAGTGCTGGCCGAAGCTCTTCCACACCATGAGCCGCATCTTGGCTTACCTCCAGTCCGTCAAGTTCCTGCTCCGTGCAAAGAGAGAGTGGCCGAGCCTCTTCCAAGATCCGGCCGTAGACTTCCTTTCGTCGAGTCGTCAAATGGTGAAGCCAGCCCGGCAAAAGAGTCAGAGAGCCGACGAGATCATCGGGCGCATGACTCGCAAAGCAAAGAATATTGAAATCTTTAGAAGATTTGTCGAGGCTTTGCAGATGTTTGACCTTGACGCTCGAATCCAACATGGGTTTAGAAAAGATTCTTTCAAGCCCGTCGCGCATGCGGAAGTCATCGTGCTCAACTGGCTGTTGAAGCCAGGAGAAGTTGCTCCAGACAAGTTTTTCAATGACTGGGCGTATATCGGCAGCGGCAAGCCGACTTGTAAGCTATGCGTCCATTACTTCCGTGAACATCGATCAAATGTCGAGCATCGACGTTCTCACGGCAATTTCTATCCTAGCTGGCGCATTCCTGACGTATTTCCGCATCAAGGTCAAAAGGCCATAGAGCAGAAACAAATAATGGTGGATCGAGTGCTGGAGCAAGTGAGAAAGGATACTTTTGATTTGGTGAGGAAGAAGGCTTCGCCAAGTATGAAGGAAGCTGACTCCAACACACTGACGGCGAGAATGACGCTTAATGAATACTGGTCTGTACGGGGGTCACAAGACGATGATTTTGACGATATTGCATCCAGATTGGGAGGAGTAAGCCTGAATTCTTAGCAGAAGTGGTTTCTTGAGGAGAGCTAGCGTTTCATTCTTGTATTTATCTTGCCTTTCAAAGGTCCCAAACCGGCATTTCGCATCCCATCTTTACCTCCCAATCATGACACAGCAGTACTTTGACAAAACGTTTCAACTAGTGCCATATGGACCATCATCAACCCATTTTCCTGGTGTTGGTGGTTGCTTCAACCACTTGTGCAATCTCCCGAACGAGCCGCCCAAAATAGGCGACGAACTGTGCGTAAGTCAATTACAGGGCGATCAGTGTCGTTGCCCGTGTTGCCCGTGTTGTCGTCGCCCCCTTCGGCAGGCTTTGAAGAGAACATGCCCATGCTTGCGAAGTTGTGCAGCTTTGGCCCAGAGGGTGCGAAAGACTTGCGGGATGTGATTGAGAAAATCTGCTGGCTGAGGTATATCGTCAGTGTCGCGAGTCTATTTAGGGGCCTGGCGATGCGACTTACAAAAAGTAGTATGAATGCAGCGTAGGTCTATCAGGGGGAAAAGGAACTGTTGATAATCGATGAATGAGAAATTAATATGGATGTTGGTATGGAAAACGAAAGTCGAGAAGAGAGGTTTGTTTTCCAGAGAAATACTTTTCTCGTTGCTACGGCAAAGCCGAAGCATAAATCTTACTTCGCTCCAGAACATGGAAAGTGCTACCATCTGACTCTTATTAGCAATGAAAGACGCGGCATATAAAAGCTCGCATTGCTCACTTCATTCATCGAGTCCCCTTTTCCCAGCAGCCACCAAGCTCAATCTTCCAGGCTTGTCGCCAGTGCCCGTCCAGTAGAACAATCCTCCGAGATTTTTGTGAGCTACATACTTGGCCTTCATATAGACAGTCCTCGGAACATCAAACGTAATGTACCCTTTACCGCTATTTGTATCTACGTACCAAGCTGCCACAGATGCCTCTTCGACCACGGCGTTATCTACCCATTCATCTGGAATCTCGCAGTAGTCCATTTCCCCTGCGCCCTCAGTAGAGCAGCCAGGCCCCTCGGCGACGGGAAAATATCTCGCATAAGCAGGAACGCCAAATATGAGTTTCTGACTGGGGAAGCCCTTGGATAGAATGTATTCAACGCCGTCTGTGGCGCATACGCCGAGTTCTGGGTATGAAGATTGGAGGTTGCCTCGAGGGGAGTGAAGCTGGGCTTGATTGCCGCAGACGCTTGTCCAGGAGCCGGTGAAGTCGTATGCCATGAGATTGATGTAGTTGACTAGACGGGACACTGCTCGGAGATCAATGTGCTTGAGGATGTATTGGCCGACGGGAAGAGCGGTAGTGAGAAGATGTGAGTTTTCAGGAAGCACGTTGCGGCACTCTTGGAGAAGCTTCACATAGTCATGACCCTCTTGTGTGTTTTTAGGGTGTTCCCAGTCAACTGCTATGATATCAGTAGAGGTTCTTCGTAGAAATGGATTCAACATACTATCAACACCGTCGAGTTTATATCGGTCACAAAGATGGCGAACCTGCTTCGCCAGCGTCTGTCGCCCGTTGTGACTGGCGGCCAGCGTGCAAAACTGTTTGCTATCGGCGCCTCCTCCAATGGATACAATCGTCTTGAGATGAGGGTTCTGGCGCTTCAGTTTGGCAAGGGCATGCAGAGCGCCTTTCTCACCATCGACATCCTTGACTAAGTCGGCGTGCTCATCGATCCACTACTCGGATTTTAGCTACTTGGTTCAGCAGTGAGAATGGATTTTATATCATACGCGAAGAGACCCATCTTCATTAACACTGTACAAATGATGTTAGCCGCATTTTCGAGCTATACATACAAGGCTGCCAAGGCGGAGGCTTACCCAACAAAGGCATAGAAGATGTGCGTAATATTGCCCACGTCAAGAGTCGCAGGCGTCTTGTCTTTGTACACCAGCCAACTGGGATAATACACGCCATTCACATAACCGCGAGACATAGGAGGAGGACGCGTCTGATAGCCATTGTTGGCGTCCACGGGAGGCCGCGCAGCATTTGGTGGATGTTGGTGATGCTCTTGTTCCCCGTCAGACGAGCCGCCCATGCACGAGCACGGACAGAACCAGGCTCGGGACCGAGGGGTCATTCTGATGGAATGGTTTTCTTTTTTAAACAAGAGAGACTTAATTGAATTTACTGATGAATCTAAGATGAGATTTTGGATGACCTGGTTGAAAACGCTGCTGGTTTAACTTTGTCTAAAGCTGAGGTGATGCTGCAGGACCCCACTGGTGCTCCGCCTCTTTGCAAATCTTATTGCAGCTTGTCACACGTCAGCGCCTTGTTGCAGCATCCAAAGTACTGGTTGGAAGTACAAACACACAAGAGTGAATTAATCTTGGATTTAAGCTTGAATCAAATCAGTAGAGAAGCAACGGCTATTGTTGTTGAGCGGTCTAGTGATTTGAAGTCCCGGAAGCAGCGGTCGTGCTGTAATACTACCTACAGCATTCATCGATATAAGTTAAATGGAACGCGACACATAAACTATATGATTAGGTAGCTCGAGTAGTCAACGCCCCGGCAGAACTGGAGAATTCTTATCGGAAGATTTCAACGTTTGCAGGCGACTCTTCTCGGTTCCAGCAGCTATTGGCTATAAGCCCCCGAGTGGCTTTCTCAAAGTTTAATGACAAGTAATGAGCGTCGCTTAGCTGTTAAAAATGGAGACTAGAAATCCGGTATCTACCACTAGGATATTACTACTAGGTAGTATGATCATTGGCATCGAATTCATTATTCGTAACATCTATTCGTTTATCATAAACCAGTATCCAGCATTATACATCCCATCATTCCGAGCAATAAAACCAATCGCTCACATCGCCATCGCACACCATATTGCCTTGTTCATCAAGCGTTAACGTACCCCACTGCCGTTCGCCATAATCCTCCATCGGCGACGGCCCCAACCCGCTTCTAATGCGATCCAACTCACCTCTCAACCAATACGCCATAATGTACCAGCCCCTGCCTGTAGCTGCCGAAAAGTCGTCTTGGTATACCCTCAGTGCTTCCACCACTCTTTGCTGAATCTCAATGTTATCAGTGGCCGTCCATGCTGGAATGAGACACAGTGGTGCAAAGCTGGCGCCGAGCGGCCGATACTGCGAGGCATCGTGAGCCAATTTGATGGCGTCGTTGGCCATGTTGTCCGCCTCTTCAACCATGTCTCCATCGTCAGCTCCAAAAGCACGCAGATACGCGTTGAATATCAGGGCAGACGCCAATAAGAGGCCAACTAAGGCCTGGTAGTGAATACGAGTCTTTATAGACCCGTTCGTTGGTGATTCGGACACAAGAGTGTCAGTGAGCTCCAGAGAGCCTTTCAACAGCGGCAGTTCGATTCGGATCCGCTGATATGAAGTAAGAATGTCATCGATGTGTTTAGCAGGTTCACGCAATAAATCTGGAATTCGAGCGAGACTTTGCATCTGCAGGCTCGTAAATTTCCGTGCGCTCTGAGTAATGGGAGCTGGTGGGCCAAAGGCGCGGTCCTTGAGCCGCAAGTACCAAGAGCTCAGCCGTATCCTAGGGTTGAATATGGCCTCCAGAATCTGGCCAAACAAAGATAGTCAGTAAGAATTCGAATAAGAGTACTTCCTATGGCCACTCTAGAGCTTACAACAGGTACATAGAGGGTGAGGCGTATGGTGTCTTGGAACTGGTCTGAAGATTGCCCAGACTCTTGCCTAGACTCCATTGCATCAAGCAAGTATGCAAGCCCTTCCCCATGACTGACTTTTTGATCATTATCTCTTCCAGTCCATCCCTGCACAAGTTAGAATAAACATGGTTAGTTCGCGTACCTAGATACAAAAGTTTGGCATTTGTTAATGCAGCTTACTTACTTGGCAAATCAGTAAGATATATACGGCGCACAGCGTCTCTGGTCTACTTGCTTTCTGCGGATCATTCAAGCAAGTTCTTAGAGCCTGCAACGCATTCACATAGTTGACCAGAGAGCCTCGAGACAAGGAAGTCTGCTCATGCCTTCGTAAGTGTGGATAGAATCCAACCATGGCCTCTACCGCTGCATCCAGAGCTTCATTGGTACCCATACGCCTGGGCAGATCCTTGAACCATGGGCCGTAGCAGCCAAGGTCGTAGCTGGGGTCGGTGATGTCCAACAGAAAAACAAAAGCTCCAGACCGAGCAGAGTCTCTGCTAGACGCAATGCTGACGATGGACCCTGGGCTGTCACTCTCGGTCTCAAACTGGAGAGATGCTCTGCTTCGGGCCTTCTTGGACGATCTCACCGCTTGCAGATCCGTCTGATCTTTGAACTTGTATCGTAGCTGGCCACAGCCCACACAAGCGATCTTCAAGCGCGCGCACCGAGAGCAGGCGGGCGTGGCCATGTCGCACTGGATGTCATTCTTAGTGCCATTGACATCTCATATCCAATCATGGTGGAGCTGCTGCATGGAGACACCCAGGGATGACCTCGCATTTCCATTTTGGGAACGACAATGGACTTGGGCCAAGCACTAGAAACGAACCTTTTTCTTCTGCTTCCTGCACGCATCGCATCCGCGATAACTGGGCACACCCGGCATGGTGGCGGCTGGTTGAGCGCTGCGTGTTGCCTAAACTGGCAATGGGGCTCAGTCTACTCCGTATAGTTGGATGAGGATGACGCCGTTCCAGCTGTTGTGCGTGTGATTATGTCCAATGGCTTTAGGCTGTTATGATGGCTTGATTGGTCTACTTTCATTGGCTTCACTCTCCGATGCGATGGTTGAGAATATACATGTCGCCATGCAGAATCGAGACGAGGGGAAGAAGAGAAATGCCAGACCAGCTCGTCCAAGGCTTCTTGTGAGGCTGAGTCGAAGGATTCGCGATGATGTCAGGGGGAGAGTCTCCTAAAAAGTGCTACAGCCATGTCACGTCTCCGCTCAATTAGCTCAACGCGAGGCATTAATTGGTCCAGACAGCCACAGCTTTAGCGGGTGCGGCGCGGCGCTCAACCTGATTAGGACAAGGAGAGATCTCTGTGGCTGATGCAGGTTCGTTACTCTTACTCATCTAAGCCAAGAGCTACAAGATTTCGTATAAGATCAAACGGCTGGATTGTCCTGTACCTTCCTTCTAGTTGAAAACTGTCATGTCTACGTTAAATTTGTTATGCAATTCAGATCTATTCCTTCGAACTCGATCAAACAAACGCCATCCTCACGATGGTAGATCACATCACGACATGTGGAGCTCATCAACAAAGCATATACATTGTTTGTATCCAAAATTAAATGCGAGTTTGATGAATTAACATTTCAATTTGCACACCGCTGAGCCTGGATTCCTCTTCCATGTTCATGATATTGTGGCCGATGGGTCGTCTACGAAACAAAATGGCTGTAGCACTGAATCTCATAGTAATACATAAAAACTTTCACAGTATTAAACAGTATTTCTAATGATGTGCAATATTGCTTTGGACATGAAGGGTCCAAGAATAGATAAACACGGCATCGTACAAAGGTCTAAAATCATTAGATAGATACATGAAAGAGGTCGGCTAAGGATAATGAATTTCTTCTTGTGAGAAATGGAATGATTGAGAACAAAATATTTATATACTTAGGCATATCGTTTCTCAGCATATGTAATTGATCTACTTAATAAGCGTCATAGCTTGCGCTTCGCCATACATCAAATCAGCGCTAAAGACTTTCGTGAGAGTCGAGAACGCATGAAACAAAACACCACGAATAATAAATTTTCCTCGTTAAAAATAGACCTGTAAGCAAACATGATCATGGTGGATCATTCCTTAACTTCGTTACGATCGCTCCAGGTCCCCTCGATCGTCTGCGCTGATTAGTTATAAAATCAGCACTAATGACTCTATTACTCGAAAAGGCAACATCATGCCTGGAGTCGTCGTTGTGTTTCATTTTTGGTTTACATTCGTGAATACTGAATGATGTCGATCGTGAAGTGGTTTGCATATATATCGGATGAACTCACCAATATTGTCGCGCTCAAAATTGAACACAACACGCCACTAAGCCTGCACTGCCAGTATAACATCCGACTTCAGCAATCTATAATACTGTTTCTCACATCTCTATCAAACACAATGTTTGCCAAAAGTTACGCAACGATCTATATGGCTCTAAGCCTACTTGCTATCCTTGCCGCTGCAGGGCCCCTCGAAAAGCGCCAACAATCAGCAACCCTTTCAATCTTTTCGCAGGGCGGCTGCCAAGGAACAGCCGATAATTCTATTCAGATTTTCCAGCAAAACTCTTGCGTAGAGTTCAGCCCGTCTACAGGAAGCTTGTCATTGGATGCGAATTCGCAAGTAGCCACTTTGCAGCTTTTTACCGGTGGTGGCTGCGGACAGGCTGCACAGGCAATCACTGGTAGCTCAACCTGTATATCACCCGGAATCCAAGTCACAGGAGTCCAATGGCACTTAGGCTAGGAACCCACTTGAGCGCTTCAGTGCTTGAAGATTGGCAGAGCAAGTTTTTCAACAGGCAAAGATATTCACCGTTGGTTCATAGTCGTCTGTTGCCATCCGAAAAGCCTCGATGGTGTAGTGGGGATGCGGAAATACTTGACTTTTCATCAGACAACGCTATGAAGAATAATCTGGGAAACGTGCGACATTACAATCTAGTTTTGAAGCTGAAGGGGGGCAAAGGTAAAACTGGGCCCCGTTTCGGGGGGGCACAAGGGAAGGGTTGGTAGCTCATAATCCAGCAGAGGGGGAAACAGGCCTCATTACCATCAGCAATAATAGACTACTTCATGTTGAGTTGTAATGGAAACCCTAGAAACTACAATTGCCCTTGTTTGCGATTGAGTATATTGTATTGTCACCTAGAAGAGAGCCTAGCTATTTCATAAAAACTTCCAAGCTCCGTATTTGCCCCCCTATCTTCATATTTATTTCCCAACGCTGAAATTTAGTGTTAGTCTCTCGTCCAGTCTGTTGAAATAGCTTGACTTACCGTGCCACAAGCTTCTTAGCGCTGACTTTTCCTTCAAATAGGGCCTGAACTCCGTCGGGAATACTGTTCAGGCCGTCTGGAAGTATCTCTACAGGATGTGGTCTGAATTTGCCTTCGGCTAGCAGATGACTCAAGTACCGATAGAAGAAATAGGCAAATTCACCATCGGCGTATGCTTGCTCCTCATTGATGAAACTGTGGGGGACGTGATAAGCGGAGGAGACGAATGTGCGAGTGAACTTGACGGTTTCGGGAAACTTCCAGCTCTCATCGGTTGGAGGATCCACCATATTGATGTGGCCGCCGCCCGATGCAACAAGAACTTCAGTAATGCGCTCATAACTGCCGTGACCAGAGACTGCGTCGAATGCAATCTTGATTTGGGTAGACCCGGCGGCATCCAGAATTTGGCGAGTCACATCCCCCTTTCGATAGTCGATGATATGGTCGGCTGCGTTCAGGGATCGGACAAAATCGATTCCATTCCCAGCAACAGTGATTATGGGCCCAATCTTGCTCAGTTTAGCTAGCTGGAGGGCATATGCCCCAACGGCAGTTGCTCCGCCCCAAATCAAAATGGGTGTCTTTTGACTAGCATCGCCAACAGTGGTTGGAAGAGGAACGCCCAGATACTGGTACAAGGCCAGAGCCGCTGTCATGAAGGACAAGGGAAGCCCGGCGCCTGATTCGAGGGAAATATTGGGGGGCAGGCGGAAAGTAGTCGAGGCCGGGACAACAGTGTACTCTGCATAAGTTCCGTGAGGCTGGAACATTCTGTGGAAACCTGCAACTCGGTCGCCCGGTTGGTATTCAAACACTTCAGACCCCACAGCTTCGACTGTGCCGGCCACATCATCACCGGCGTTGAATGCATTTGATTCGTCACGGTTTTTGGTAGACTACCAAAGTTAGCTTATAGATGGCTCGGGGCCGAATAATTGCATCAATCACCTTCCAATCCTTTGGATTCAGTCCGGCATAAGCGACTTTGATGAGAACATCCTTCGGCCCTGGCTTCCTAGCGGCTTGTGAGTGACAAAACTAATTACCAAACTGAATGACTTACGGAATTTGAGCCTCTCTCACAAAGCCTTTGGTAGGCTGGCCGTAGATGACGAACTCTTGCATTTTGATGAATTTGATCTTGATTCAAAGAGAAGGCTTTGAAGATATTATGGATTGTTCGAAATGGTAAGTTCAGCGTAGATAAAAAAACTGTGGTATTGTAGAAAGGAGGTTGTAATAGTTGTTATTTTTTGCTGTCGTATTGATAGAGTCTGGCGAAGAATTGTTGTTGGGTGTAGTATTGTAGAGCTGAGCTGATGAACACTATTGTTATATATGATGAGAGTGGGATGTAGATCGTTATTTATATTTGAATTTCCATATGTTTACATCATTTGTTTTATATCTTTAGCTTGAACATGGTGTTTACTAACATCCAGGCTTTTGTGGCTTGATAGAATAACATGGCTGCTGTTTGCAGAAATGCCGACAAAACTCCGTTGTAAGCAACGACAGAGATGTCGTCAAGCGCCGCTGTCAGCTAAGCGACTAGGCGCCCGACTCGAAATTATTAATACAAAATTTACTGCTAATAGACATAGCCGAGGTTACCATAACCAATCATGTGTTTTTTGTAGCAAACCCTTGTTATAGTTAACAATCAAAGCTAGAAGTTGTAGAAATACATGAATTTATCAGCTGCGCTGATTAATCTCTACATTTATAACGTTGCCTTCAGTATAACGAAGTACGCCTTTGCGGTTTAAATTGAAGTGAAGAGAGGCGAGATTTGGGTGCAGTAGAAAACAAGCTTCACGCCAGGGAAACCAAGACTCCAAACTCCCTCCAATGGAAAATACATGGTATCGAGCGTTTTTGTTTCTTGAATGAACTGACAATTAGTAGAGACTGATTTAGACAACACTGGTGTGACTCTTGGAAGGATAAAAAAACCAGCGAATTTGGTATGTCGCAAACCTTGATCAAGAGCCGACTTCGGCATTCATGGCGCGAGGAAAGTTCAAGGGTGGTATACGAACAAGCGATAAGTCATATAGATACTAAACATAGAAGTATTGAGAGCGCAGTTTAGAAATCGCAGACGCATTCGCAACGAGCAGCTTCGTCACTCTCGCTTCTACCGTCTGTGATGGACAAAGTCCATCATAGATGAAGGCTTTTTGAGCTAGTTCCATGCAATGCTGCTTGTAGCATTATTCCTATCTCTTCCATTGATTGGCATGACATTGGATAGCAGATGAATGATATTTTGATTGGTGGACTAACCAGTCTCCGCCGAATCAACCTTAGCACCGTAATGAATTGGCTCAGGCAGTAGCTTTTTAGATAACAAGGGCCAGGACACCATCTGCTTGAGATTCATGAGATTCAGGGATGTAAGGCCAAGACAAAGCAATTACCGCCAAGTATGGCCAGAGGAGATGCAAGTATATAGCAGCTCTCTGCCGCTTTGACGCTTATCCTAGATGACTTCTGCCTGTTAAAATCCACCGTATGCCCTCTCTATGTGCGGAAAGATAGTCTTGATATCTCATCATATGACAATACCACGCCCGCATAGTAGTCTACATCTCTCTCTGGTTGGCTAAAGACATTGCCAACGGGTTTCAGAACTCATACAGCATCATCACCTCAGCTTGCACAAGAGCTGAGAGAAGTCAGGCAAGAAGCTAATTTCTGATAAGCTCATTAAATAACTGTAATTTGGGAGGAACTTGTAGCAGGTAGAAGGCATCCGCAGAGAATCGGTCACCCATAATGATATCCAAGGGGACAACGCTTGAAGCAAGAACGAGTCAGTCATTATCTTTTCTGACCAGCTTCGATAAGTATAAAGTTTCTATCCGTAAAGAACAATTATGAGCTCAAGTTACCAATCCATGCTAATCTTGAGGCGAGCTGGTTATACCTGATCCATGCAGCAAACGATATGGCCTTTATATCTCTAGGTAGGTAAGTACGAAGTATAAGAGTTACGGCACACAAGCTCCATGTTATCATGCTATCAATAGTCAATGCGGGGCTTTACGCTGTCGTAATTTCACAGCCAACCACAGCCGGCCGCAGGACGGTCGCAGGCTTCTCGGTCTCATTGATGGCGCGTACACGTAGGTATATGTACCCCAGAACCGTTAGTTCAAGTGAAAGCCGCATTTTAGGCAAATATTTGTTTCATTAGGCGCTCGGCGATACTTCTCGCTGACAATTAAATCGATTCGCGTTATATGAAGTGCTGAAATGGTCATAGTTCGATTGAGTATCCCAAAGCATCCATCAGTGAATGAGACCAATAGGAGCCTTCCATTGAATTACTATAATATCATGTGGGGTGTAGTTGGTGTAACGTTCGTATCGGATAGGCGTCACTCTATTGTAGGCCTCCCAGGCCCCCAATTGTCGTGCATATGTACTCCGCATTCAGACTTCAAATCTACAGGTATCCGCATCATCATCTCTCTCTCAGTCGTGCAACATGGCTTCTATGCCTTACAAAGAGTAAGCTGCAGCACTTATGATATAATGACATGCGCTGATCTACGTACCTAGTATTACTTCTTCGCCTCCCATCACGTTTGTTGTCGGTCCTGATCAGAAAGAGCATACGATCCATTCTGCCCTCGTCGCACGTCAGTCAGCGGCTTTGAACGCGCTCGTCAATGGGGGCATGAAAGAGTCCATAGAACGGCACGTTGTATGGAATGACGTCGACGAAGAAGTTTTCACTCGTTTCAGCCAATTTGTATACACTGGAGACTACGACGAAGCAATGCCTAGCAAACGCGAGATAGAAGCAGTAACTCCCTGTCGAGTAACTCCTCGTCGATTAAGATTCGATCAAATAACAGGCGAGGATGGCTTAATCGTGAAACTAATAGTCGAGCTACTGTCGCTAGACTCTCGATTTTACCTAGCATGAGAGCATCATCAAGGGAACCTGAAAACGTCAGTCCGGAAAAGAAAAAATTGTTATGGGACAAATTCCAAGCGCTCTACCCATCCCCGTCGAGCCAGCCTATATCCACCCCAAAGTCTGCTAGCTACGACTATACTGATGTATTCCTCAGTCATGCACGGATGTACATCTTTGCAGATTATTACGGAATTGATTCTTTGCAGACCTTGGCGCTCCATAAACTATGTCGAGTTTTGATATCGTTCGACGTTTACGTGGAGAACTGTGGTGATATCATACAGCTTGTGCAATATTGTTTTGAACATACTATCAACAAAGGGGGACAAGTAGAAAGATTGAGGGCGCTCGTCTGTTTGTATACTGCCTGCAAAGTGGAAGAATTGTGGAACGTCACTGACTTTAGGGACGTTGCAAAGACATTACCTGACTTCACTACAGGTCTTATAACGTCGCTGCTAGATCGGCTGGACTAGAAATCTCTTATAGCTTCAAAGTTTCTAAGACTAGATTGTCTCGGCTATGATTCGTTTATCTTTCTTTATACACTATTATATAGTTCGAACTGTGGCTACATACTGCACGCATGTACCTATGCGTAGTTCTACCTCAGCTATATCCATCACCAAATGTCGTTGGCTAACAACCTGCTCTAGTCCAAATTGGAGCTGCCTACTATACCTTTCCTTCTTCGAAGAATCTAGTTCTTTAGCCCATCATACAGCCAAAGCACAGACTAGTGTAAAGGCTCAGCACGGCCTCGCAGACTTCTCGCATACATGTGCTCAAATCTCATTGGACACAATCTCGATAAAAGGGAGACAGGAATAAGAGAGGAGACAAGCTCGAGACTAGTACTACCAAAGGAAACCATCCGATGTGCTCCGTGCGCAAAATGGCAATAAAATGTGACGGTTTGTGTACCTCGGAGAAAAGAGCCCTTGTACAAAAGAGAAAACATGTGCAGAGCACTAAACCCCTTCCATGGGTATTTCATATTTGGCCCCCAATGGGATTCTAAGTATACCAAAGCACTACCATGTCACGTAGTTCCTCTTCCTCCTCTGCATCTCACTCACCTAGCGTGTAATCGAAAAAAGAAAAGACAAAGTAAAAAGAAACAAAACGTGCTTATCAAGGTCCCCTGCGTTACTTGGGGGCCCTTTACAAAAAACGGTGAGAATCCTTTCAACTTAAGCGACACAGCTGCATGCAGATGGACGGCCAATCGGTGTTGAGCTCAGGATCAGCTAAGGGACGACTTCATATACTTGAGACGAAGCCAGTTCAGCCTCGTATACGGAGTGAAATCAAAATGGAAAAAAGCAAGGATAGGGAAGAAAGATAGGACAACATCTAAAAGGGAATGAGCTTAAAATGGCTTTTGGGTATCTTCACAAACTATCATAAGATATTACTCGTTCGTTAATTATGGAATAATAGCAACCTAAACAACGGAGCGAGGACCACCGTTTAGATCATGCCATCGGAAGAAAGAAAGAAGAAGAAGAAAAATTGCGAGGATTCATATAGAATGGAATATTTCCCTAGGAGATCTGTTGTTTTCTTTGCGCGTGCTGTTGTTTCCTTGGCTTTGCCTACTGCATCTCTCTGCATTTGCGCAAGCGTCTCTCTCTCTCTCTCCAGAGTAGATAGGAAAACGTTAAAACAAGCACCACCAAAGCGTCATCCAAACAACAAAAGAAAGAGAAAATATTTGATTTCCGCGCCCGACCTTTCCTCTCTTTGTCCCTTTCCCTTCCCTAGCAATTCCATTTGCGCGCCGCCCTGAGCGTAGCAACAATCTTTAAAAAAGAAAAACAGTACATAAAAAGGGGATGGGGGGGAAATACAGAGAGCATCGGAGAATGAAAACCGATAGCAGCAGCAAAGATAAAAACCAGGCACGTCGTATATCTCGAGGATATACAGCAAAGGTTTAGATAGAAGAAATAGAAAGAAAAAACAGGTCATAAGACTAAAGATCCGACCGGAACGCCATTCGTTCATCACACCCTTTGTGGACCACCGTAAACCCCGAAAATTTCCATCAAAAATCATCCAGTGATTTGTTTGTAGCGACCCGCACCCGTGAGGCAAACTCTGTCCCCTCTTTCTGTTTTTCCGTCATCATGGGGCTGTTCTCCTCGAAGAACAATACCGAGACCGGGTCGTGAGAGGCGCTGATAATAAACCCATAGTCATGCGCGGGCGGTCGTTTTCCCGCGATTTTTCATTTTCAGTGCGCAACAAATTATAAGAATTGCACATGAACCCATAAAAAAAAAAAGGTAAAAGAAAAAGACGAGGGTGATTTGGCTGAGTCGTATTTTTTGTTGTTTTTTTTTTTTGTCTGTTTTTTTCCTTCTTGTGATGAAAGCCACCTTATCGTGCTTCACGTCATAGCCCATTACCTCACCTCAGCGTCAGGAAGGCGAAGGGTAATTCTGAAACGTCGCTACCGTCGCTTGCTACATGACTGTAGAAGCCAACAGCCGCGATTCGACATCGTCCATACCCATACCGTCCATGCGAGGGCCTTCCATGCCTTGCAGCCGCTGTTCTATCGCCTGGAAGCGAGGCTCGTAGCTACCGGCGCGGGCCTCGATGTTCTCCATGCGCTTCTCAATGTTGTCGAGGCGCTGCTCGATACGCATCAGGCCCTGGGCCATGTCGTGGCTCAGACGGTCCAGCTTGTTGGTGAAGGACCGGATCGAGGTTGCCAAGGGAGCGTTCTCCTGGCCGGGGGTGCCGGAGGGGACGCGCGGCTCGTGGTTGTGTCTCGGTTCCTGCAGGGCGAAGCGCCATTGGTTTCCCAGCTGGACCTCGCAGACGGCCTTTGCGCGGAAGGGGCAGTCGATCTTGCGCGTGGACGGGTTGCGCTTCTTGGCGGTGCTGTTGTACTTGACGCCGCCGCGGTCGCAGACGAGGTCGTAGCGGGTGGGCTTGCCGTCGCGATAGTTGGAGGCGCGGAGCTTGACAATCCCATAGCCCTGGTCCTTGGCCACGCGCTGCACCGACGCCATCAGGTCGTCAAAGGTCCGGAAGATGCCCTCTGGCGGGGGCAGCAGCGCCGGCGGGGGGGTATTCGGCATCGCGATGAGTTGAGCCACGGTGGCGAACGCGAAAGGCGCGGGCCTTTGAACGAGGGGAACAAGGTAGGTTGGGCGGATTGCGCGAAATGGAACTCAAGAAGCGACGAGATGCTCCCTGAGGCTGGAATCGGTTGCAGAGACGGAGAGCGCTTGGCGGTGGTTGTCGCGTTGGGGGGTGCGATGCTTGTTTGGATAGCTTTGGATTGCAGGAATGCAGAGCAGAGAGAGGCCGGGCTGTGAGGATTTTTCCAATCCGCACTGTTGGCAGGTTCGAGTTTCAAGGTTTGGCGTTGATCCGGTCCGAGCGACGCGGGCCAGTAAGATTCGGGCAGCAGCGGGAGATGGGGTACAGTGTAGGTGCGAGGAAAAGGGCAGCCCGTACAGGGCACTGCGCCGCAACTTATACCTGCTGTTAGCCCGCTGTTAGGGGATGCAGGCGCTAGCGCTGCTGCTAGAGAGTGCTACAACCGTCTAGCTGCAGGCGCTGGGAGGTCCGAACACCTTGTTGGCTGCTGCGAGTGCGAGCACAAAAAGCAACGACAGGTGAGAAACGGGCATGTCATCGGCATGTCGCCCTGTTCTTCTGCTCCGGATGGACGCTGCCACCCCCTCGCCTTTGCAGAGGTGAGGGCGCTGACAGGGCCTGGCGCCGTGTGCCGATTACGTATTTTCTGTCAGCTGTCGTTGCGGATTCCGGCGGCCGGTTGACGATGACTGGGGGGAGAGACGGTGCTAGATGGCGTCTTCTTTTCTTCTTTTGGGTCTTTTGGGAGAATACAGGTGAAAACAATCAAGACATGTCTCTCACAAATCAAAGTCGATGCTCGTAATTCTCTGCTTAAGCATCTAGCAGCTGCTACTGCAGCAGCATCGCAGCGTGTGGCCCATCCGTCACATTTCCAGAGGTGCGTGCATATGCAGATGGGACAACTCGTGCTTTAGCAGCAGCGCTGCCGGGTTACCGAGGTACTCCGTACCTGTCAAGTCTCAATCGTCGCCAACTCAATCTCGTACAGAGTACGGGAGTAAGACGACGCAGTCTTAGTGCTAACGCTTCCGATTCCATCCATGTCCCTGCCGGGGCGGCATCTCAAGCACTACCACTGCAGGCTAGGCCAATGGAGCACCTAGAGGAATAGCTTGCATCTGCTACTGACGCTGGGAAATGCAGGACCTCTTGAAATCTCCTTGCTGCAGTCCTATGGTTTTTGTGTGGCAACCCGAGATCAGCTACTCAGAATTCCTTCTCCCTTGATAGACATTTACTGCCCGCAACCTAATACCTACTTGAATATACCTATCTGATGGCTAAAGTTGGCAATGCTCGCATGGATCATCGTTCACATCGTATTGCCATCTCATCCATTTTTTGAGAGCAAAACATGGAACCAGCCGGGACAGGGATACGCAGGGGCCGTTTCAAGCTTTCCGGAAGAAGCTCCATTGCACGTGAAGTATCCTGCGGTATAACGACTAGCATGCAGCCCTTCGGAACTCGCTGCAAGGAGGCCTCAACTTTGGGTATGACAACGAACAGTACGTAATTGGATTGAGCAGCTTGATCTAGGAATATACATGTATTGTAGAAAACAATACAGCTCTGGACAGCATTTGATGATACTATATACCAGCAACAGTGTCATCTTCGTGCTAGGTATGCGCAGAGCTGCAGTCTTACTGCTGCACCCTCTGTCTAATATTCTCCGTATTGAGCACGGCGTTCAGTAAACATCTCTCCGGCCCAGGATGCCGCGTTTCACGGTGGTGGCCGGCACGGAGCCCAAGTACCCTACAAGTACCGCCAGCCTCTGGACGCCAGACACTCTTGCGCTAAGGCCAACTTGCGTGGCACCGGCGGTACGTACCTGATACGCCTCATCCCCTGTCGTTGCGTCAACCCACCCTAATCCACGCGCGGTGCTCATCACCAAATTCCCAACCAACCCTTCTAGAATCGCCCTCGCTCGCTCAGATCAGCGCTCATATCTGCGTGGGGGGAGCATTTCTTTGTTACAGTACGATACGCTCGGATACGCCTCGCCAGATCCCAGGTCATCCGGCTTTGACAGCCTCGGGGCATTGCTCGCTGCACTCTAAACTCTCGCTCGCTTTGCCTTTTTTGACTCGACCGATGGAGAAGAAGCCGACTGCGGCTCCCGATGGGGATGTTGCCAGCCAGATTGCCGCCGAGGAAAAGGCCATCAAGCTGGCAATGAAGCGGCTCAAGCTCTTACACATCAAGGCAAGTTGCTTGGCCCCGAGTGATACTGACGTTGGGCGAGGCTAACCGGGTATCTCAATATAGGAGCGCCTGCTGAGGAACACCATCCCCAAAATGCTGGAGCCTCTGGTGCAGAAGCACCCATCGCGTAAGACATTATCCTTTGCCGTGCATGCAATCTAGTGACCAATACTAAAACCCACTCTAGCAGACATCATGTACGCAGCCTTTATGAAGTCTGTCAACGATGCGCAGGCGTCCGTCAAGGAGTTTGCCGAGTTGATGAAGGATGACACGAGCAAAGCTGTGTTTGACCGTGCTGATAAAAGCAAGGAGGCCAACCCTTTTGGCATAGTGCCTTGGAAGCATAAGGATTATCCGGACTGGTTTGTCATGGATAAGAATTGAACGCTTTCTGGTTTCACAATTTGTTTTGTACGTTTCTTGCTTAAGGGGCGTTTTTGTATTTGATGATGGCGTTTATGCAGTAGAGGCGCTGAGGCGAAACTTGTGCTTTCTTTCGCTTTTAGGAGCCAGCTCACGCGCTTAAGCTATGGCCAGATTATAGGAAATGCAAGATTGATGATGGGAGTTCTCTGTTGGTTTTAGTTGGGTGGTCCCCAATTCTCAATTAATACAACAAATGCTAGTTACTATTACGAAGCTTCATCCAACATTTATGTCCCATCGTGAGCAACATACTAACTGGATTATAAGCCCCAAATAATATGTAGTATAAAAAGCCTCAGGAGATGTTACTAGCATGAAGAAAACATTACATTATTCTACTGTGCTCGAGAGATTTCCGTTGGATAGGAAGCAATTTAGCAGTGCCCAGAACCTCCTAGGGTAGCTTTTGGAGGAAATAGTGACGAATAGTGGGCAGCCTCTACATATAGGCAATCGGTGCATGACGCAAGATACTGTGCTTTTCTTTGGGTATTTGCGAACTTGTTATGGAATTAAACAACAATTCACTTTGATCATCTTCCAAATGGTTACAAAAGGCTATCTTGACAAAGTCTTGATGAATATGCTCAAGTCAAGTCCGCAATGGCCAAAACACCACGAAAGATGAGATTCTCGATATCAAATCCCCTTAGCGCTAAGCTCATAGTCCATATGCTGGATGCTCCAGAACACCATCCATCAAGCAATCATACCTCAGACTGCCAGACAACAGATGGGCGCTGGCGCCGCAAATTTCTGAGCTAAAGTTGGCAAAACTCGAAGCCCGCGATCACGTGCTCTCCAAGCGGGGTCATCACAGCTTGCTAGCGGCATTCTGATTCGCCAGCTTAGCGGGCACAATCTTGCCGTTCCGCCCACACAAATTTTACCAAATCTCGAAATTCCTCTTCCCTTGGTGAGATACTCAGAACAACCACCGAGCACCACCAGCAACAATGGCGTCCCACCGAGTCACCTACCGCCGCCGTAACGGGTGAGTCTTTGCGTTCATGTCCATCAGTTATTTGCGAATCATCTCTCGAATTGTTGTCGGCGCGCTGTCGTGCGGATCCAAGTGACTGACTGTCGAAATCTTTTACAGCTACAACACCCGCTCCAACCGGACCCGTGTCATCAAGACCCCCGGTGGTGACCTCCGAGTTCTGCACATCAAGAAGCGCGGAACCGTCCCCAAGTGCGGTGACTGCGGCTCCAAGCTCTCTGGTGTAAGTAATGGTCCTGAAACGATTTTTGCAACCCGAGAGAGATGGCGATGGAGGGGGAAGAGATGAACATGGGCAAAGCGACAAGACGACGGGATTCGAGGCTACGACCATGAGAAAAATCTTTCACGCCGACGACCAAACGCCCATACGCCGACGAATCAACGAACGACGGCCTTGAGTCTTCTCTATCGCCTTCGCCTCACGCTCACTCCCAACCCTTCAACCCTCTCACCTCTCGGCTGGAACATCTCAACAACACAACTACGAAAGAGACAAGCAGCTGACATACATCACCATATAGATCCCCGCTCTCCGCCCCCGCGAGTACGCCCAGATCTCCAAGCCCCAGAAGACCGTCCAGCGAGCCTACGGCGGTTCCCGATGCGGTAACTGTGTCCGCGACAGAATCGTCCGCGCTTTCCTGATCGAGGAGCAGAAGATCGTCAAGAAGGTCATGAAGGAGCAGGAGGCTAGCCAGAAGAAGAAATAAACAAATCCTTTTTTTAGAATCTTGGGAAGAAAAGAGATAAAACGAACCCATTTCGACTTGCTGGAATTTGTCTTTCTGTGTGCGCGGGAATGGCAAGGAACTCTTTTGGGGGGTTTGGTTCATTGCTATGGTGTTCATTAGGGCAAAAATATCGGACTGCATGATACATTACGGCCGAGCCGAACCCATGGCCGGTCTGCTGCTGTCTTTAGGACTGCTTTCCCGCTTGGTGATCTAAATGGAACGAACATCAAGTTGGTACTCTTGAATTGTCCCGTGAATTGTGTGGCCAATGAAACAAGATTTAAAATTCGTCGAGAAATCGCCCAAACTGCCACAAATGGCTCCGATATGCAAATCCAGACAAATGAACAATGACTGAAAACGCCCAATTTAGTAAACAAAATGGTCTATTCAAATTGCATTACTTCGGCACAGAAATCTCGTAGCAAATACGGTAAGTCACCATGACGTTCACGCAGGCCAAATGCCAATATCAATCTGCCCCGCGATAGCTAGAAAAAAACTTGAGCTTCACAGCCACCACACTTTCACAAGCCAAGTCTCTCTCCACAACACCAATGTCTACCGCACCTTGAAGCGGGATACCATATTTTCCTACATACACAATAGCAACAATGCGCGGCTCATTACGACTGCAGAATGGCCTCCGCGCTAGCCGCATATGCGCGCGCAGCACCAATAGCCAATTAGCAACACACTTTTCTTCACGGCCAGCAGCTCCAGTCAGCCTCGCATCGCATACAGCAACAACACACCTCCAACTACCCTTCCGAAGATCCCTCCACACATCCTCCAGCCTCTCCAAGAGCCGCAGCCGCAGCGACGGCCCTCCCGACTCTCCGCCGCCCACCAGCTTCAACGAGCTCGACGTGCTAGGCAGCGTGCCCGTGCCGTCGACGTCGGTGGACGTGTGCATGCACGACGGCTTCGGGCTCAACAGCGGCATCACGATCGAGGGCGGCGACGGGGCGCTGCTAGTCAGCGGAGAGGCATTTGCGTGGCGGCCGTGGGAGGTGATTGGGGAGAAGAGGCTGGTGAATGCCAAGGGGCAGTTTGAGCTGCCGCGGGAGGCGTTTGGGCTGTTTGATATGCTGTGGCCGAGACCTGGTATGTTTTCTCTTGCTTGAGGATGTGTGTGTACATCCATCAGAGCTATCTATTATATCGACTGCGAGGGTAGGGCTAACTATGATACTGTTTGAATAGATCTCCTGATCATCGGCGTGGGCAAACACAACTTGCCATTGAGTCCACAGACACGGCAGCACATCTCGGAGCTGGGCATGAGAGTCGAGATGCTGGATACCAGGAACGCGGCGGCCCAGTTCAATTTGCTGGCGACGGAGCGAGGCGTGTCGGAGGTGGCGGCGGCTTTGATACCCATTGGGTGGGAGGAGGGCGTGGGTGTTCCTCCTTGATACTTGGATGGCTTGTCAGGTTTAGACTGGTGGTTGTACGATATAATGGCTGTATATATATGATGGACTGGATTTGGAGAAAGGCTGCTGGCTACGATGGTCTTTGACTTGTATATCACTTGCAGCTATAGTAATGAGGCTATGTTGATGAATAATGGTTGAGTGACTGATAAACTACACTTCTATGCTATTACTAGGACCTCGTTGCTCTTTTATTTTATTGAAAATCCAGTTGAAACGATTATAACAAATCAATCCATATGTATCTGGGAATATGCTGCGGTAATTGAGACTCTTGGCATTTCTGCGAATCTTAGCTTGTGCTATCTATTGAGGCACACATTTAACGATGCCACTACAATGTTCTAAACATCCACCTCTCTCTGTAATTCTTCCAAAATATCAAAATATTCTAACAATATCAACTTATGTCTACAATATCCAGACCAATTGCAGCTCTTCCCCTACCGAATTCACAATCACATGCGCGTATGTTGTCATAGTTTCAGGGTAAGCCACACCCAAACAAGGCCAAATCCTTTTAGCGCGGCCTCACTAGAAAACAATCCTCTTTCGCGCAATGGCAAGCTTCCTCTAGAGCCCGTGACAATCGGTTGGCCACTAACGCAAATCCCCCAAATCCGCCTTGCTTTAGCTTTTTTCTTTAATTCCAAACCCGTCCTTGGCAAAAAAGGTCAAGTAGAGATAAGAAAATCCTCCGACAGCGGTGGACACTTCTTTCTTTTTTACTTTCTTTTACGGCAATGCATCATCTTGGCCAGTCAATTGCTTGGCGACTTGGAACTGCCCATCTTCTTTCTTCATTCTTGTCGTGTAAATCTTTGCCTTAAAGCGGATTTTGCGTGACTCACCCTGTTTTTTTTCTTGTTTTGAGAAGAAACCTATCAAGGTTCTCTTGTACCAATTTTCATTTCTCAATTCGAATTAAACCACTTACAATACCCGAGAATCTATTCAAACCTGCAGCTGCGTCATCCGATTTCTTGCTGAGCGGGAGCATTTCTGTTTCACACGGCTCTTTTTTTGTCCGTTGGTTTGCCGTTGTAGGCGAGCTTCTCGTCCCGGTTTGTTTGGCAGCGACCTTGCGACTCGCGCTAGGATTCTTTGTTTTCCTTCTTCCTTTTCTTTTCTTTGTTCCTTTTAAGCGGTTTGCGCATCGCGGTATAAGAGGGTGGAGCGCTGTTCCTGGCATTGAACTTGCCTTTGTTCTAGAACAAATCGTGTTCTGTTTTTGGCTTGTGGAGGTCGAATAATAATTAGCAGCGACAACACGACGTCACCATCGCGAATACCCGACCAAGCAAGAAGAAGAAACAAAAAAACACCAATTGAACCGCAAACACTCAATCGCGCCAATGGCAAAGACTGCGCAAAGCACAGCTTCGGCGCCGGAGTCTCTCTCCACAGACGCCCACGCCACCGACCCAGCGCTGCTTCGCGATCATTCCCAGCTCAAGTCTTACAAGACGAGCCGCTTCGAGTACCCCGAGATCCGCGTCTTCTTCCGCCAGCACGTCAAGGCCGACCAGCTGCCCAAGAAGCCCGCGCCGCTGCCGCTGCTGGTGTGCGTCCCGGGCTTGGGCGGCTCGGTTGCGCAATTCCACCCGCTGCTGAGGAGCTTGATTGATCTGGCGCCGTGTCTGGCCATTGACTGGCCTGGAGGCGGGCGGTCCAAGTTTGCGCCGACGCAATGGGAGGCGTATACTTCGGAGGCGCTGATGGAGCTGCTGGAGGTGGTGATTGAGGACCATCGCGACAAGGAGCACGGCCAGGGCGTGGTCTTGATTGCGCATAGCATGGGGACCATTTTGTCGGCGGGCCTGGCGAACCCCAAGTTGCCGCACAAGACGTCTCTCGCCAAGCACGTTGTTGGGCTGGTTGCCATCTGTCCCGTGTCTGGGCCGATGGAGGAATCAAAGGCAAAGCTGGTCAAGCGGCTCTTTTGGATTCCTGGCTGGATCTTCAATCTGTGGCGCATGTGGGATGGCAGAGGAGGACCTAACAGCGCCAGCGTTGCGCGCTTCGTGGGAGAGGGCGCGCCGGAGGAGCTGAAGCTCATGCAGTACCGTTATAATCAGCAGAGTCGGACGCCGGTATGGAGACGGATGGCATACGGCGCCTTGCCGGCTCGATTCGAGAATGGGAAGCCCGTTGGTGGCATTCCCGGTCCTGAGGCATGGGCAGGCTTGGATATTCCCGTCTTTCTGATTGGCGGCGAAAAGGATAATGTAACGCCGCCAAAGGAGGTAGACAAGATCGTCAAGGCCTTCCACTCACTTGACGATTCCATGGCGCATGACGAGACTCAAATCCCAACCGCGTCGGAGCTGGACTCGCCCGCGTCGGTAAACGGCTCAACACAGCTTGATGTTGCTGATGCCATCGTTGACGGCCTTTCCGCCGAAGACGCCGAAGACAGCGATCCCAACAGCCCTTCCACTCCCGTCGAGTATCCGCCAGACCTGCCCCCTCAGTCACAACATCCTCTTCGCGCCGTACGATCCATCATCCTCACCGGCGCAGCAGCAAACCACACACTCCTCTACTCCCCACGCACAGTCCGTGCCCTCGCCGGCCTCGTGTCCGACTTCCTCGCCGACCACATCACCCAGCGCCTCTCGCTCGCCTGGCAGCTCCAGCACCTCTCCCGTGAGGGTAAATGGGACGTCAAGAATCTCCTCAAGTGGCAGGGCGTCAAGCCCGTCTCGGAGCCCATCGGTCCCAGCAACAAACCCATCTTCCGCGTCATCAAGACCCTCCGCGAGGCCGACGACGTGCACTGCCCGGCCGTCTTCGCCGAGAAATGGGGCCACGCCATCAAAGACGTGATTGACATTTCCAAAGACCAGCCCGTCTACGACCCGCGCGGCCTGGAGCGCCGCGGCATCCACTACCACAAATTCCCCACCGTGTCCAAGATCCCCCCGGAGGGCGAAACCGTAGACCAGTTCATCAAGCTGGTCGATTCCATCCGCGAAGCTCAGCGTGAGCGCGCCGCAGCGGAAGGCTGGACTGACCCTGAGCAATGCGTCGTGGGCGTGCACTGCCATTACGGGTATAATCGCTCGGGATACTTTGTCGTCTGCTATCTTGTCGAGAAGTGCGGCTTTGCGCTGGCAGATGCCATTGAGGCGTTTAAGACGGCGAGGCCAAACGGGATACGGCACTCACATTTTTTGGATAAGTTGTATATGCGGTATGACCTCGAGGGGAGACCTGTTGAGAATTGAGTTTCACTATTCCCTCGCACATACTTTCTTTATTCTTTCGGATTTTTTCGACTTGGGTTTAACCCCCTTTTCTCGTGCTAGCTATGGACATTGGAGGAATATGGGATAGGATTTTAGATGGACAACGGTATGGGCACTTGCGGGCAAAATAACATGACATGAGATGGCATTGATGGAAATTTCTACTTTCAACAAGAAAGGGCAAAAACTGGCTTCTAATGATGATTTCTTTTTCTAGGCGTTGAGTGGATTATAGTGGAGAGACATATGATATCCTTTGCTGCGTTTGTGTTCAATATATTAAGATGGAAAGAAAAACAAGTCGCAGTCTCTTTCTTTCTATCTAAAAGATACTTGAAAGCAGCGAAAAATAACAAAACTCTGTCTGTGTCTGTGTACTAATACCGATTGCTATGCCAGTTGCGAAATCGCAATCTAAATGAACAAATATGCCAGCGTCTAAATAATCAACGTCTCAACATGTATACAACAAAAACCGAAAAACCACATTTAGATTAAATAATCGCGTTCTTAAGCTTCCACCACCTCCAATGTATGGTATGGTGCGTCAATGCCCATCTCCCCAGCAGGCATATCTGCCGCAAGCTTCGCCGTCTTCTCTCTCAGCTCCTTGGTGATATCCTCGACGTCAACGTCCAAATAGTGGCGCAAGTAGCGTCCCACGTCTGTGTTTTCGACGTTGCCACGGATCTTATCAGCGCCAGGGCCGCCAGAAGAGTAAATGTTGACGTCCACAGCGGTGTGGCCGTGAGTGCTCCAGCCGATGTGGGCGCGGAGAGAAATCATGGCGGAAAAGATCTCGAGCGAGGCTTCGGCGTGGTCTGCCAGGGCCGAGAGCTCGTCGTCGGAGGCGTTGGAGATACCGAGGCCAGGAACGACGAGCTCCTTGTTGATCCACTTCTTGAGATCGGCTTTGGAGGATGACGAGGTTGCTGCGTGGACACGAAGCTTGGCTGCGAGGAATTCGGTGGATGAAGAAGCGTTGGCAAGAGCGCGGGGGTACCAGTTGTATACTGGCAGATGACCGGGTTCCTGGATGGCCGTGGCGAGACCGCCGGTTTCGTGGTCACTGGTAGACACAAGGACGGTCTCGGTCTTGCTGTTGGCAATGAAGTCAACGACAGCTTTGAAGGTCTTGTCGTATTCGAGCACCTCGCGGACCTGAGCAGCAGGGTCGTTGTTGTGGCCGGCGTGGTCGACACGGCTTCCCTCAATCATGAGGAAGAAGCCCTTGTCGGAGTGCTTGGTTGCCTTTTCGAGGGCTCGCAGGGCGGCGGTGGCCATCTCGCTCAGGCTGGGGTACACGTCGTTTTGCTTTTGTCTGTCGATTTCAAAGGGCACGTCTCTCTCAGCAAAGAGGCCGAGGAAGGGGAGGTTGACCTTGTTGCCGCCATCGAGGGCATCAAAGCCTTGGCGATCGTTGGCGTAGTTCCAGCCGTGCTTCTCTTGAGCCAAGCGTGTGACATCAACGCCGTCTGCACGGCACCCACCCTCTGTGGTGTTGGGAAGGAAATGGCAGCGACCACCACCGAGCATAAGATCGACAGAGCGGCCTAGAACACCCTCTCCAACCTCTTGAAGCGCGATGGAGTCTTGCATTTCACGCCTCAGGACGTGGCTGGCGAAGCAGGCGGGCGTAGCATCTGTGATGTCGGTGGTGACGACGAGTCCGGTTGTGTATCCCGCCCTCTTTGCCGCCTCCATGACCGATCCGCATGGTTGGGAGTC